TTCGCACCGATTTTTGGACTCGTCACGCGTCAAGAGGAGGTGTGATTGGTGTCCCGTGTGCTCCCGAAGAAATCGGAAATTCTGGGTGTTGCGGATGTTGACTAGCGGCGCTGTTTTTATCCGTCGAAGCTTTCTCGCATATGTTTGATCCACGCCAGGAAACAGCTCCACCAGCAAGCGTGAGGCTGCAGGCCAGCTGTAGGCGAGATAGCTGACGGGGTGGTAGATTCGATCGGGGGTGGGCGGGCGGCCGACCGAACGCACTGTCTCCACCGTTTGATTGCGATCTTGCGTCATTCACCGTCAGCCTTGCATCTCTCGATAAATGACATACGGTGAATGCTGATACTCTACCCAGAAGCACTCACTCGCAATTTCCGAATCCACTCTGATGTCGTTCTCGCAACCATGACTTGCCGTATTCCCCGACCAATAAGAGAGCGGCGCTGGGAAGGCTTGGCTCCTATCAATGCATGCGATGGGACAGCTGCGGGCGATAGGCTTCGCATGGTAAGTAAAACAACTCGGGCTCGGGACGGTCACCTCATGCTCATCACGGCTCCAGGATTCGGGTGCATACTGGCCATCGGTAGTCATCGAGGATGCGGAGATGGAATGTATCTGGCCTCGAGGGATGTCGAGGGAGACAACGGCGAAGACATTGACATTTCAAACCCGACCACGGGAGAGCTGTCGTGTCATGGGTTGCAGGAGGGTAACCGCAATCGAGTCGGATAGCCACAGGAAAGGGCCCAAGGGGCCATATGACAGCCAGGCCAACAACGCATTCCTGTCCCTTGTGGCTGTACCTGTGGCAGGCGGCCACTTGGAAGCCTCCCATTGAGCTGCGGCTGCTGCGGCGCAGCGAGCGAGTGAGCGATCCGTCTCCAGGCAGGCAGGCAGGCAGGCAGGCAGGCAGGCAGGCAGGCAGGCAGGCAGGCAGGCAGAGTGTCGTGTGTCAGTGTATGTGTAGCAGGTAGTGTCTTGTCTGTCTGTGTCTCCGGCTTATCGCCAGGGGCAGCTTCTGTGCTGCGTCCGTCCGTGTGCGCGTGTGTGTGATGTTATACCTCTGCATGTCTTAGAGCGAAGCTGTTCCCCCCCGAAAGACCGCTCCACCAGACCCCTGCAGAATCGCACCAAGCCTTTTCCCGAGATCGGCAGTCCGCATGGTGTCTAGGTCACGTTTCCTGGTGTGGTGAGGGGAAATCGGAACGAGTGGACTGGGGCGACTGGTGAATGTCTCCCCCAGGGGGGTAGTGAGTGCTTTATACCCACTCCCGCGCCGTCGACACCCCCTCGGCAAATGCATCCGCTGCGTGGAAGCAAGACGGTACATATGAGGCATGTTCCCAGCCGAAAATTTTCCGTTTCCGTTCGATGCAACGAGCCTAACCTCAGCAGACCGAAATGCAGCGACGTCTTCCCTCCGGCGGGCAGTCGATGCGCGCCGGACTGGCTCGACCTGCTTAAAACAGTGTACACATGTTTCACGAAAGCCCACACCGTTCTACCGTGTCGCTCTCGATCTAACTCTTATTCAGCACCGGTGAAGCCGGCTGGAGCACCGTTCCAACAGCCTGCACGGCGGGGTGCTTGTCGATTCGCCGGCCACGGAGCTGTCATGGGACGTCTGACGAGTGCGGGGCAGAGTCACATTGTCATTTTTTGCACGTGCCGACGGACCGCTCAGTCGAATCACATATCCGATAGCCACCTTCGGTTTATTTACCAGAGTCGGCGGTAAAGTCGGGCCCCACCCTCGATACAAGCTGAGAGAGGAACCCCCGCCGCGACGTTGGCTACCCTTCAGCCACCAACATCTCTACATCTCGCCGATGCATGCGCTGGCATTGACTCTCTGATTATGGCTAGTATCGATCCGGAGAAACCTCATCGGTGCTTGAGCAACTCACACGCTTTCCTTCGCCAACGAGATGGCGACGTTGAGCGACCCCCGAGCACCAGGTTGCTGGGATCGAACCTTGCCCTGCAGCAGTGCCGTCCCCAGGGCGCAATCCCGATCGCAGGTAATTATGATGCCGGGCGTCTCCCGCGCATAACAGAGGCCAAACATTGGGCCGCTCGAAAGTTAACCAAGGCTTGGGGGGCCCATATTGCTATCAACCGCAACCAGGGATATCCCAGTATGGTCTTAAAAAAAAGCATGTCCGCACGGGGCAACTGACTAGGCATTCGGAGGGGTAACTGGAACGCAGGGGATGGGCATCCCATTCTCTTGTTGCTCTCTTGTTGCTCTCCTGGACAGTCCCGGGCAATCCTGAACACACTGATCGCGGCGCGCGTCCAATGGAAAACCGGGGGCTCCAGCGCCGCCTTTCTCTTTGGTCTGGACGATAGGAGACGAGGGGAGTTGAATGGATTTGGTGTTGGTCAAGTGAAATCCGACAGAGCTATCCGTGACATCTGTGGAACGAGTGATTATAGATGGACCGTCGGCGTGCGAATGGATGCGTCTGGACATTGCTTCTCGCTCGAAAAACAAGCAATTCGTCTAGGTTAGGGGTGGAGCTTAGTTACTTGCCGTCGATAAATGGATCAGTATGTGCTGTTCTCCAACTAGTATAGATCCGGTGGTCGTAAGTGAGTGCTGGATCAGTAAGGCCGAATCGTCAGCTCCAAGCATTTGCTTTTTGGGTGCTCTGAATGCGAAACGAGTACATTAAGCATGTAGTGTACTTGCAGCACCACGCCATCATATTTTGTTCTGCTGTCATGTTGCCCGCTGTAGGTAGTGGTGACAACGAAGTTTGAGGTTTGGGAGCGGCAATCGGCCAGCCTGTCATTTTCAATTTCTGGATATGCCGGCGACGGCGATAGCAGTGGAGTGGTAGAAGGATCGAAGGAAAGCTTTCGTCGGCGTTCTCGCCAAGAAACTAAAGCATGAGTGCTTTTGCCGTAGGTCACGTGGAAGGCGCTCGCTTCATTGGTGACACGCTCGCGAGACACGGGCTTACGTTTCGTTCATTCAACTGAGCCACGGAGTTGACCGTGCCGCTCCCTTCGGGCATATGCTCTTATGCGGCCGTAAATCTAGAAGATCTGCCACAATGCGTCCATTATGCGCATAGATGTCGCGCTGGCATCAGGGAGGCTCGAAATTACTTTTTTCCCCCCGCGATCTATCATAATCTCTCACTCGAAAGATTATGCGTTTTAGGAGAGCTGACAGAACTCATTGGAAGTCGCCAAGTGGAGAGAAGCCAAGGATGGGCGGACAACCGAATCACTCCTAAGAAGTATCGGTACAGTCGGAAATCCGGCCAGCGTCCTGACCTAAATCCGGAGACGGCCCCCAAGCGCCTCGCCTCGAGATTCTACCAACTCAAGACAGGACACTGCCTCACCGGCCAGTACCTCCAGTGGACCAAAAGCCGCCCGGATGCCCGCTGCAGCTAGTGCCGCTGCAAGACACAGACTCGGGAGCACCTCTTCAAAAACTGCCCTGAATGGAAAAGCCAGCAAAAGACACTCTGGGCAGAAGTTCGGAGGCAGACAAGGAGGGGCAAAGACCGCTTCAAAATACGGGACCTCTTCGCAGACGAGCGATGCAGCAAGGCCATCCTAGAGTTCCTCTCTACCACCGATATGGGCAGACGAATGCCAGAGGCCGATGAGGAAGATGCAGTAAGTGAGGCATCCGAGTGGAAGCTCAGGGAGCGGGAAGAGAGAGCGGAGCTGAGGCGACTCGAGGAGGCGGAGGAGGGTGCCGAAGACGGGGGGGAGGAGGGCGCTGAGGCTGAGGATCTCAGCGACGCAGAATAGCGGACTAGAAAGTTGCGGTAGAGGTGGGAAGACTCGAGGGCGCGGGAGTGAGTGCGAGGGCGCGGGGATGAGTGCGGGTGCGCGGACGACTCGAGGGCGCGGGGATGAGTGCGGGTGCGCGGACGACTCGAGGGCGCGTGTGCGAGTGCGAACGGCGGAGACATATCTTTGGGAACGGCCGGGGCGGAGGGTAGGGGAAGCCCCATCGGGCCGCCTGACGAAAGCTGGGTTGGACAGTGGCGTGGAAACTGGGGGGGAGGGGGGTGCACGTGTAGATGATATTACCATGATCTAGATAGGTCGCATGCAATCAACGACTGAGCAAAAAAAAAAGAAGAACTCGTTAGAAGTCTTAGATAGGCTGCATGCGAAATAATACAGGAAGATCTCTCCCTCTCTCCCGTTGGAAGTCTAGGTAGGTCGCATGCAATCAATGAATGAACAAAGCACTCGTTGGAAGTCGCCGATGAGCGGTGCAGCGAGGCAATCTTAGAGTTTCTAGGAACGACAGATGTGGGGAGGAAAGCTCCACCAGACCTGGAGGAGGAGGATGAGGAGGAGGCAAGCATCGCATCGGGGGCAGAGCAAGAGTGCCCAGCAGGGTACTGTGTCTGTGGTCGGTGCGAGGAAGTAGGAGATGAGAATATGCGGTGATATCTTCATAGAGCGGAAAGGCGGAAGACGGGGAGGGAAGCGAGGGGGTAGCAGGAGGAGCGGGCATATAGGCCCATACCGGTCTTTACTGTCAACCTGCCTTCTACTTTTGCTTGTGCCGGCCCGAGGCGAATGGGCAGGGGAAGTGGGGCGCCGCATCGGACTGGCCGGTACCGGGGCTTTCACCTCGACTGGCCAAGACGGGCAGAAAAAGGAGTTCGTTGGTTCGCCATAGTCTAGATAGGCTGCATGCGAAATAAAACAGGAAGATCTCTCTCTATCTCTCTCTCTCTCGTTGGAGGTATCAGTCCCGGCTGGAGAACGGAGCTACAGGATACTCGGTCACATGGCACTACAAAGGCAAAAGCACTCAAAGAAGCGTCAAGAAAACTTGTGATCATCTCTTCAAAATTTCGTAGTTTGAAGTGAGGGCACAATTATGAAGAGGACGAAAAAGCAGACAGTTGTGACTTAGATATATGGGTTGTATGCTGATGGGAAGGTTGGGTTAGTACTGCTGGAAGGGAAGAAGAGAAGGGGAAGAGAATACCTATGGTGAACGAGTCGTCTTTGATTTTTAGGTTCCTCGTGTCTTGAAAGCATCCCCCCACTATCTTAGCCAGCAGCCGTCCAAATCCGATCATCTCATCCGTTTCAAGCCTGATGGTTGTAACCCGGGGGGTGACCTCACTTCTGACGGAAGCACTCAGACACGTCATGGCCATCCTGATGACAGTATGTGCACTTCTTATTGTTCCACGTGGTGTGACCGTGCCTCGGTCTTTTGTTGCCCTTGTTGTAAACGGACTTACCTGCAGGAATCTGGAGCTTCTTCTGCACCTCGGTCTCTCGGACGAGCAACATGCGTAGAACCTCGTTGGGCTTTCTATCCAAAGATTCTAATATAAACAGCTCCTGGATCTGCTTAACAGTACGTTTTCAATCAGGAGCCTCCGCATCGATCCCGCGTAGTAGGTAAAATGAGTGCTCTTAATTCGAAATATTTTCATTCTCTTCCTTTGCGAGGAGATTGAATCGGCCCACATCATGCTGGATCTGCTGTGCGTAGACTCGCACACTTCCCACATCCGAGAGGCGTATTTCGTTGAGCTCATTACGAATCTCGTAGGCATTGTTCCCCATCTTGGCGGCCTGGTCTATCTTGATCGTTTCCCACAGCTCATGCGGCTCTTCGTAGGCCTTGAACTTCATCTAGAAATGGCGCTCCATAGCCATCGTGATTGTAGACTTTTCAAAGTCCTTGTGGTTTAACCATGAAAGCCATTCCGCCGTTGGCGTGCTCGATAGGACGTTGGCAGTCTTTTCATCCTCAAAGGCAGGCGCCGATAGTAAAATAGGCCGTCCATCGGGTTCGGTCTCAATGCCGATGGTGATGTTCCAGGCCATGTTGTACTGGAGAACGAGCTTGACATCGAAGATCCACCGCTCGTAGTTATTACCGTCGAACTTCTTGATGCCCGCAATCTGCAACTTGGTGTCCTTCGCTGCGGGGGTGGTGGCGAACGACATGGTTTTATTGTCGGAGGTGTTTGGTAGTGGCGGAGTCTCGAATCTGAAGCGAAGGTCTTCCAGGTGGTTAGATGCGCGTTCTGAGTACCGGGCTCCAGAGTGGTTGAATGATGGGGGAGGACATACAGACGAGAGAGTGGATGGGGGGGTTGACCGTCTAGGTATTCGACAGATGATGACCAAGAAAGAAGAAGAAAACCCACGGAACCTATATAAGTCTCTCTCCTCCCCACGTGATCTCTCTCCTGCCCGCTTGCTCGACCCGGATTTTAGCCGACAGCTCCTCCATCACTCGTCCACATTTGGGGGGGTTAAGACCCTAATTACTGTATAGTGAAGGAGGGGGGGGGGGAGATACGCTTTTTTCCGTATCAGTACGGTCAAAATACGTAACTTTGACCGTACTTATACCATACATATCAAGAATATAGAAGATAGAGATAGGGATGGATAGATAGATACACAATGTTCGGTTGATTCTCTACTTCTCGTCGGACCAGAGAGGCCCTCTATATACACGTTCGTCTCGTCCAAGGCAGAATACTCTTACGTAGGAGATACTCAGGTCCTTCGGCTTGTGAGACGAGCACGGTCCGCGCCGCGTGATTAGGTGGAGCCATTGGGATCGTGAGTCTTCTAGAGCCTTCCGGACGTCTAATCTTGACAAAACGGATAGTGGGCCATACCACACTCTCATTCCCACAGACCGTTAATGACATTCTAAATGCACATGACCTGACCCGGTGGGAATTTATTCCCCTCTCCAATATCGATCAGTATAGAAACGACGTGGAAGACTATGAGGAAAAAGGCGAGTACATACCACTTTTCTTTCCGCTCACTTATGTCACATTCACTTCGGTGGGGACATCGGCGCTTCGGCTGACCTAATGTCACCAGTGGCTTGGACGAAATGGATGAGCGGGACTGCTAGTAGATGGGATGTTGCCGCTCGTCATGAATCATGATATAAAAACAGACGAGTGCAAAATCATGAATTAAGAAAAGAAACAAAAAGAATCGTCACCCGTGTACCCCTTCTATTCCGTCTTCACGATTACTATTACCACTGAATGGTGCACGGAGCCACAGGCCGCTGGCTATTGAAGCAGAGTGACAGGCTGTGCTATGATCGATGGTACATACATGTAGCAACAGGTAGTTCACGTAAGTCGCTTTGGTATACGATCCGGAACCGCGAATGAGAATACACAGCCGCGTAGCTAGTAGCCATGGAACGGCAGCAGCAAGCTACCTCGGTTGCCTCGACTCTCCAACATCTCCGACCTGCGCGGTACCTTCTAGGACGTCGATAATCGGTGGGCCTACTCAACCAGCTATTGTAATACGAAAGATGTCTTCAATAAAATTGCATTTATTTACATGCATAGTTCATCTAGGTATGCTCACATATTCACATCCCCCCAGCCGTACTGTGCCCTAAGAATTAGGACCATAAAGAAAAACCTCTATCAGGAAAAAGAAATGGCTTTAAAAGAACCCCCGGGTATCAACGGAATGCGACCGATAAACCAAAAAAACGAACAAAATACGCAGCCGAAACACATTAAACAACAATCATCTGCCCAGCAATCACGATCCGGAAGGTGACCCCCCGAATCTATTATCTCGGCTCGGCGGGCCGCCGATGGTGGCCACGTAGTTTCCCTTGTCCTTCCCAGCTAAATGACCACTCGTCATTCTCTCCATCTCCCTCCTTTTTTTCGAGTTGTTCTTGACCTCTTGCTCGGCTTGGAGCTCGTTATATTGCAGCTGAACCTCCACATCCACTCGGATGCCCGGATTTATCGACTCGGCGGATTCGCTCTTGTGGTGACCGTGGCGCGACTTGGGGTTCTCGTCGAGCGAGATTTCCTCATCGGCGTCGCCGATCGTGGACATGAACTGGTCCTTCTGCTGCTTCTTGCGCTTCGCAGCGCTGTTTCCGGAGCGCGAATAGATCGAGTTGATGACATCCTTCGTCGAGAAGGGGCTCGGCTTCGCATCGCCAAAGAAGAACCGGCGGAGCTGGACGAAGACGGGCATCATCATGGGCGCATTGTTGACGAGGAAGCCAACGCAACTCTCTCGGACTGCCCATTGGGCCATGAGGGTGCTGGAATACAAATCCTGGAAGACGAACGCGGATCTGAGGATGGCGGCGACCGTCACGAAGATTCCGGCTCCGAAAAGGAGCGTGATGATGACTTTCCTGTGGAAAGGCATGGTGGATTGGATGAAGATTGGAAGCGGGATGCTGATGAGGTAGACGTCCGTCGCAACGTTGAGGATCAAGATGACGATATGCTTGGCAAGTCCTTGGGTACAACTCGCTTCGGAAGAGACTCAAGTCAATAAAGGATAGGCCATTTCAAGAGGTCGGGATATTGAGGGACAACTTACACCCTGGATCCGGAACGACCTGCCAGTTCTTATGGAAAGGAACGCACTCGCACATGGTGGTGATGAAAACGATCACATACGTGATGCACACCATCCAGAGGGCGATGCGGACTTTCCTTTGCGCGTCCGTCAAGCCTTGAAACAGGCGCTTGAAGAAGAAGCACATGCCTAGGGACAAAGTAGGCACCGGTCAGTTCCAGTGATTGGAAAAGGGCATGCATGATTGAATCGGGCGGGAACATACAGGTCTTCATCAACCACACGGTTAAACCGTACTCCACCCATCCGGAGATGAACAGCTTCGAAGCAGTGACGTGGTCCGCGATCTGCTCGGGATTCCTGCTGGCTCGTATCTCGGGGGGCATGTTGTTGGATCCGCCCAATCCCGCAATGAAATGGATCTGTGTTGTTTCCGTCGTATATACAAGCTAAACATACTGCTGTCAGAACAAGCATCGGATAGTGAAACAGCTGTGTGTGTTTTTGGGTGCGCGCAAAACTCACTCCCGCAAATAACATCAGATAATCGTCGATCTCGAACTTTGATATCGGCACGGAGATGAAACGCCCAATGGTCCTGAAGATGATGAAGACCCACGCCACAGCGAGCAATATCCAGGCTTCGATCCGGAGGTCGATCGCAGCCTTGTGTCCTGCGGCCAGGGCCGCTTCCAACGCAGCCTTTTTGGCGGCATCAGATGTTGATATCGTTGCTGTCGCTGCCGCCGTCGCCAACGCGGTTATTGTCGAGAGTGTCGTCATTTTTATCCTTCCAGAATCATGCGATGAACGGGATCCCAGGTTTCGCAGAGCTCGTGGGGAAGGGGGGTGGGGGGGATCTGCTTCTTAAGGACCCAAGAGCATAGCAGCTGCAGGAGGTCCTGAGGAATCGTGGCGAGGAGTCGACACTGCGCCGGAGAAATTTGGCGTTCTGGGCACGCTAAGCATGCTGCTGCTACCACTAGTAGAGCAGAGTAGGCCCTCGCTCTCACGGTAAACGATACCCAGTTTCCTAGTTGATGAATTTCGTGACCGGCGAAGGCCGGAGCCGATCAAAAGGGGTTCTTGGAGGCTGATCCGTCGGGTAATTGGTGATGTTTGGTGTGAAGTTTCAACCCTGGAAGCGTCGTGATTCGGGACATGGATGTGGCCGCTCTATCTGCGGACTGCTCAGAGATGGCGTCAAAACCATGGATCGGCGCGTGTGCGTAAAGCAGACGAGTACCGTATGTATAGTACCGCGTCGGTACCGTCTACATATAAAGCGGACGGGCATGTAGATACCGTACCAGTAGCGTCTGTAAAGCAGACGAGTATTTAGTGTAATAGTACTGCTAGTAATACCATATCATGGGCGGCAGAACGAATCGTGTCTTCGCGTCACCACTCCATTGCGTTCGGACGCCCACCACGCCACAGCAACACCATATTCCATCGAAAATAACAGCAGACGACGCGAGAGTACATACCACTCGCGAGGTACTATTAGTCACGACTATTGAGAAGCAGCAGGCGCGAGGAGAACTACCTTCGCATCGGTTAGGAAGTATCTGTGGGAGCGGGCCGGGGCGTTGTGCGGGCGCCAAGACTCAATTGTTCCGTCACCCGGGCCAACTGGCCCGAAGTACTAGTACCTGTGAGACATACCGGTACCGATTTCGGGTATCTATGCAGAGTCGATACAGAGATGCCGCGGCTCTCGCATGTGCTACCCACGCAAGGCCCGACATACATAGCTACGAACAGGCCTACAACGTATGTACCGGTAAAGTACCGGTAGGTACCTAGAGTGGGAACGCGGCAAATTGATGGACACAGGAACATACTCGATACGCAGTCGCGCGGAAATTGCATGGTCTCGGTGCATTCGGTAAGTAAGTGCACACTGTGAGCGACGCTGATATATATGTGTTTGTGCATATATAATAATAATGCACATGCCCATTGCCCACCGTCCCGAGAACAGATGACATGAGAGGCGTCGAGACTCGACCTCAGGAGAAACAGATCTCCAGTCGCACTAGGTATGATGCTAGAGTAAGTTTATGTACCTAGTGGAGCCGCTGCCATCGCGTCACGCGACGACGTTTTATCTGCAGGCCGATGCTTGGCTGTCGCACCTCGAATCATAACGATAGTTGGGTCTGGCCTTTTCCTTTCTGCCGAAAAATAAGGTCCCGTCGCGTCTAGGGGCTGTTTTCCTCGTCTCGTCTCCGGCCGCCCCTGAGTCTTGATCGTGCTCCAAGCCGAAAGGTCAAACCCGATGGCTTCGGAACTACGATCGGGATGGATACCGTCCTTGAGCCGACACGATTCTGCCATCTCGCTAATACTTATCTACCTAGTAACCTTGAGCCGCTTATTTTTTGGGGGGTTTTTTTCGAGATCCGAAAAGGACCTTGCCAATCGCTTCCACTTTGGTCGCTATGGCCTCAGACAGTCTCGGAAGGAGTGATTACTGTACCAGTATGTACTGTACTCTGTTTCTTTTTCCTAGAGGAAAGACATCGTCACACGGGAGGGAGGTTTGAGACGGAATGGTCGAAGTCAAACCAATTACGCCGGTCACTCGGTATACTAGATATATGCAAGGGGTATTTTCTTACGTGTTCCCCGATGCGCGAGGGTGTCAGTTCACGGTAAGTCGGTAACTACAGTAGCAAAAAGTGGGGTGCGATTACTACCTGAAAAATACCAGAGTTATCACAATATCAAAGAACTACCAGGTTTTTACTTAACCCGTATTTTTACTTTTTAAAAAGAACCAGACAGCACGTATTTCCACATAGAAAAAAGGCCTACCATCTTTCCCACATCACGTATCAAAAAACAATACGTCTGCTACAGACAACCAGAGTTATTCAGTGTTGCAGTACATCTGCGGTGAAATACGTAAATATAAAACCTACATTGTTCTAGAACCATATAGTAAACAAAACTGCCTATTGGGTTAACTTCGATGGTACTACGTGATATTCACCAGTTGTCTGCAATATCACTACTGAAAGACTGCCGTGCTTGTAGAGGCCGGTACTCACCAGTACCCTTAGGGTCCGTACAATACGATCTTCTGGAGTATCATGGGGTTCGAGATATGCGGTACCTAGAATAACGCATTTACTGCTGTGCTTACCAGCACTCTACTTTAGGGTCCGTACAATGCGATATTTCACAACGGACTTGCATCGCCACAGCTCCTTCCTCGCCGCATCTGCTCCCCCTCTTCTTCTTCTTTGCATCATCATCGCAGCTCCTCCCTCGCCGCATCTGCTCCCACTCTTCTTCTTCGTCTTTTCATCATCATCACAACTCCTCCCTCGCCCATCTGCTCCCCCGCCGCAGCTCCTCCCCTCTTCTTTTTCTTTGCATCATCATCACAACTCCTCCTGCCGCCGCAATCCTACTCCCACTCCCCCCGCAACTCCTCCTCACTGACAAGTCCTCCTCGCTTACCACTCCTCTTTCCTGATAGCTTCTCCATCAATTCTTCCCCTTAGACAACTCCTCCTCGCTGGTAAGTCCTCCTCACTAACAACTCCTCCTAGCTGACAACTTATTCAACTCTCCCTTCTCGCTGATAGCCCTCCCCCCTCGCTGATCACTGCTCTTCCCCTCACTGATAGCTCTTTCTCTTCCCAACAGCTCCTCCATCACTCAGCCACAACAGCAATGCCAGCGGATTATTTGCAGCGAAGACAGTGTGCCATCTGCGGCTAGGCCAGCGCGCTACCCAGGTCAATTGGCAGGTGCTTCGATTGGAAGCACGGGCCGCCTACAGTAATCGAAAGTAGCAGTACTAGTAGTAGTAGCAGTAGTAATAGTAGTAATAGTAGTGATAGTAGTAGTAATATCTGAAAACTGCCAGAATGTCGTACATTTTTGCTTGCGTACAACACGTCTTATCCACAGTACGTGTTTTTTTGAAGCCAGAGGGTTTCTACGCATTTCTTCCGTGGATCTCTTGTAGTTGTAGTTTTACTACAGTCCAGGGACCATTTGGTTGACATGAAAACGGTGCTCTCTACACTACGTTGTTGTGCATACAAGGTAGTTTTCTGGCATGTCTCTGGTATTCCCGACATCACGTAAGATTTTGCGTCTGGAAGAACTGCAGTGGTTCTTCCTACTTTTTGGTATGCATATCTTTACAACCCTACGTAAAGATTTTCGATACCGTAGAGGTGGGACTATGGGAAGAAAGAAATTTCAAAATACATCTGTATTTTCGGAAAACTGCCAGGTTTCTACCTATACGGTGGTTCTACTCATGACCTGCGGAAGGAGTCGCACCCCACTTTTTGCTACTGTATCTTAACCCCCAACCATTTGTTGCATTTGACATGCAGGGATTCCCAGCAGCAGTAGCAGCGTTGATTGGTGCATAGAGCCACGCCTTTTCCCCGGATGCTCGAGGGAGCATCAAGACTTTCAGCGGCAGTTAGACTCGGAGCGGGGTGAAAGACTCTGTGTTCGCCGACTTTCCTGAAGGAGAACTCTTTCCGAAGTGGGCTCTATTTGATGTCAAAGCGCTTTTGAGATCGAAACGTGGAGTATGGTAATAGTATCGCCCACGACCATCAGTGCTTATGTACCAGTACTCTGTAGGTACGTAACTCACATAGCTCCACTACGCTCCTCCATGCTACTACTAGTACTAGGTATCATAGTACCTACGACGACACACCATGAAAGCAGGATGAAGGAAGAGCTTTCGAGGCGAACGCTTACATAGTGCTGTGGAACCTCCGGAGGTTGGATTCGTGTTACACCGCGTGTGAGAGCTGTTGATCTCCACGCGGCATCGAAAGTCTATCCCAAGCCTGCTTACGATTGGCGGTTCCATTAGCTGCGAAGCGGCCGAGCCACCGATTGCTTGGGGGGAGGGGCCAGACGTTTCGGCGCTGCCATTATGTATGCATGTATCCAGAGTACTTGGTAGTGGTGTAACGACTTGTGGATTTTCGGTGGATTCTTCTTTGCCGAAAAGTCTTGCCACCGCCCGCCACCGCCGCCGCTCGGATCCCTATGGCCAGTACCAAGCTACACACTAGCGGTAGTTGCAAATACGTAGTAGACTACAAAGTTACATGTGGAACGGATGGCGATTCAAGATCTCTGCAGGAGACGCTCGAGATGCTCTCGATTGTCGATGGCAAGCAGCGCCCCTGTCAAGAGCGGCTTCGACTAAGGCCATGTCGAAAGCGTGGCACTGATGGGACGGCACTGATTGGCTCAGCACCGCCCTTGGCGAGGGATTCCCACGTGGGAGGCGCGGGTTCTTCCATCATCCCAGGAAACGATGGCCTGGAGTTCGTGAAGAACTCCAAAGTACGGAGCGTCGGTGTCAGCCATCCACGGTGAATGCCTTCTACTTCCGGAGAAATCTCCGCGATTCTCGCAGGTTTCACCGTCGTAACGGAAGACGGAAGACCTGCGAGATCAAGGCTTTCGTTTGCTTTCGGTTCCCGCCGTCTTCCTGTCACCATCAAACACACACAGTTACCCATTTTCGCCAGCTGCACAGTATGATATGTACGTACGAATGCATCTCATGCGGAATGGGAGTTTATTAAAGCTTAGATAGAGTAGGTAAAGCATAGTACCTCCACTGCATAAGGCACCTCCCGCTGTGTACCATACGTTCTGAGATCGGCTGTGTGGTGCGATGTTTGATCCTGCTAGTGAGTGAACATCATCCGAGTAACTAGCACTAGACCGAATGTGTATAGGCGAGTAAATGTCCATGATTCACTCGCGATCGTATGATGGGGAAAAAACCCGCCGCCGTTCCTGCTCAACCCATATGACCTGATCTCGCATTTTCATTGGCGCCATCTTGGCCATGTGTGCATAAGTGGTGGCGGAGAAATACTCCAGATCGTTGCATCGAGCTGGTATGCATCCGAACTGCACTGCAGATAGGATTATGAATTTGCCGTGATCTATAGATTCGATACCTATATGCCGTACGCAATCTGAAGAAACTGAAAAAACAAAAGAATCCTCCCATGTGGCTGTCCCTCCAACATCTATCACGGTCTAGGTAAGACCACACGGGCAGTCCAAGACGCTAACTTTGCCACTCTTCAAGGATAGAGATGACTTGTGGCGCCGAAGGCAATTGGCAGGGGGGACGGGGCGGGACTCGCGCGATAGAAACGAAACACACTCTATCAGCGCTTCCGATATCGAGTTAGCATTCGGCTAAATCACAGCTACTCTAGTAGCGGAATGATCGGCGTCGGCAGGGGCAGTCATCATACGTACTGGTACTATCGGCGTCAGGGCAGCCATCATTGCGATCTTCGTCGTGGCGTTCTCTCTTGCTTCTCTCTCTCACTCGAGGATGGCTCTCTGCGACGATGTTTCCGTACTTACATACGTATTGCTCGTCCACGGACCACATTTGCAATATATAACGGAGTCTCCGATTTTCAGCAAAGTGGCGTTCTCCGGAATTAACCCACCAATCCCCAAACCGGCTTGGTAAGCGTGTATAGCAGATTACAGGTGGATAGTGTTTCTTGTATGCTTTTGGGTGTGTCACATACTCGAAGCCGACGCACTATGTAATGAGCATTGGCTTCGTTTGGTGGCTTGCTTGACGCGAGTGATCGGGGTGCAATAGGTGGTCCGCTGACTCTCTCACGGCTTTAAAGTGATACTAATGGATGCACGTCTCTAGTCCGGTGCTCCTTGAAAGGTCCGATTCTCAAACGCCACTGACCAAGCCGGCCACGGGTGAATTGGAGCAATGGACAATCGGTGGATTCGAATCTCCGTGCCAAGTCCCCGAAGGCTGAAGCGAATAGCCAAAACGCGGAGAAGCTTGAACAAAACGATAGTTCTGCAAACCCTGGCACCCCAAGACTTGGTGCTTCTTCCGCAACTGACCTCCTGCAGCTTTATATTCCCGGATTTTGAAATTCTTCGCCAATTGCTACCGTTCGCCGGGCTCATGGGCTATGACCAAAAGCGTCCAGGCCAGGCTTCGGAATATCCAACACAGCAGGCTCACAGCTTTTCAGGGACCCCGACGTATGCACATTGTACACCGTTCTATGTATTAAGTTATGTACAGCAATACCAGTAACGATACCTATTCTAGGTATGCATGAAGCTCAACACCGCACACTCTCTTTCATACCGCACTTGGTTTACCTACAATCGCTCCGTGAAGAAAGAATCAACATTGGACAACTCGCCGCCCGTACATAAATACATAGAGTACTCTACATAACGTGATACCAAACCTCCTGTGCCCCCCTGGATCCCGCATAAGCCCGTGGAAAACCCCCTCCCGTCCTCTTCATCGCCCCCGAGCAAAATATCGTGATCCGGCTATCCCTCAAGACGGAAAAACACACCCTCTCATCAATGTGTTCGGGCCGGTGTCGACGAAAAAAACACCAACCAACACTCCAACTCTCCGCCGCGAGTCCGGAGAAGAAGTCGGTAGTTATTCAGTCCGGATGTGTGATGTGTGGCCGCGATATCCTCCACGCAGAAAAAGTTGAGATGAATATCGGAAAAATAAGATGCGGCCAGCCGTTCAACCTCTTGTCGCCGGACCAAATGTGTAGGTAATATCTTCTCAAAGGCGGCTCCGAGAATAGGGCAGTGATCTTCTCTACCTCACGAACGTCTGCACGACCAAACCGAAAAGTATTGGGTATGATACATCAACCTCGACGCGTATGTACTATCTACCTACCTGGTAGGTTTCATCTTTCTGCATGCAAAATAAATTGAAGATCTCTCTCTCTCTCTCTACCTGGTAGGTAGTACAATTGGATCACGAACGATCACGTCGCCGGCACAGTTGCTCTTCGCAAGAAACATAACATGAATGATGTGTTAGCCTTTAGGTTGTTAGCACGAACCCACAGTACCTTTCCAAGCTGTCCAAGCTATCTAAGCTGTCCAAGCTGTCTTACGACTCTAGAAGAAGATCTGATTTCCGATTTCCAATTCCCAATTTCCGATTCGCGGATGGGAGAACTGATGTCCACCTCGAATTCTCAATTAAGTTCCGGAATCCGGAATCCGGATATGTATCCGCAAGTGCGGGGCGCAGTGCATCATGTAGGTACCTACTCTATGATCTACAGGTAGGTACCTGGTAGAGCAGAGGCGTGGGTATTCGATGCCGAGGCACTTCTGCTGTACTGCAGACAGTATCTACTACAGATATCCTAGTTATACATATCAATGGTCGAAACTCGAGAAGACGGCATATGTACCCTATATAACGCGAGATGGAGTTCGCCACACTGATTAATCCGTTCCGTTCTGGGAACACCGAAAGGCCATATGTGCTCATCTCACCGATAAGTCGGTACGCGAAGCTGAGTTCCATCTGGTTAGGTCGTTGAGGAAACTGGTCGAAGCGAAGCTGAAAGGCCAGGACCCGAGATCCAAGCCCGCTGCCCGCCGATTTCGAATCATCGGATGAGGAATTTCTCCGACTCGGAGGGGGGCTTGAAGTTGTCAAGTTGGTGCATCCATACCATACTTCCTTCGTGGGTGAAGGAGAATAACACTGATAGATCATGGAATGAGTTGGTAGGACGAGTAGAATGGTATTTGAGAACTAATGAATAGCACAAGATCACTAATCAATCGCATTTACTTGTTGCTATGTCTTCTACAACCATTGACTCCCACGTCGTACATCGCGAGAAACCCACTGTCCCAGCGTATATACACAACAATTTTCGCAATCCAGCTCGTCAGCTCAGCTCCCATCTTTGATCCGGAATACCTACAACCGACCTCATACCTGTCACCGGAGTTCCGAGAAAAAGTATCCATGTGTTACTTGCTTTGAAATCGCCGAAATACGTCATAGTTAGCTTGAAAAATTAGTGTTCCGGCATCTATGCCTCCCGCGCTCGCGAGTCGAGGTACCTATATAGACATTCACTCGATCATCGAAGTCCCTATACACATACATACACACCACTACCATATCACATAATGAAGGAAGTAATTGTTCGCGGAAACCCCATTCGTGCCGAGATTGTTGAGGTGGCGGTTCCGTGAGTCTATCCAAACCTCCCCCGAGCCACGATGATGATGATGACCGACGCTGATTGATTGATTGATCCGTCGTCACAGCCAGCCAGCTCGCGATGAAGTCCTGATTAAGGTCATGTGCACGGCCAGCAACCCGAAGGATTGGAAGGTGAGTCCTGAGCGCCTCGCAGCAGCAGCAGCAGCAGCAGCAGCAGCAGCACGGCATCCATCCAGAAAATAACAGACCAGCTCCCCGCATACGGCGTAGAACTGAACCAAGGCGACGACATCGCGGGCTACGTCGAAGCGGTTGGCGCCGACGTCTACGAGTGAGCCTATCCTCCCGCACCTCCCGCACCTCCCACGCTCTTCTGGCTGACCGCCTCCAGATTCAAGAAAGGCGACCGCGTCGCGGCCTTCCACGAGATGATGCAGCCGCACGGCAGCTACGCGGAGTACGCGATCGCGCCGGCGCACACGACGTTCCACATCGCGTCGACGACGAGTTTCGAGGAAGCGGCAACGGTGCCGCTAGCGGCGATGACGAGCGCGCTCGCGCTGCACATCGAGCTCGGCCTGCCCACGCCGTGGAAGCCAGCCACGAAGCGCATCCCGCTCATCATCTACGGCGGCTCCACCGCCGTCGGCGCGTTCGCTATCAAGCTTGCCAAGCTGGCGAATATCGGCCCGATCATTGCCGTGGCTGGCAGCGGCATCCCCTACGTAAAGTCGCTCGGCCCAGACAAGATCGTTGATTACCGCGAGGGGAACGTGGCCGCTGCGCTGCGTGAGGCCCTCGGCGGCGAGAAGTGCTACCACGCTATCGACGCGATCTCGGAGACCGAGTCGTACACCACACTGGGCGAGGTGCTCGCGAAGCCGGGATGTACGATCGTTACCGTGCTCCCTGGGAAGGAGTACACGGACTTCCCCGAGGATGTCGAGATGAAGGTTGTGATGGTTTCGGCAGTGCACAAGGCCACGTCCGGCCCCGCCGGAATGCCGGTGGCGCCGGATGCGATGGATTTTGGACATGCCATGTTTAGGTTCTTTGCGAGGGCGATGGCGGATGGAAGGTTCTCCGGACACCCGCAGACCATCATTGAGGGCGGGCTCGAGGGCGTCGATAAGGGAATGAAACTGCTGAGCGAGGGCAAAGCGAGTGCTACGAAATATGTGTACCGGTTCGTACCCCTCCCTCTGCACGGATGGTTATGTGAAGCAGCAGCTGATGGATGCAACAGAGTCCGCGAAGAATAGGTGGTTGGATTACGGATAACGATGTGCATAGAGATTTCATCTGTGGGAAAGACATGCTGCAGCATATACCGTCGTTTTTGCGCGCAATGGGGGACATTTGTATCATAGTACATACAGCAAATCCGAATCAAGCTCGATTCGGTGAGGCTAGTGTCGAGTGACATATCATGCAAACCAGGTCATGTGCTCGCATTGACGTGTCCATTCCCGCCAACTTCCCCTCATCTCGATCCGGTGGTATGTTGCCCGAGCCTGCTGGATATCCGTGTCGATGACAACAAAAACTTCGTCCGATGATCGTCTCAATCAGCTGAACACGGTCCGGCCCACCGAGGATAGGTACGCTTCAATTGAGGCTGCGGCGAGGCGAGTGGAATCTCGAGAATGATGCGCAACTCCGACAAGCACCACGTTGTTTTCGTGCCGTGTGCTTTCCAATTGCTTGCCACATCATCGCCTCTCTCTCTCGGGCCGTCAAAGCTGTCACTGTAGGTAGGTATGCGGGTATGCACACACTCTTCCGGAGGGCGGAGCCAGAGACCGGCTAGGCCAAACCGTTTCCAGAAGATGGCAGGAGAAGAGAGAGATTCGAGTCTAGAAGCGACCAGAAGAAAAAAAGAAGAGAATGATGGTTGTGTGCAGGGACTGGGGACTGGGGACTGTGGGGCCGACACGCGTTTCTTTTGCCCACGTATGTATCTACATACATAGGCAGGCAGGCTGTGATGTCCCCCGCCCCAGACAAGTATCGTACCTACATGGACACACATTCACCGGGATTACATACTGGGACAGCTCATCCAAGATTCGCGAGAGGGTGTTCAAGGTGTCAGCGAGAACGATCTCGATGGTCCGTCCTGTCGCAGACGGTAGACCTTCCCCCGGACTCCAGAAGAAGAAGCCGTTCCCGTATGGAATAAGTTGTAGGCACACGGTTTCATAGGTACTCGGCAATCCCCTGGTTACAGGTACTGGAGCACCGGCAGTGACTCGATGCGTTACATACCTCGTGAAGGTTTTGGTTACATAGTCCGCTTTGGCCATAATCACAGCACTCTGAGTGTGTGTGTTTCCAGCTCGTCAGAGTCTGGTTTGGGGCTTCAACTCGGAAGTAGCCTGGTAAGTTGGTAACTAACGGCAGCCAGCCAGACCTCCTAAGACGGCTGTTTGTACTCTCCTCAATCAGCCGAACGCTGTCATGTACTCATGAGCCAATCACGAAAACTCCCGGCCGGCCCGGGCGGACGGGCAACAGCAACAGCGAAACGAACGAAACGAAATGATGCCTGCAAGGTGCTACAAACTCAGGGCCGGCCATGCAAAAAGCAAGAAACCAGAAACGGGAACGAGCAAGCGGACAAGTGATTGGCCGCGCCCACGCAGTTTTGTGCGAAACTCGGCAGCCTTTCGTCAGGCACACGACACACGGCAGAATCGGATTGGAATTTTTTCTTTTTCTTTCCTTCGTTGCTTCGCTCTCGCTCTCTCCATCCGACGATGCTTCGCTGTCGCTGGCAGCCTGCTTTGGTCTTGCTGTTCATGTGCCACGTGTCATGCAACAAAAAAAATTATTTCGAGCCAACCCAACATGTTGTGGTTGTGGTGTGGTTCCCGGATGCATGGGTGGGCTAGTTATAGTTCATAGTGATTAGAATCGGACATGATGCTGCTGCTGCAGCGCCAGAACCGCTGCGTCGGGTACGCGATCGTGACCATCTCTCCCGAAAGAAAAAAAGTGATTCTGTGCTGTCGGGTTCGTCGGATGGTACATACTCTAATATGTACCGGTATAATAGGTACAACAAAATCCATACCCGACCCGTTCGCAATGGTGGAGTATGTACCGGTGGGTAACTATATGGACTCAAGAACCTGTTGGAAATGAAAGAGATATATAACTGGTAGGTGGCGGGTACTTATACATACTTGGATACTTACCGGTATGTACATACATAAATACTGTGGGGATCTCGTGCCGCATGAGAACGATCAGCGCATTGGGTCCGTGGTAGTTACTACCCTATGTAGATTCTTAGTTACCATGTATCGTGGGTACTTATTTAGGTACTCTGGTAGTCTGGAACAAGTGGTCTATTGCCTTCTGAAAGAGGAAAGAGAGAAAAAGCGCACAGAATAATAGTGACGTCCGCTCGTACCGGTATGTAAATCCAACAGCGCGCCTGTTCTTGGACCTTCCGTGTAGTGTACACTACTTCCAGAGTTGTTAATAGAGTATGAGGTAAGTACTTCGTTACATTACGTTACAGCTTACTCTGACGGAGGGGCCTGATTCTGTTAGTTACGTGTCGCCCCAACACATGTTTTGACGATGACAGCTGTGATTCTGTGATTTTGTGAAACTCCACGACATCCGACGGGCTCCTGCGTCGTCACGTAGGTACGTTCGTAGGGAGCACGATCATCAGCTGGTGGGTTTGCTTCGGATGTGCGAATCTGCTAATTACTTACTTACCTGCCTATTCCTCCCTGATTCCTTCGTGACTTCATCCGTCAGTCATGTCATGTCATGTCATGTCGTTACCTCGAGAGGATGATTGGCGTTTGCAGGTACTTACATATGTACATACATACCTGTGGGCGCCGGGCGGATCATGGCCCCCTAAGTATGTAGTTACAACGGACGTGCAGCTGGTAGGTATCCGGAGATGAGGCAGACACATCACGGGGGTGGGGAGTGGGAGATCCGAATCGTAGGGCACCAATAATCCATCGAAGGTTGACCGCGTACTTGTTCGTGTATGTGTTCCATCTCATCGTACTCTATGTAGTCGAAAGCTGCAGCTACCCGCGGTCCATCCGAGGTGTGTGGTCGACATCAGGCCTAAAAACCAGCCATGTAGGTATGTAGGCCTGTGGGGCAAACTCGGCGGCGGTGATTTGCTCGCCCTGGCCGACTGGCTAGCTGAGCGCGGGAGCCCACACACACACACACTCGCTCGCAGTACTCAGCATCCGACAGCAGCGGCAATCTCGGACGATGCGGGCCTGCGGCGGCGAGCAGGTGGAAATAGTACATAGCATTCGTCGAACGGTGAACCCTGATAATCCGTGCCGCGGGCGGTGAGCGGCGGGCGCCCCTCAGATCTTGAGTAACGTTATATCAGTTATATCAGTTATACCACCGGCCGTCAGCATTATTATCATCATCACCAGCACGCACGAAGGAACAAACGAACGGACGAACGCAGCCTCCCCCTCTCCTCCACGAGCCACCACGGGGCTACATACATACTACCATCCTTTTGTGTACACACCGCCCGTGAGGTGATGTCAAGCGGCGGGAGCCCCCGTGCCGGCGGGTATTGACATATCACATGTACAGAGCGAGCTCATGGCAGGCAGGCAGGGCGGCTGTGGAATGAGGCCCTGCCGCCTCGCCACAGCTGAAAGCTCCCTCGCGTCGTCCTCTTCTTCGTCCTCCTCCTCGTTTCTACACCGGCCCATGAAATATTGAGTCCGGCGATCCGAATGACAAGCAACCAACCAACCAACCAACCAACCAACCAACGCAGTTGCCCTTGTGTGGTCACCCAGATCGAGTACATAATGACGGCCTTCTCGATGGGTGGATACCAAGTCGAGTCCAGTCCGGTGCACCATTACACCATCCATCGTTCGGATGCGCTCACTCTTGCTCGTTGGGACGACAATCGTTTTTGGTGTTGGGGGAAGTTCAAGTGTATGTAGTTGGTTAGTTAGCGGCCTGGTTCGGTCGGTTCAGTTCAGTTGGGGGCAGCCTTCCGCTGAGCTATAGTACTCCCTATATGCTTTCCGCGCTGCCGCGCACCATTGACGAGGTAAATATAGTAGTGTGTAGCATACCGCAGGAAATATGGATGGTAGATCCAAGAGGATCAAGCGATGGCCGGTTTAAAATTTATATTTATATGTAGCCGCCCCAAGAGATGTGATCCGAGGGGGTGGGGGAGGGAAGGACTCGGGGCCTATGAAGAGGTTCGGATGATCGGACTGGACTGGCCACACCAGCCACAACGTGCAACATCAAACATCAAGTGATTCATCCCTCAGCTCCCCAGGCACGGTACTATCGGTAGTGTAGATAGATAGGTGCCCCCAGGTAGCCCCAACAGTCCAACATACATCTCCATCTCACAAAAAGGAGGAGGCCAGTTTTTCAGGGATAGGCCGAGTAGTATTATAGTGATGGTGTACGCGTTTGGACTGACTGGAGACGTAACTGCCCGGCTCGGTTCAACGAATAAGCTGGAGAAACCAATGACACTCGAGTTCGGCCCTGCCCTCACAACAAGGAGAAAACGAAGCCAATAAAGCCTTCCACATGCGCCAAGCGATGAGATGCAGCCTCCGATAGCTCTCCCCATTAGCCGTAGTTGCGGCCCTGAGAGATCAATACTGTCCTGTTCCCACTCCCTACGCCCGCCCCGCGAACCCTCCCCTCCTCCACTGGAGCCCCTCTCCCCCCCTCCCCCCTCCAGTGCAACCCTAGCCCCAAGATAAACGTCCAAGGAGGACGCCATAATCCCGGGGGAGCTGTGGCTGTGTATGTAGTTATTGCCGCAAACAAGCGTATGGCAGTGGGTAGCTGAGACCCTGGGGTTTGGCGGGTGTAAGTAAGTAGGCGGTACCAAGTATATATCTGCGGCGGGAGGATGGGTGGGTGGGTGAGCAATGCAACCTCGAGCTCATCTCAACCTCCTACCCTCACGAGATCCGGGAGAAGCAGTTTCTGGCAGCTTTGGATGGAACCGACGGATATGTGCTGGCGAGCTATCAGTTATCAGGCATGATCTTGAGCAATCCGTACGTACGAACTTTTCCAGGAAGAGGCCAAAGAACCACATACTTCTTACCCGGGTGAGGAATATTTTTTCAATTCTTTCTTTTCTCCGATTTGCAAGCAAGGGGGCCAAGATAGGCAACAGCAAGACGAACGCATCGCACCCCCATCTCTTCACGCATCCATCCATCCCTCGGCATACAGTGTCTGTCTAGGTATCGTTCCGGCCGTTCGTTCGTTCGTCCATCCGTTCGTTCGTCCGTCCGCGGACCAGGCAGGCAGTCAGGGAGCATCGAACACGTACTCCGCACCGATCTGTTGAGCGGCGGCGTCCATCCCAAGTCATCTTGAAAGGACCTGCTACATACTCACATCTCACTCCGAACCCGCCAACCAAGTACATCCGTTGCTCCTCCCCGAGGCAGGCTTGTGGGCTGGCTGGCTGGCTGGCTGTTCCTTTGTTCCCTTTTTCCCGAACCCACCGCACGGTGCAGCAGCGGAGCGAGCTAGCTTTCCCCGGCCCTTTCGATGGAAGGTTCCGTGGAACACTCTTCTGCAGGCGCAGGAATAGCTGCTGCTGCTGCTCCTGCGCGCCAGCTCAACGATCACCCTCCAGCAGCAGCAGAAGCCGCAGTAGTATCGGCAGCATCACTACCGTCACAACGGCCACCACAGTCAGAAGGCCCATATCGACAGCGGCGGCGTCCGTCTGAATCCCATGCAGCAGCAGCAGCAGTGGTAGACAGGTCCTGCCACAGCGGCGGCGGTCTAAGTCATCGCGCATACGCAGTCGCGCGAGACCACACTGGCAGCGAAGGCAGATGCATGACTGCTCGAAAGGGCCGTGGTGGGCCACGAAATGGTAATGCAAATGGAAACGAGGGAAGGCGTGGGACTGCTTCTGTTGTCGTTGCTCCTGCTGGACCTGGGACATGGAGCCACTCTCGGCCATCACTTCCTCTTGCACTTCTTCCAGCACCACCACCACCAGCACAACCACCACCAGCACAACCACTACCACAACCACTACCGCTACTACAATTTCATCCAGGGTGCCATTTAAAGCCACGTCGATCATGGGTTCCCGTCGTTTCCCTTCCACGAGCTGCCACAACAACTGCACTACAATCCGCATCATCATCTCAAGCTATTCCTGCGCCGCTATTACTTGTACCGGGCCTCCCGCTGCAACAACCCAGCCATTCCTTCGTCCCAAGGAGCAGCACCAGCCGAGTCGTCTTTCATCAGCAGCAAGCACTAAAGCTCAATCCTTATTCATATTTCATTCCTCTCGCTATATCTCAACCGCCTTCACTTCCTCCGCCAAACTATTTCCACGGCTACGGTACTACTGCTACACCTTCCATCAATTACCATCACCAGGACAACAATAACAACAACCACCACCACTACCATCACCACCCTCACTCCTACCACCTTGTTTCCACAGTCCCAGCGGTCATGCCTATCAGTGTTTCCACAACCCCAGCGGTCAAGCCTTCCACAGCACCAAGCTCGCCAACACCGAACGTTGACAAAAAGAGCTGGCAACAAAAGCTTAGTGGTATGCATAACTTAGAGCATTATTGCCTCTTCTTCCTACTCCTTCTGCTTCGGAACCTCAGTGGGGGCTAATCTTCTCTTTTTCCTTCTCTGCAGACCACTGCGAGGCCACAAACCTCCCGAAGCCAGTCTTCGGGCTCATGTCTGATCGTCGTGGTACGTTAACCACCCTTTCCCTCAACAAAAATAGTCGCCCTTGCACTTTCTCCCGCGGATTTTTTCTTCTTCCTGCATTGCTTCGTTGTTATCGACGTTGTCGTGCCCCATTTTTCCTTGCGCAAGAAATCCGAAACCACCACCACCACCGTCGCCGTCGCCGCGACCACAATCCATGCCATGCACGAAGAAAACTGGCTAACCGCAATGATGTACATGTAGGCGGAAGAACAGCCTGGCAAGGCACGGTACGCGTGGGTACATACCACGTAATAAAAGCACGATACTGGTACAATGGTCATTACAACGCCTACGAGGACGCTGCCGAATTGATGCTCAACATTTTCGAGAAGCGATCAAACGGCGAACAGCAGTCCCCAACTTCCCCGCAGACTTCCCCGCAGACCGCCCGTCCATATTTCGGCAGCGACGAGTTCTCCAACTACACGACTACTGCTGGAAGCAGCTCGGAAGCAGCTGTAAGAGCGGGCGGAGGAGTAGGAGTAGGAGTAGGAGTAGGAAGCATCGGTGGGAACGGTAGCTACACCTACGGCTCGATCGGGGATGCCGTTGTTGGGCAGGGACTCGGCGGAGGACTGCGCCATACACACTCGCATTCGTTGGCGCATGGTTCGCAAGCTCGGGGTGCAGCATCGTTCGTCAGCAACTACGGGGGCTAAAAAGCCCTTAGTTTGCCAGCTGGCAGGCAGGCAGGGCGTCTGCGCTGCAAGGGGAGGGGGAACTCATTTTCCGGCTACCTAGGACTGACAACAATAACTCAATGCAACGATCGCGAACGAACGAACGGCCAACGAATGGAACTGTACGGAAGACAGCAACAGCAAACGGAAGACAATAAGAAAAAAAACATCCACCGGCGGAGCCCTCCCCCTCTCTCTCATTCCTTTCTTTTGGAACAGGCAACCTTGTAATACTATCGGCGGCGACGGCGGCGCGCGTTTCTTTCCTCATCATCAGCATCATCAGCATCATCTCGCATCATCTCTCGCATCAACTACTTTATAAAATATGGCGGCATCGGTATGAAATTGGGGAGTTGTTTCCTTGTTAATTTTAGTTTTCTTTTCTGTTATTTCCTTGCGTTGTGTGCACTATTGGGGCGGTGGATTCGATCGAGTTTAGTTAGGGTTTTTGGGAGGTTCAAGTTCGTTCAGTTCAGTTTTTGGTTATTGGGAAAAATCTATTTGCTTTTTGTTTCAGTGTCTTTCTTACCAGTACTTTATTATTTGCTTTTTTTTTCTTTGGCTTTATCTTGTGCTTTATTTTATTTTTTTCTCCGCATCGCGTTTGCAGCCCTTTCCGGCCGTCTGTTCATTTTTGCGTATGTAAAGCTATTTTCTAATCCTCTCTCCATCAGATCTTTGTTTCTGCCTGCTTTTTGTCCTGATCTTGTCTTGATCTTGTTGCAACGTTACCATAAGGCCCTAGAAAATCTCTCGTCTTTCTCTCTTTCTCTCTCTTGTACGGTATGGTTATGGTTATGTGTGGATAGGCTTGCTACTTTTGGTTTGCAGTGTGCTGCTGCTACTGCTACTGCTACTGCTACTGCTACGATGCTACGATAATGTTCGCTCGCTTGCAATTGTCTTTTCGCTTTCCGACGGATGACGATGACGGTGATGATGATATCTAAATTTGCGGTTTCCTAATGGAGAATTGATTTTACGATCGTGGTTAGGATTTGACCTTCGGGAATCGATATTCGATATGGTATGTATCGGATGTATCGTGCGTGGGGGCCCTGGAATTCCTCGGACCACCCAAGACAGTGGGTTATGGGTACCTATGGGGCAATAAGTGATGGGCAGTTGTTTACACGGCTACATCCACCACCCACTAGTTCGAATTCGAATATCCTAGATGGGAGATGGAGATGGGATGGGAAGATGGAGGGATGGGACGGGGATGTCCTTTGTTCCGCGGGCACTCCCGACTTCCGATTCCCGATCTTTCCTTCTTTCCTTTGTTTGTTTGTTTGTTTGTTTGTTCGGATTCGGATATTCAACCGTGGGGTTGGCAAGTACATACTGCAGTCTGGGTACTATATCAGTATCCCTACTATATCGTACCAGGTACCTGGACTCTGGAGTCTGGAGTAGGTAAGTGGAGTAAGTACTATGTATGGATAATTCTGTTTGACGTTTGTTTGTTTTTATACCCACTATTACCCACTCTCACGCACACTCACATGCACAAGCACAAAGCCTCAAGCCTCAAAGCCTCAATCCCCGAAGCAACGCTACGGTACATACCGGCACCTGCCCTCCTTACCCTTACGTTTTCTCCCCGCAGCCACAGCCACACCCGACAAGACAAGACAAGACAACCCCACACACTCGCGCCCATTCCTCGCTCAAGCCCCAAGCCTCAACCCTCAACCCTCAAGCCTCAACCCTCACGTGTGTAAGTACCGATAGGGCTAGACAGTGGACAGTAAACCGACCGACCATCGTGGCGCGGAGTGGCGTGGAGTGGCGTGACTCTCAGAGATCCCGAGTGCAAAATGCCCAGTGAAAGTGTAAGATGCGCAGATTCCTTAGCCAGCGCCGCATCTACATCTTTACATAGACTACCTATATTGCACATATACCCCCTCTAGCGTAATGTACACACTTATGTACAGGCTTATGTACAGACTTATGTGTATGTACATGTATGTACTCCACTCTGCACTCTGCATTCTGCAGACGTCCGTTTGCACGCCCTTCCCCATCCTTCCCTTCCGCTTCCCTTCCCCTTACCCTATTCTTCCCAATTCTTCTCCATTCCTCTTCTTATTCTCTCCTGACCCTCCCTCTCTCACCGCGTTCCGTGAAGGGGGCCTAACCCCGATTGATTCGATTTCAATCCAGCCCGGAGGATGACGATGACGATGATCATCCTCGCTCGCGCATTGCATTGCAGATGGAATGAATGAATGGTTGGGACTTGGGGGTGGTGGGGCCGCATGTGGCTGCAGTATGTGTATGTACTTTCCTGTCTGTCAAAAGTAGTAGTACATACCGGCCTACCTACCTATGGGGATTTCCTTGACAGATGTGACTATGTATAGACGGGATGTACTGATACATATACACCAGTGGAGAATGCTGAGATGTACTGTACTTAGGTAGGCGGATTGGTGTATCCGGCTAAGGCATGAGAAAGAGTATCCCGTACCGATACCTAAATGTACTCTGCCTGTGGACTGTATGTATGTGTGCAGAGTATGTAGGTAGGTAAATTCCGGACAGACGCAAAGCAGTTACATAAAGAATATCAAACGCCCCAAATACCGCGTGCGAAATTCGAATCCCGGCCCAAAGAACAGAAAGAAAAAGCAAAGCAACCCCACATCGAATCGAAACCAATTCTCCGATCCGATCCCAGCTGTGAGTAGAGTACACAAGTTAAACCTCCGTCTCGACTTTTTGGGCGTCGGCCGCTCTCCCCCGATGTTTCAACCTCGACTTGAGATTATCGCCGAGCTCATGGGACTTCTCCTCGACCTTATGTCCCATCCAGGCGACCTGCCTCGCCGTCCGGAACTGCATCAGCCCGCGGTGTCGGCGGTGCATGTCTTTGCGATTGCATTTATAGTCCTTCAGTTCATCGGTCAGCCCGCGTTTTCCGTCATCGTGGTCGGCGTTGTCCCTTTTTGCGTCGTTGTAGGCGTCTTCGTCGTCGTCCGAGGAGTCCGACGAGGACGATGTCTCGGAGTGGTACCCCTCCACGGCTTTGGCGTCCTCGGCCGCCTCGAGCACCTGCATGACATCCGCCATGTTCGTGTTCGCCGCGGCCATGTGTTGGTGGTACCCGCTGAGGCCGGGCCAGAACTTCACCCGGACTTTCAACACGCCCACTTGCTCCCCTTCGTTGTCGGCGTTTTTGACGGCCCGCTTTAGGTGGCCCTTTCGCACCGGCAGCTCGAGCTCGACCTCGTCGTCGTCGGCAATGTCTTTGAGCCACAGCACGGCGAACGCGGGCGTCGTGTCGGGTCCGAGAGAGTACTTTCGGAACTGGACGAGGAGACAAGAGGCATAACGTTTACACACGGCAAGGTGGAGCGAACGATCGCGGCGCTTCCGGCTCCACTCCCTGGGTGCGTCCGAGTTTGGGAACATCTTGTGTTTGCTGTAGAGAGTGCGGAAGACGAGGCGGCATTGGGCAAGGTCTTGAGGAAGTCCTTCGGAGGCGGAGGCGTGCGGCGAGACTTCAAGTGTGCCCGTGCTCCAGCCCATCAATGGCGGCGGTAATCGGAGGTAGACGCTGCGGAAGATTAAACAGAGACGAACTCGGCCGTATCCGATACCCCCGACGAGCGGGAAGGATTGCACCACCTGTGAACCAGATGCGAAGATGCGATCGAGCGGTAGGACGACAACTCCCAAGAGCGGGTCGGCTTCATGGGGACGGTGGTCTCGAACCGAAATGATGAGTGTCGTTGTTCGGAAGTCACGGATGAAGCGCTCTACACTGGCATCAAACTGTTGGTAGTGTTAGACCTTCATCGCTGGAACGAGGCTGGGAAGCGGAATACATACGAAAGGCTTGTTATCCTTCAGCTTCGTCCGCGTCTTGTACACCTTCTCGTGATTGATGATAGCTGTGCAATAAGCGCTAGGGAGATCTTCGCCCTCCTCGTCCTCTGCCTCTTTGACACCCGAATCCCTTACCCTCTCCACTTCAAGCCCCACGATCTGCTGGATCCCGATATACAGGATTCCGCTAGGGTAATCGGTGTTTGGAGGCGTGTTGGCAATGATCTTATCGCTCTGTTCTTTCAAGTCTTCCTTCTTTTGCTGTGCTGTTTCTCCAGTTTCGTCAAGTCCACCGGCTTCCCTGAGTTTCCGCTCGGCCTCCTTCTCAATCTGTCTCTTTGCCTCCTCAACATCGACGCCTTCACGATGGGCAAGGTACTCGCCAAAGTCCGGCTTCGAGAAGTATCCGACGTTCCACCACAGTTTTCCAGGGCAGGGCTTTCCTTCGTAGTCAACAAAGTCGTCTTCGCGTTCTAAAATACGGTTCTTCATGGAGTCCTGGGTCATGACATCTTTGAGTGGGATTTCCACGACTCCTAAAAGATCGTCCGCTGTGGTTCGATCTGGTAAAAAAAATTATCGATTAGCTCAACTCGTTTGATTAGATGAGCTGTGGAAAACGGTTGGTGATGAGCACCACCACGCTGGCTAATGTCGATGATCATTCGAAAACAACGGCCAGGATTGGTGCTTGGACAATTGAGACCACTTTGCTGTACTCTACACGACAACAACGAGATGGCATCTCGAAGTGCCCAGTCACAGTCTTCCCAATAGATGCAAAAGAAATAAAAATCGGGGGGTGTGCGACAAACTCACCAGAATCCCACAGCTGCAGCCGCAGGTTTTCGTCTGCACCAACCTCCGTCGGTCCCACGAGCATCGTGTCCGTCTCATCCCAAACCGGCTCTCCTTCATTTTCGATGATCCTATTATGTTGGCACTCGAATCAGCCCTCCTTTCTAGGTAAAAGATGTTCATAAGGCTCTCAAGCTATACGCATGGGTAATGAAAGACGATTCGTCAACAGCTCCTGCTGCTGCCATCCCCCTAGTTCGAGCTCGAGCTCGTCGTAAGCCCCAACCAGGAATGTTCGCATGATGAGTGTCTGTGGGGCAGGCATCAATGCTCCGGTGCTCTCAGCCGTGTCTGACCGCTGAGGTTGGGATCACGACGAGCGAGCGAGCAGGTGCAGGCAGCATCTAGCTTCACACTCCCAGAGCAAACGCCCAATCGGAGATGCTATGATCGACTAACAGGCTGAGCTGTAGAGTCAGCTCCAACCAGTGATTTTTGAGCTCCTGTCATTGGCTCCTAGGCTGGTGCAATCGCGTGCCAGGGCATGAGATGCCAACACGATGCCCTTCGACATGCCAGGATGATATCTTGGATATTGCAGCTCTGTGCCAGAAACCTGATAGTCGTATGATGCTGTCTCCTCCTTCGTAGTACGATGCTCTCAGTGAGCGGGTACGACTGCTCCGGGGTAGTTCTGAGGCATTTCATGACCGGGGCACGATCTACCGGCAGTGCTTTCGGGCTATCAAGGCATCCTTTGGTTGGACACCTTCGAGGAATTTTTCCAACTGCTTCCTCTCCCCTCCTCACGGACCATCAAGCAGATAAAGAAAAAAGAAAAAAAGTCAGCCTACCTGGTACTCCACATCCCCTTTCCCCACTTGCCCCAGCCAATAGCAACATATGGATCACCTCTTTTCATGGCCCCAGGTAGCCACTTCTTGCCGCCATCGCCATATTTGAAGCCTGTTGCTCTGATGACCCTGACGACGATAACCCCCACAGCCTCCGTATCCATCTTCTCCTTCCCGGTCAGGAGGGAGTTGAGATCCAGCGTCAAGCTGCGGGGTGCCACATATGTGCTGATAGCCGAATCGATGCTACTTTGGAGGAACCGATTTAGCACGGGCACATCCATGATGTTCAGAAAGTTCTTTGCGATAGGCACACATGAAACGTTGACCTTTGGCTGTCCGAGCAAGGTGAGTGTCGCTAGGCCCAGAAATGGAGGATTCGGGGTAAGTTGGATACGCATCCTCGCTGTAGCAAGGATTCCTGTTACCTCTACCCAGACTGGAAACATGACCCCTCCCATGGCCGAGAATTCGATCAGCAGGTGGGCGTTGCGACTGCGGCCGCGCAAGCCTCGCGTGGAATGCGCCGGTGGTCGCGAGCGGTACGCTACGGCGATTTCAAAGTTGGCGAAATCTCCTTCTTCGCCCGGCATGCCCTGCTTGTCCTCGGCAGCGTCGCCAGTCTCAAGCCATCGGATCCCGAGAATGCGCAAGCTCTCGTTTCCCTGGCCGAGTTCGGCAACCCGGACACCTTTGACGAGCTTCGGAAGTGATGCCTGCATCGCATCTTCGAGCATATCGGCAATGGAATTGAAGAGCGCCGGATTGACGATGGGCCATAACGACGATAGCAAAGAGTTGACCCAGGCTGCGGATTCCGGAGGCTTGTGCTGTTTGCTTGTGGGTAATGGTTTCTGTGAGTATCACTCGATTAGAACGCCAGGGTGTCTCGCCGAAAAGAGTATAGCCCTCCCACCTTCTGCTCCACCACTTTCTCGACGTCACCGTCATCGTCTGCAACCGCAGTGTACGTCCAGACCATCGCGCCCGCTCCCAGACCCACCACCGCACATCCCACAATCCCAATCACCATTTCAAGGAACAGGAACCCCACACCCTCCGACCCCGCCATCATCATAGCCCACATAAACACCACAACCGTAGCCCCCGCCGTCGCCCCACCCGAAATAAACGCAGCGCGAAGCCTACCCCTCCTCTCCCTCTCGGCATAGTCCGTCCACCGTCCCTTCGTCTCCTCCTTAACAAGCGTATTCATCTCATCATGCCTCAGATCCGAGTCATCCTTCCTTTCCGCCGTGCCCTCCGGCTGGTCCTGCGGCGACGCGGGCGGCGGCGGAATCCGTTCGAGCTCGGTATCTGTGGCGTCGTGGATCGCTATTTGGAGGTGCGTAACCGGATCCGTCACCTCGCGCCGATTGTGGTTCTCCGTCGAGGGATCCGTCTGCGGCTTCAGGTCGTCGCCGGATGGCTGTTGGTCCGCCGGTTGTTCGTGCAGCTTGTTGGAGGTCTGAAGCCCCGTCTCGTCGTAGCGGGGGTTCACGCCGTCAGTCGTGAATTCTTTGATGCGTTTCTCGTCCATTGTTGCGCTATTGCTGTCGGGGTGGGTTACTGTGCTGCTCGTGCTCATGCTCGTCCGTGTCGTGTCTGGTTACAGTTTCTTGACTTCGCCGGAAGACAAGTTCCGACTAGGTACGGTAGATATACAGTTCCTGTTGTGTCCAATTGAATGACTTGGCCTTTACACAGGATTTCTCGATCTGAAGAGCGCGATCCCTTCAAGAATTCCAGCCGGAGAGTAATTCCACAGGGCGTCGTCGGTGTTGTGCAATGAGCTCATTCGCTGTGCGTGGCCTGAGTGGAAGGCGGGTTCAATTGGAGTACGCGGCACGCAAGCTGTCAGTCAGGGAAGGGTTGAGGTTAGCTCCTATTACACGACATCATCACACATCGGGATATGACATCATTGTCCGCACCAAGCACATGCCAAGAATTTTGGACTGCCGTATCATCACTGAGCACTCGTCCGCGGAGGCGGAGTGATATACAGTGATTGGCATTCTCGGGATGGAACTCTAATCCACTAGCACCCCACCAAACACCAAAGGCATCACCAGGCCTCAGCGAGACCTCTTAACGAACAATCTGAATCATGTCAGGGTAAATGTTTATCCTAAAGAATGACCTGCTTTCTTGGTTTAAAGATTTATTACTAAAGCTTGCATGGATGGTGATTGAATCTGCAGCCAAGTTCTCTTAATCCTCGTGGGTGAATCTTGGGTGGTACATACGCTTGGAATAGATAACTGCCGTATGATCCTTGACGTTGAGGTGAATCAGTCCTTGAGGAGTGATTCAACGTAATCTAGAGTCTACATCGTCGGGAGCAGCGGCTCTGTTTAACTCCGTTGCTCTGACGACTTCCAAGCTATCAACAACAGCAACTACCCTAGCAATTCATCCCCGCAATCCCACTCCAAATCCAAGTCTGAATAGATAGACCAGGCCGACAGCCCCCGAAACGCCGCGTGCCCCCGAAACGCTGCCACATCACCACGCCGAAATGTCTACCACAACGGCCGGCCGGGAAAGTTCTCCCACTCCTCCCTCAGCCTCCCTCGCCCCGCATGACCTCTCGCCGTGCTACACACGGTCCACGATCTACGATCCTGCAGCGTCTGCACCTGCGCCTGCGCAGCCGGGCCAGGTAAATGTCCGCTGGCACAGAGAGAGAGGGATATCTTCAGTTTAGTCCGCTAGCCCAAAGCGCAACTGGCGCGCTACTATAGTCTCAAGCCCCCGACAGCCGCGAAAGCCGATCTCGACGCACAGCGCAAGCGCGCCTTCGCCGAGGAATGCTAAGTAACAGCCGAAGGGTATGCCCGATGGATGTGGAGCGCGGTCTCAACGCTGCGTGCGACGCTCGTCGGAAGGCCGCCGAGAAGCCCTGCCGAAGCTACGACCGAAGGTCTCCTCCGCTCGGCACCCCCAAAAAGTCACGTGCAGCCCCACCCTCTCCCTCGGGCATCGCTCGGAATCTATATCGGCACGTCGAGCTCATGGCCCGGTACCACAAAGGGGGGCCGCCGCCAAGCTTATACCGCCGGCCTTGGCGGAAGGATTTGCTCACCGATGTACCGATCTGGGCTCTGGAGTGGATGCCGATGCCGATAGCCCCGAGGCATAGTCACGTGTCGTTCATGGGGCGCTTTTCTCCGGGGAGATGAGTGACAACAACCCTGAGCAATCTGAGGAAGAGTATGAGGACGATAGGATTGGATGGTACCAAAAATACAGTGCACAGTACGAGGACCAGGACCAATACCAGGACGAGAGCCAGGGCAGGAACGTGGACGTGGACGAGGACGCGGACCATTATGAGATGCGGTACCTAGAGCAGTCGCTGTTGCGTCGAGACTCGAGTGGAGTCCCGACCTGACCTGCAAGTTGGCCGTTTTAATCTGCTTATACTCTTATGAAAGTGACAAGACGAGACGGGGAAGTCGGGTAGGTACATAGGATTGTCCCCAATCACCCCATGCAACACCTGATTCTTACATGAGTAAGTACTTACCTCATATGAGATACATGAGGTACCACTGTTAAAGCAGACTACATGGGAGTCTACATAGGGCCCTATCAATGATCTGTACATAGCGCGTGGCGTCAGAAGTCAGAACTCACAAATGAGTGAGTGATCGCCTGTGCATATGTATAGGTAGTAGTCCCGCAAAGAACCCCAAGCTCAAAACAACGTCCCCTGCCAGGCTGCCACAACTTCTTGGTACATACCGGTACGTGATTCCGTGTCTGTCACTCTCACACATCATATCGACTCGGAAACTTCCGGTCAGCCGTGTCCAAAATTCGGAATTCGAGTGAACAAGTAAGTCTCAGCATTCAATCACCTGAGATACACCGGGCTGTTTCTTTTCGCACGGCGCGGTTGCATCAGGTACTTACTTGCCCACTGCCCAGGTAGGTACTCTGGGTATCGAAGCGCCTCACCTACCATGTACTCTACCAACCATGTTTTCCTCCCTGTTGCGATAAGAACGTTTCGTCAGCAGCAGCAGATCCTTATCCATCCTGGCCGCATGCAGCCGACACACAGTGCACACACCCAGTTCAATCCAACCGATGAAGAAAAAACATTTCGCCCATCCGCCCATCCATCCATCCATCCAGCCATCCATCCAGCCATCCATCCATCGCTTCGAGATTCCAGGAATCCCCCCATCCCATCCCGCATACAATCTCGATATTGCACAGGTAGACGGTCCGAGAGCTAGGATCCACGACTCGTAGGAAAACAATTACTGCGGATCAGGGTGCGGAAAGGATGGGAAGACCGCCTATCTATCGCTTGCGACTACATAGAAACACCCTACCCTACATACTCTACTCTACAGCCGCAGAAACAAATCCCATCTACCGACAAACAAGAAACGAAACGAAACGAAAACGTGGCTGTCTTTTTTTTTACTTTTTTCCCCCTCTCTTACTGTGTAGTACTGTGTGTGAGGGTAATATAACTGCCGAGATGCACCGTTGGAGAGGGGATGTATGTACGGTATGTACGGTATCATGTATGAGACACATGTATGAGACACATGTATGCAAGTATGTAGGCAGGCAAGCAGGCAAGCAGGCAAGCAGGCAAGCAGGCAAGCAGGCAAGCAGGCAAGCAGGAAAATACTTATGTAGGCGGAGAGAGAGTTTGTAGAGCATGTAGAGTACTTGAAGGATGAGAGAATTAAGTACTAGAGTGGAGCATCATACTCGTACATGGAGTATGTACGAGTAGAGTAGGTAGAGTATGTAGAGTACCTTCCTGAGGCATTCGTATGCACACTTGATAGCTCCGGATGCTCCCGATGAACCTTCGGGTGCGACGGGTGGTCTGTTTGATTCCGCCTGATTGGACCGAAAGTCCGACGGGCGGGCATGGCATGGCGTCCCGAGGGCTGGGACACATACGAAGTCGGAAGGACATCCAGCTTGCACTCCCGCATTTCCGATGTGTAAGTATATACGATGTTGGAACTTGGTACATACAGCGGGCCCTAACTAGCATCAGCTCTAACCAAGCGCTCCCGCGGTTACGCGGTGTTGAGGGGTGTTGGGGGAGGGTGTCGGGTGAGGGGGAGGGGGGAGGAGAATGTTGGCCGGTGGAGAGTGCTGGTGGTGGGGTGGTGTTCATATGGGGAGGGGGCAGGAGATCAGATGCGAAAGAGAAGAGCGGAAGACAAGCGGGGTAGGTGGAGGAGGTGGTGGTGGCGTGCCATGCATTTGGACACCCATAGAAACGGTACTCTATAGCACCTACCATGTAGTTTACCTTTAGCCAAGGCCAGCCGCCGTGCGCAACTCCACGCACATCTGCAGCAAGGGGAGGATAGATGGATGTATGGGTAAGCGTGCGGTGTTCCCGCATCAAATGCGCGGGCGGCCATATGTAACGGCCATGCCCGCTCGGCCAAGGTAGCGATGGACAACGGCAGCGGTTCTTTTGGAATCCCGTCATGCGACAAGTATTTTTCCAGTCGGGGAACGTCAGTCTCGTGAGGGCGGCGGCGGCCAAGGACGGCCGGAGAGCAGAGCAATCGCACTGCACAGCCTCGATTTGCCTTGGCCTCCAACCAGTTTGTGCACTGTCTGTCTGTCGCCAAGATGCGTTATCGACAGAGCCAAGAGAGTGGATTCGGCGATGGCATGGCTGCGCTCGCCGGTCGGTTGGATGTGTCCGCTCTGCGTTCGCGATCACAGAGGTACTCGGGTATCATAGCTATGTTGATGCAGGCCTGGCGAACGGCGGGTGTGTTCACGCCTTGTTTTCGGGTGGGCACTTACATGTAGCCAAGTACTGGGCCGTCCATCTTCTGCTCAGCCGGGAGCGGGTTTGCCTCTGATTGCTCCTCTCCGCAGAGGGATCCCACTTTCCTTTCCGTTGTCGTCCGATGTTGCTCGCTCACTAGAGGAGGTAGCTAGAGTAGCTACTTGGGTAGTGGTGTTTGTTAGCGCTGCGAGGAATCCCCTCCCGATTTCTCGCTACGTGCCTGCACGGAGATAGGCATGTGGCCCATGCTGGCTTGTTCCGTGATCTCTGGGGCCGCCGAGCACACGACTGTGCCGATGCATAAGTGTCGTGCGGTGGGTGCGGTGTAGGGTGAGTCCGGTAGTGTGTGTAGTGTATGGTAGTGTAGGGCGACGCGTGTTACTTACCTGAAGCGTAGATACGTGGTGATGGCCGGTGGCATCGTTGGTGTTTAGCGGTGGTGAATCGGCCCATCTAACGGTCTTTCGGGTCGCTGTCTTTGGTCGGACAGAGCTAGGTGCTCTGGCTATGCGAGAGGACCAGGAGGAGTCGAAATGGCTGTGGGCCGTCGTGTGCGACGATGGCATAGAAAAGAGTCATGGCCAAGTCACGTCGGACAGTCAATTGGCCTGACTCATCATCTTCATGCAGGATTGGATTGAATGCGAAGACAAACATGATCGGTATCGATGTCGATGTCGCCTGTGGAGCTGTCTCGGCGGGCACACGGAGATGCTAGTATGGAAGTACATACCTCGTAGTTGGTCCGCTTCGGAGTAATCCTCAAGCCCTCAAGGCCTCGCCCCACGCCCGGCGCTCATGAGGCCTGGATTGCTTTTTCTGCTTGGGTTCTCCACCCCCAGGCCCGAAGCAAAAGTATGCTAGATGGGGTAGCCGTTCGAGCCAGGATCTTCTCTCCATCACCAACACCCGCCTCCCCCCATGCGACATACCCATCCAGAGTACATGGACCTGCGGACTGCACACGGCTGTATGCTCCCCACGGTCTCCCTGCTCCGAAACCTACCCTCTCGCGCTGGCTACCCTGACTTAACGAGCCCGTCCTTAAGCTCTACTCTACTTTTATCTTAACTCCCAGCTATCAGATCCTTACTCGCTTTTACTTGCTATTGCTGAATAACTGCATATCCACTCTAAACACTCTCCTCCTCCTCCGCCTCCGCCTCTTCCTCCTCTGTCTCCTCCTCCTCCCCCCCTCTCCCCATCTTCTTCCTTCTCGCCCCTTCCTCATCCTTCTCTTCCTCTTTCCGCCTCTTGATCCAAACACCTCAGGGGAAGCCATTTGCGCTCTTCTTCCACCGCCTCTTGCCCCTCTATGGACCAGCACTACGTAGTTAGCTCGTAGTTCCTTGCAACTTCAACCCACCAAAAAAAGACTCCACCTACCTACCCCCCGCACATCCCTTCCCATACCTAAACCGCTCCCTTTACCCCCTCCGAAGAACACAAGACTCGAAGAACACCCCCTCAGGCCACTTCAAAAGTAAAACTATCACAACTGACGGTCATCGCAAATCAAACCTCTACTATTGCCCCGACCGCTCGCACTCGCAATGTCGCTCGAATCAGCTCTAGAGGAGGAGCGCCTCGAGATCCTTAAGCTCTTGGAACGACCCCAGCAGCGCACGAATCGCAACTCGCCTCACTCGGGAGTCCAATCCACTCCATCCTCCCCGCGGATGGGATTCTCATCGCTTGCACGAACCACCTCTCCCCACCGTCCCGTAACCTCCTTGATCGATTCCGTCGCCGACTTCCAGCACCGGGGCGGTACGCCCATGAGCAGCGGGCGCTCGAGCCCAGTCGACCTCGGGGGTTCATCGAACGGTTTCTACCGCACCCGCTCGGGTAGCAATAATAATAATGGCCCACCACGATTACTGGGACGATCCAGTGTACCGAATGCTCACACGCCAAACGATGCCTATGATTTCTCAATGGCACCTTCGGTGGGTGGCTCCGGAACCAGAAAACGGACCGCGTCGCAACCCTCGATGCTCGATGCGGTGTTCCCAGGGCGATCGAAATCGCCACTTGCAAATTCCATGTTCTCGCATCATGGCCGAGCAGCTTCGCCGGGGGCCTCTTCCACGGGCCGTGTCGCGTCTCCGAACCGTCCGAACGAGCCGCACGTCCTTGTTAGTGAGAAGGGGACGGTGATTGATCTGGATACCGCGTACGCGAGATTGAACGACGATGCGCTAGCGAAATCCGGAGGTGCGCTGGCGAAGCTACCGGAGAGGAGACCGGTGACGGACAAGCAGGGCGACGTCGTAAAGGCCGGAACCGGGGAGAGCTTAACTCGGGATGGTGGCGTGCGGCTACAGAAGGATCTTGAGTCGGATGAGAGGGCGATCGTGGATTCCACTGACGACGAGTCTTCGGAAGAAGAGGATAGTGGCGGGTCATACAGTGATGAGGAGAATCGCGGAAGGTCCGGCGAGCGCGTGGCCCGAAAGGCGCCGTCTCTGATCGAACTGGCTTCGGAACCTAGCAGTCGCGGAAATAGCACCGACAGGGAAAGCAATGTTGGCGTCGACCCAGGTGGCGGAAAGAAGAAGAAGAAAGGCAAAAAGGCTGCCCAGAAGGGCACGCCAGCCGGCAAGAAGTCTTTCAGTCTTCTCGCCGCGGCGGAGGAAGAACGTACGGATCCTCCTTCCCCATATCCGGCATTTCAAACGTACTGACCATGATATGTGTTTGGCAGGCAAAAAGGTTTCATCGAAATACCAAGTTCGTTCCCTTCTTCCTCAAATCTCAGTCACGCCCTCGAATTACCCAGGAGCCAGTTCTCCTACCACCGCACGTCGATCCGGAGTGCACCCCAGCACTAATTTCGATGTACCGTCACAGACGAGCACTCCTGTGTCCTCGGACCAGGAGGCTGATGACATTGACATCCGCCGAGCCCAGCGCATGGAAACAACACTCACTCCGCTATTCTCGTCGCCCGAAACGCACAGGGTTGTTCGCACAATAGTACGCGGGGACTACGAGGATATCCAGAAGGAGCTCGCTGCGAAAGGGAAACGCTCCAGAAAGTACCTTGTTGCTACAGATCTTTCTTCTGAAGCACAGTATGCTATGGAGTGGACTGTCGGTACGGTTCTACGAGATGGTGATACGCTACTCGCGATATGTGCGGTGGATCACGATGCCATAGAAGATGGGTCCAAGACAGTGTCGGAGAGCTCGATCGGTGAGGCGCTGTTGGAAGTTAGTAACCAAGCCCAGGCGGCAGCGGTCGGTACTTTAACACCGCCTGTCGGACAAATCCATTCACCCGGAACTAGCAGTCCACTAAAGGACCCGGGCGTCGGGGGCGTCGGGGGTGTCGGGGAGCGGACAAAAGCGGAGAGGGAGAGATTCGTCGCCGCCGAAGCTATCACGTCATTGGTCACCAAGCTGCTTAGGAAGACCAGACTGCAGGTGAAGGTTGTTGTCGAGGTTATTCATTGCAAGAGCCCGAAACATCTTTTGACTGAGATCGTGAGTTTTCTATCCACAGTCGGTTGGTATCATACTTTTGACTAATCATGAAATGCACAGATTGACCTGGTTGCGCCAACCCTGGTTATACTAGGATCGAGAGGCAGAAGTGCTCTGAAGGGGTGAGTTTCTCCAGGGATGCGGTCGGCGTGGAGCTGGTGATAGTGATTGCAATGTGTGCTGACATCATCAAAGTGTTCTCTTGGGCAGTTTCTCCAATTACCTTGTGGCTAAGAGCTCCGTTCCGGTGATGGTTGCTCGCAAGAAGTTGAAGCACACCAAGAAGTACTCGCAGACCAACATCAGGCTGTCAAACAACCTTACCAGTAATACGGCCAGGTATGCCAGTTTTCACATTCTCTTCCTATCTATTCCAGGGCTGACAGGTTATTAGGATTCTTGCGAATGCGAAGGTGGATTAGGAACCCCCCAATAAGCAGGATGCCAAGAATAAGAAGACATCGATTTGGGGGAGGAGGAAGGTTAGATATGCGGTTTAATGCGCCGATTCGCTCGGGTGTTTCCGATGGTTGGCTGTTTGGTTGAGATGGGATGTGGTCTGCGTCAGAGATCACGGTTAATAGGGGGGGCTTCTGTTTCTGCTGCTATTACTATTGTGGGAGCTCGTGTGAGATCTATTCATTAGGACCCTGCTTCCGCACCTTGTTTTCACGTCGTTCGATCCAGGTTTCGCTCTACTTTCTTCTTTCCAGTGTGTCTCGGAAGAAGGTGTTACTTTCGAGTTTTCCGGGCTGCTATTGGACTGGGCGCCGGACATGGAATACATGCTGCTTTCCGATAATCAGGATTGGACATTCGAATGAGATCCTTGCTGTAGCCATGTGGTGTATCTGTAACTAGTCAATTTGGGAACGTGTGAAGAATTGTTGCGTGCAATCTCGTCGTATCACTCGCGCCAAGACTATGAAACTCTTACTTATCGTAAGTTAGCGTGGTTTTGGCGGCCACCTTCGGCCCAACGCTGCTGCTGAGAATCACGAAACCCAACTTTCCAGCATGCTTTGAGCGCCTTCATTTTCGCGTCCGTCAACAACCATTTGCTTTATTGTCATCCCACACAGCTAGGTCTACAGAAATCACTCCCTTCACGAAAAACGCATCTATAAGCATCCCTCTTTTGCTCTACCCTACCTCGCACAGCCGGTAATCTTTAGGGGCATGACCCTCTGATCCCGCCCTCACGCAACGCCGAACTCGTCAAGAACACCTCTCTCCTCCCCCTCCCCTCCTCTTCCACCCACCCATACATCACGCAACATGGCGACGAAGCCGCCGCCCCAGCCAGCTGCATCGCCAGCTACCGCTGGAGTCCCCTCGATCTCACGCCGGCAACCACTGCGACAAGCGCGGTCCGCGCGTAAGCCCGCGCCGAAGCCGGTGATCAACGGGATCGAATCCTCGGGGCAGCACCACCCACCAGCGAACTTCTACCCCGCGCTCGCGGCGTTCACGGATGCGGTCGACGCGCTACCGTCAGAGATCATCCGGCACTTCACGCTGCTGCGCGAGGTCGACGCGAAGGCGTGTCTGCCCGAGGCGAACCTGCGCTTGCTCATCGACGCCGCGGAGAGGCTCGATACTCCCGGGGATCCGTACGAGTTCGACGAGGCCATGGAGGCGCTGAAACAGCTTAATGAGCTGAGACAGCGACGCGATAATGACCAGGGTGGGCTCGCGGCGGATCCCCCGTCGGTCGCGCTCCTGGCTGAGTTGGAGAAGCTGGAAGCCGCGGAGACGGCAGCTACGGCTGCGGGGACTACGATTCTGGGGACCGCGGAGACTAGGAGGGCGAGGTGTCACCAGATTAGGGGGCAGATTGCCGATCTGTTGATAACGCAGGACGAGAAGATTCACGTCATCACCACTGCCGTCGATGCGCTAAACAAGCACCTCGGACGTGTCGAACACGCGTTTGCCTACGTCGAGAAGGAGATCCCGTCGCTCTACCGCAAGGGTAACCCCGAGCACTGGGCCTACAAGGAACCCATGAAGAGGGGCACCGCTGCGCAGATCGCCAGGGAGAAGGAGAGGGAGAAGAGGGAGCAGGAGGAAAGATACCACCAGATCCAGATGGAGCGTGAGAGTCACGTGCGTGGAGCTGTACCTGGCCGCGCCGGCAAGTCGCACCACCATTACGCGCACCATCAACACCAGGACGAGCCCACCGAACCGAAGAAGAAGGCTAGGAAAACTGGTGATAACGAGACGCTCAGTAGTACCAAGCGGATCGCGGACCAGCAGGCGGGCGCGCAACAGCAGCAGGCTACCAAGAAGAGGAAGGCTGCCGCTACCAAGGAGGATAAGGAGAAGGCCACGAACGCGAAAGGCACGGCGAGTCCGAGGGCGGGAACACCAGTGCCGAAGAAGGTCAAGACTGTTGCACAGAGGGCTCCCCGAAGGTAGTACTCTTTCCTTCCAGTCCAGAGTTGTCTTTTCTTTTCTTTTCTACGTTCGTTTCTTCATTACGTGCCTACTTTACTTAGCATTGGGCGTCAGCGTGCCGGCATGAGCATTTACTTTTTCTTTTTTCTTTTCGAACATTCATCCGTCATTTCCTTCTTTCATTCTTTTTTTCTTCTTCATCTTTTTTCATATCAGCTTCTGTATCCGTGTCTTCTTCAAGTTCCAGTTCGTCCAACATTGTCTTGCGTTTCGAGGAGTCTGGTCTGGCTGGCTGGTCTGGTCTTTGGTTTCTGCGGTCTCGATATCCCGGTAATGGTTTTTCTGGTTGCGTTTCTTGGGACTGTACTATGTGCGTGGAGTTGGGTTAGGATGGCGTTTGCCCGCGAAATATTTGTTTTCTCAGTATATTGTTTTTCATCTTTGAGCTTTGTTTTTCATTGGAGGGAGTGGACAGGTAGGGTGCGAGATGATATTCGTTCAGGTACTTAGCCATTGGGGACAGAACAATGGGCGGTTTTACACACACATCTGCACCGTCTGCACCGTCCGTCACTCTCTGGTCCATACCCTTCGCCCGTCGAGTCCCGTTCCTGGAATTAGTCTCTTTGTTTTTAGCTATTGCGGTTGCTTTCCGGCCCCCACTTGCCTTGTGCGAACACAGGCTAACGCAACCATCTGATTGACAGGACCGCCCAAACCCCGACGGCCTCGGCCACAAACTCGCCGCTCCTGGGCCAGCCTGTCATCCCGCATCCCCATATCCAGCCAATAGCGGTGGCTACCATCACCTCACCACTGCACATCACTTCCCATTTCCCGGCCCCTCCCATACCGGCTGCTGCACTGACTTCAACTCCTGCACTTCCTTCCACCACTCCCATCGCCCCCAGCAAATCCCATGCCAAAAAAGAAACCCCCAAGCCCGTGGCGGCGGAACCAGAAGATGTGGAGATGCCCCCCGCCCCTCGATACCTCGAGGTCATCGCAAGCAAAGAAAAGGAAAAAGAACGGGAATCCCCAAAACTGGAGAAGGAACACACCGCACATCCGCATCCCATACCTCCACCCCCGCCCCCGCCTCCCCCGCCCCCTACAAAACCCTCCCACAAAAAGAAGCAGCGGATACTTTCCCCCGACGCCACGCCTACATCTGTTGTTTCCCCTGCGATTGCCGCCGCCGTCGAGGAGCCACAAATAAAGAAGGGCTCTCCCATCGTTCCCCCACCAAAGAAGGAGAAAGAGGAGCCCGTGGCCAACACCAAGTCCAAGCCCGCCGCCTCCTCGGGCGAACTCAAGACGGCCGCATCCACCACCGTCACTCCCGGCAGCACCCGCAACCGCAAGCGCGCGGACTCATCCGCCACCGCTGTTGCCGCTGCTGCCGCCTCCACTCCCGCCCCGGCCAAGAAGAGCCACAAGGCGAAGAGCCAGCAAAAGCCGGTGGCCGCAGCCGCCGCCGCAGCAGCCTCCACACCCATCGGCCTTGGGATCACCACCGCCACCACCGTCTCCACCACCGCCTCTACCGCTGCCACCTCCACCTCCGCCTCCACAACGAAAACGAAAGAGAAGGAAACGGCGGGGGCGGAGACGGGCGACGACGAGGAGGAGGGCGAGGAAACGTATTGCTACTGCAATCAGATCAGCTACGGAGAGATGGTCGCCTGCGATGGCGACGAGTGCGAGCGCGAGTGGTTCCATCTTAGCTGTGTCGGCCTCTCTCAGGCCCCTAGGGGTAAGGCGAAGTGGTATTGTAATGACTGCGCGAAGGGAAAGACCTCTAGGGGCGCGAGTCGCGTTTAGTGTAGCTAGGTTGGTGGAATCGGGAGGTGAGTGGGTGTGGGAGTGGGAGAGAGGGTTTGTTCGGTTTGGGGGAAGGGGGCGAGGGAGGAGGGGGGGGCATATCATTCCCGTTCCTGTTCCTGTTTCTCTTACACCTCCTTGACACCTTTGTTCGTTGTTCGTTGTCCATTCATCTTTCATCTTTTTGTAGCGAGCGTGTTCTGTTTTTTTTCTTCTTCCTATTCGTATTCCTGTCTTGTTCCTGCTCCTTTCTTCTTTTTTCCTTTTCTTTCTTCTCTTTTTCCTTTTCCTTTTTCCCTTTCTTTCGTTTTCTTTTCGGAGGCAATAGGCAATGAGTGAAGGGGGGCTTTTCATAGGTATTCGCTCTTTTATTTTCTTACGGGAGTTCAAAAATGGATGAGATCGGGGGGACGCGGGGAGGGTAGGGGTGGGGGCTAGATGATGAAATCGGATGGATGGATTAAATGGGATGAAATGGAATTGGATTGGGATGAAATGGATGGGATAGGTTGGGAAGGGTCGCAATTAACGAGTGATAAAATGTGAACGGGTCTTTTCTCTTTTAATTTCCCTGGGGCTTGCGGTAACAGGACGGTTCGTCGTGTTGGCGTGGGCGTGCGGAGACGGGGTTGAACGGAGAATGGAGGCATATTGTGTCGTCGTGGTCGAAGAACTAGGCGATGGTCCAATGGCAGCGAGTGATGGTGGGTGTTTAATACATACTTCCGACTACATGCGCCGGGAACCCGTTCTGCCTACATATCTAGTATCTACAGACTACTCCTACATACAGTAGCAAAAAGTAGGGTGCGATTGATACGGGGTGAATACCGCAGTCATTTGAGTACCGAAGAACTACCAGGTTTCACTTAAAAACCTGATAGTTCTTCGGTATTCTAACTTAAAAACCTGGTAATTCTTCGGTACTCAAATGGCTGCGGTATTCACCCCGTATCAATCGCACCCTACTTTTTGCTACTGTATGTAACTCCGGAAGGTTTCCCCTGTCTTCGTTGGTTACGACATGACAGACTAAAGGGGAATGATACACGCAGAACAGGAATAGAGGGGAAAGCAGCAAGTTCGAGAGTCGAATGCCTCTGCCTACCCCCGGAGGAGGAGGAGTGGTGGTAGGCTGGGATGGAATGATATTGAATGAGCGGAACCAGTGAGCAGGGCTGGGCGGAACCTAGGTAGTATATATACTCCGAACGGAGTCGATGGTTACCTGTCGCAGAGCCAAAAAAAAGCAAGCCGCTCACGCAAAAATACAAACCAGGCGAGGAGCGTGATGCGGGGGTGGGGGAGGGGGGGTCTTTATTCCTGACCGATACCGGTAGAGGGCCATCGTCGGGACGAGCCCTTCCGGTAGCTGGCGCCTCTACTACCTATCTCCTACATATCCGGGGCGGTTATAAATTTGTTGCAGTGCATAGTATGCCCGATTGCGAGGCGTCAGTCACCAGTGCGTCTACACAACCACACGGCTCATCTATCTCCGGAACGTTGCTGCTGGTTTCCGGTTTGTGGCTTTACGTTGGGAAGTAACGAACATGATGATTAAACGGAAAAGAAAAAGAAAAAGTGATATTAGCAGCTTTTGGGTTTGCGACGAGTGATACTCCATGCACCCCGGGTTTCGACTTCCCGCAAAAACCATCACCCCCCCAGTGGGGTGGCTTGGAAACCCCAAGAGCGGAATGAAAGGTTTCTTACCCCGGATTGGACCGAGAGGTTTCATTCCACTCCCCTCGCCGATTGCATGTACCAGACCACTGGGCCACGCGGGGGTTTTTTCCGTGACGGGGAGACGAACTCGATGCTTGTGAACCCGTGATATGTATTAGTAGTGCTCCGAGATGGACTCGACCCCCGCCTCCATCTCCAGCTTCCACGTTTGCCGTCACATCATCATTCGAGGTTCGCCGGACGCGGTCGACTGCCTTTGGCATGATCTTAGGGATTTGAAAGTCTAAACTACCGTTCCTGAAGTGACGCCAAAAGTAAACCCCCCCCCCCCCCCCCCCCCCGAGGCGTACCGAGAGCAAGAATCCCCCGCACTGCGTGGCTTGGAGCTTTGGAGTGTCACGCATGTCATGTACACGCGGCTTGCAGTTACACGCGGCCATCTACTCACCTATTCTAGGCGGCTAACCGCCGAACGACCATCCCGTGGGCGTGCAGTGCTGTCGCGGTTGCGGTTTGGGTATGCATTGTACAATACATCGCCCCGCCCGCCTTGCCAGCAATTAAAGCCTCAAGGACGTCCGACGTCTTCGTACGGTAGTCTGGTGTCTGGTAGATACCGTATTTCGTTGTTTCATAGCTCTTTGGAGTTGCCTGTACATATCCCCAATTAACTGGTTACTATCGATCTCTGTCTGTGACCACCGTCCCAGTTCCGCTATATACGGGAATGGGAACGAATGTAGAAGCTTTTCGGTTTCCCCCACGACGGTGACCAGTTCACTATCGCACATATCAGAATGTAGGTAGTTGGCTCGGTGTGTTGAAGTACCTAAGTGCTTGGTAGCGGAGGAATATTCGTCCGCTCCGGGAATCACCATAGGTACCTAGTACTAACTACCGTAGTACTGCATAACTAATGCCGCTGTGACTGCTTCGCCGCACTTGCGTACTATTAGTGACGTAGGGAGACAATAGATCGTTTTCTTGAAACTCTTTACCATGGGATGAATTCTTTTCATGGGGGCCGGGTCAGTTTCGCCCAACATACATACATAATAGGTCAGGCCACCGTCCGCCAGCAACCGGCCGCAGGGGTTTGCCCTTTGAAGATGGAAGATCTGCTTCTCTGGATTTGTATTTGGAATAGTGTCAGCTTATTAATATCGTTAAGGACTTGGGACTAAGGAAACTCGTACTGACTTCCACTTCTCACCAGGATACCGGTAGAGTAAGTACTGGGGCTCTCAGTCCTACTCTACAGTCTCTACCTTGGTAGTGCATGATTCCGGAAAATTGGTAGGCATTTCAATAACAGGGCCTGGACTCTGGAGCGCTTGAGCGTTGAGCCTTCCATGAGAACTTGGAAAGTATGTAGTTCAAGGAAACAGCACGGAATGGAGGTGGAAGCCTCACGGAAAGGTTCTATGGAACAGGTTAGTGCATAATCACGCGCCTTATGCATGGCGGGTATCACGGACCCTGACTCAGTGGCTGTGGGGTTGTTATCGAGAAACACGCAACAAGTAACTGGGTAGGTAGATCGCATGGGTGCATGGTGCATAGAGTAGATGGTGCATGCACAGCCTCGGAGCCCGCATAGGTATATATTCCAGCCCTCCCCCACCGTCCTATGCAGCCGCCATCCATAACAACATTGAACGAAAAACCATCATCAAATCGCGTAACAATCGCCAAGTAGCACTCTAGTCCTATTCACCATGTCGGAGTCGTCAGTCGCAGAGCAGGATCCGGTCATCCTGAGCCTTCAGACCGCGAGGGAACTCCGTCTCTGGATGGCCTCACGAAACCTCCAAAACGAGGAGACCGTTCCCGTCTCCGTTATCCAAGCTGCCATCATGGAGTCTGAGAGTTCGCACCACGGGTGCCAGAGCAGGTACCCCGAGGACGCCACCAAGGTACGCATAATCCACACATGTTCCATCCCGTCGCTTCCCTTCAGTGCTGATTGCTCGCCATTCCAGAGACACATAATTTCCGCGCTCAGCATCATCCCCATCCTGGCGCACACCGTGTTCGTATGGTGTCTTTTCGCGCACCACTCCAACAGCTCGTACCCCGAGCGCGCGCGCACCCTTGGGCTATACAGCAAGATCGCCAGCACGATCGTCCTCGCCGTCACCATAATCTACGTCTGCCTGTGGAACATGCAGAGCTGCCCTGGGCTCCGCAGGCTCCTTTCTCTCCGCATCGTCATCGCTGCCATCGTCGCAAACACGCTCGTCGTCGTAACGCTGTTCGCGTTGGTGGAAGCCCAGAAACGCAGGTACCAGGGCGAGGGAAGAACTCTGAATATTTACACGCTGGTTGTCAGCGTGCTGCTGTTCTTTGCCGCGGGATATGTGGCTAGCTACTGCCTCAGTGCAACACGCCGTGCTCGCGGTGCCGGAAGGATTGTGTTGGTCTAGTTTGGGAATGGTTGGATTGTTGATGGTACTCTGACTCTGGGGCAATATGAATGGTCGGCTTGAATACTGGGATCGAGGATAAATGCTTTTTTGCATCGGAAACGCCTTGTAAAGTAGGGTCAGATGTGAAACGTGAAATGCGGTTGGAAGTATGGGAGTGTGCTACGAAATAAGACCGGCAGTTATGACTTTCCGCAACTTTTTTTTCTCTGCCGACACTCAAACAGTTGCTTTTCTCAATCCATTTGTATGATTCCCCTTGACTTCGTAGAGAATGATTACATTTCCATATTGCCATACAGCCAGCGAGTTTTCTGCGCATGACTGGAGCGTTGCAGACGACCGAGTGATAACTAGAACGCTTGTTCGTGGGCATTTCCTCCAGGGTCTGACGATAATGAGCCCGTTGACAACATCGAGCCCAGGCTCTATTTATGATCAGCTTACTGCCCAAAGAGCGAACATCAAGGGAACTTACTGCGATGATCTCCTGCCTGATATCACACTTCATGATGTGAGCCTTTCCCGCGTCCAGTGACTGTTTCGCCATATCCAACTTCAGTTTCTGGCGCCTCAGGATGTCCTTCTCGAAGTCAGCCCTTTTCCCCCCTCCCTTTGTACCGATCATTTCATTAAGGAGTGCGTGCTTACGTTTTCGAACGAATCTTGCATGATGTATCGAGTTATCAATACGTCACGTTGTTGACCGAACCTGTGGACTCGCTCAAGCGCTTGAAGCTCGACCATCGGATTCCTGTATGTAACTCATCAGCTCTGCAGGCATACTCGAGCGGGATGGATGTGTATACCAGTGCGGCTCCATGAGGTGTACTCTAGACGCACAGGTAAGGTCAATTCTGAAAATCTGTTGTCAGCCAGGACCCCGAAACATGGGCGAGAGCATGCGCGTACCCTACTCCGCCGGCCATGAGGGATATCAATATCACAGTACACTGCGGATTCTCGCGATATTCACAGAGGGCTGCGTCGCGTCGGGATCTTTGCATCGATCCATCTAGACGGCAAAATTTGATCCCCGAATTGTGCAAAGCGAACCCAACGAGGTCGAGCATTCGTGTCCATTCGGAAAAAACAACACTGCCCGGGTGTAAGTCACGGAGGATGAGGCGGGTTGATGCTGCAAACTCACTGCTTTGATTTCACGTTACCGTCGTCTGTATTCTCGCTAAGAATCATCTGTAGCAACGCTTTGACCTTGGTGGAAGGGCGCGGACAGACTGGATAGTCCGATAGTAGTAAGCTTGGGGTCGCTTCCGGTGTCGTAACCTCGTCGACGGAGCACTGATCACAGTCTCTCATGTCGCTGTCGGTTAGTGGCACTATTTCTATGCATCCAGCACACATGGATCGATGGGGACAGCCCAGCCCTTCAAACTGCATGTGACTTGTAATCTGCTGATTACAAACGCAGCAGGTTATCGATGGTTCAAGAGCGGAAGATGCCGTCGACGATCCCGTAGATATCAGGTCATGTCCGTGGTCACAAATCATGCGCAGCTTTAATAAACATTTGAGAGCCTCCGCAGGACCGGATGAGGACATAGCGTTATATTCTCGGGATAAAAGCCGTTTATGGAATTCGTACAAGGCCTTCTCCTCAGTGTTGAAACTCAGGAACCTTATCTGCTCCTTCCTTTCCGGTAAATCGATGATGCTCTTTGCTCTACGTAAGCAAACTGCTTTCAATGCAGACCGAAGATTATCAATGCCGGTTTTTGTCCCGGGCTGCGAGGTAAGGACGTATTTTTTGAAGCCGACGGCAGTATGGAGAGGCTTGTACCGCAAGAACTTGAAAAGCGTGGCGATGTCCATAAGATTGTTTTGGATTGGTGTTCCTGTGACGGCCCAGCGACGTCCGGCATTGAGAGCGCATATAGCTCGCGAGCGCTGTGTCTTCTCGGTTCGAATATCGTGCGCCTCATCGATCACGAGACGGTAAAATTCCAGCTCGTGAAGTGGATGATGAGCAGAGCTCCATTCATGGGAGACGACGGATGGAGTTGTAAGTATAATGTCGTATCGAGACAGGGTTGCGGCATTCGAGTTTCCGGCCCGGTTCTTGCCATGGTAGACGAGTACGCTCAACCTTCCTGGTAGGACATGCCTAATAATCGTCAGACATAAAAGTGGATTATGTTTCCAGAAAGAGGGTTCATACGTCGATATCTGTTGCTCCCAGTTTCCCAGCGCTGAAATGATACGTTAGCTTACGAGTCGGTGAGTTATCTTCACGAAGACGATGAGCCACTGACTTGAAACGGGAGTCACGATGAGGGTAGTTCCACTCGCACAAATTCTGCCGATGGGCTCTTGGGCTCTCACTCGGCGGGCTTCTTCCAACGTGCCGGTAATCAAAGATAGAATCGATAATGTTTTTCCGAGTCCCATATGATCCGCAAGTATCCCTCCCTTGATATCACTAGATCACGCATGGTGCAGCATCAGTATAAGAAATGGAAAATTTCGATGTCTTCGCTAACCATGTAATCTTTCCTATTGCGGCTGAAGACGTGTCGAAGACAGAAAGTCCCCGTTCCCTTCGTAGGAGAAAATATAAAGCCTGCTTTTGGTGACTTCGAAGGATTAGCTTAATTGCTTGAAAAAGCAGCGGGTTAATCACCTCATAAGTGGGGTTTTGAGATTATGGTCACCATGTACTTCATCCATTATCGCTGCTTTGCCGATGTTGTTGAAGAAGTCCAGCAACTCGGTGGCCTCAAGGACTGCTGTACAATTATTCAGTACTGGCTTGTTTGGTATTACCGGGACTCCGCCAGTGGCTGTGCACTCGGTGATAATTCCGGAATAACATTTTGAGATCAAATGAGGGTTTTTGTACGCGAAACCGGGTTCCGGGAATATTGGATGTTGTAGAAACACCGAATTGTCCGACAGAAACCTCCCTACTGGAGCTGCAACCTCTGGAGGGCCGAAAACGTTGAGATAGACTTCGGTTGTCACCTTCTGATTCGATTTGGAGCGAACTTGGTTGTAACCGAACGGGAGAAGAGCAACGCCTTGGATCCTAACCAGATCTCGAACGAGCAAAGAATGAAGTGTAGTTCGAATATTCTGCTCAATATGGCCGAGGATTGTGCCGTCTCCAGTCTGCAAAGACAGCTCCACACTTTTCGATGCAGGTGCGACGATCGTTAAAGATACGTGAAATACAGATGAACTGGAACATCGAGCTTGGAGGGTTTCTAAAACGTCTCTGGTAGAGCTGCAATGACAGCAAATCTTGTTATCTCAGAGACCATGTTCAATGCCTGCAAGTACCCGGCCCAAAAGACTCACTGTACCAAAACATTCTTCGTCGTCTGCGACTTCGTCTGCAGTGTGACAATCTTCCCCTTGTGCGATCTGTGCTTGCTGGCCGATGCTTTGGCTCCACTCAAACTCCATGGATGTTGAGCTACCAGCACTAGGCGATGGGCTCTGGTCGAACATCGGGGTGGTTGATCGGGACATATCTCCATTCGATGACTCGCTTGGTGATCTCGAGCGCCATCTTCCGTCCTTGCTGGTGCGCTGACGCTTTGTGCTCGGAACAGAAAGAAAATCGGTAGACCGAGTGATGGACGAAGTGGTTGATCTGTTCATGGCGAAACGCTCGTGTAGTTTGTGCAGTTTGTGCTTGGGGTGTGCCGGGAAGGCATATATACCGGGAATGTTCAATTCTCGCCTAGGTGTGGGGGCTGAGGGCGTGGCCAGGGCGGAGCCAGGGCGGAGCCTGTGTAACCCAGGACCCCGCTCACGCGCACTTGAATTGGGAGTTTCGCATGCGCACTTAAACCCAGGGTTTCGCACGCACGCATTGCCACTTCACACGCTCACAATCTTTCTTATCGTCCTTCACGCCTCGAGTCAGCATGTCACTACCGGCAGCAGTACCACCAGCAGCAGTACCATCAGCAGTACTATCAGCGTTCGAACGAGCAATCGGCCGTTTTCTGGACAGTCTTAATGCTGAAGAAAAGAAATCGTTCCATCGAATCAACACCGTGGATGAGGTATGGGTATTGATTACGAATCTGGAAGCGGAGCAGAGTACAAGAAAGTCGCTACGGAACATGAAGCGCCTTGAGCCATTCATCAACTGCCTGTCACAATACGCGAAGGTGATTGAAGTCCTCATTCAGGCGAAGCCTGAGATAGGATCTCTTCTCTGGGTTTGTTATTCCTTGGTTCCCGAAGTATTACAAATCAGACTCGCCGCTCACGCCCACGTCTTCTTCAGGGACCCTTAAAGTTACTCTTGCAGGTACTATGGCAACGCCGTTCAGCTTAGCTGAATTGCACGGTATTTTCCTTTTACCAACGAGACAACTAAGCAAGTACTTAGTTATCTGGCGGATACATCGAGAGCTTCGAAAAGTTACTGGATGCCTTTCAGAAAATCGGCGAGAATCTCCCCCGTTTCTCCCTTTATGCAACCATCTTCTGCTACAGCGAGCGGATACAGTATGTCATCTCACTTCTGTATGAGGACATTCTAGATTTTTATAGACGGACTCTCAAATTCTTCCGACGAGGAGGTACATAAAGACACTCTCCTCAATTATCTCCGTTAAACTCTAGTTAACCTATTACTTGAGCTAGCCTGGAAGATACTGTTCAGTTTCTCATGGAACGACTTTGAGTCCAGATTTCGGAACATCTTGTTGAACATCAAAAGCCACCAGCAATTGATCGACAATGAAGCTTGTGCCGAGGATATTGCAAGAGCGCAAATATCCAGAGAATTCGCGCGGGAGCGGTTTGAGGAGACTACGCGGGAAAGAGGAGCGAAGCGAAAGAAGCAATGCTCGGATTGGCTCTCTCCAGCAGACGTGGATGTATCAAAAGACAATGCCCTACAGTTAAGAACACCGAGAACAAGCAAGTGGCTTCTTCGATCGGTGGAAATACAGGAATGGCTCGCTGGAGATTGCAACTTGTGGCTTACCGGAAAACCAGGCGCAGGTGAGTGATGTTTATAGATCCACCCCATGCGAATCCTAACATTGCGTTCTTGCTACAGGGAAAACAATTCTCACTGCATCGGTGCTTGATTACTTCGAATCCCAACACCCCAACCCACCACCTGTGCTATACTTCTTCTGCAGCTACAAAGAACCAGACAAGAACACCTGTCTAGCAATACTCCGGAGCTTCATATATCAGATGATACTTCATGATGAGCAGCTTATACCTTATGTGTACGCGGAGTACGTAGCTAGCCCGCATTCGATCAACTCCTTAAAGTGCAAGACGATCTTGAGCAGCCTGATTAGCGCGAGTTCGCCATCCACCTCAAGTCACATCTACGTCATCATTGATGGTTTAGATGAGCTTCCCTCAGCGGAACGCGCAACCCTTCTACCAATATTGTCGAGATATTTGGTCGAATCTCCGTTCAATGGCACAGTAAGGCTATTTGTTGCAAGCCAAGACCTTCCGGACATACGCAAGTTTCTCCTGAAGAAGACTAAACGAATTGCTGTCGGAAACAAGGTACGCACGCTCATAATTCATTTGGCTAGAATCTAAACGTGAAGCTGACTGATTGTACACTGCATGACAGAACAAGAAAGATATTCGCACATACATCGAATCAGCTACTGACGACTTATTCGAGGAGCTGGAACTAGAAGAGGCACCAGATATGCGAGAGCACATCATCAATTCACTCTCTGGTCGTGCTGATGGTAATACTCCTCGTCTTGGGCGCCAGTGCGCATATGCTAAACCAAGGGAAGGCATGTTTCTATGGGTACGGTTGGTCATCAAAGGCTTGCTCTCCAAGGTGACGATCAAGCAAATTACCGAAACTCTAAACAACCTCCCAAAAGGGCTCGATCAAGCGTGAGTGCCCTTTACTCATGCGATTGCGCAATGTTACTTAGATGCCGCATATATAGCTATGAAAGAATCTTGGACCGGATCAACTCGTTAGACCAAGAGCAACGAGCTTTGGCGAAGAAAGTACTCCGTTGGATGACTTGTGCAACCCGAGCTCTTACCATGAGAGAACTAGAAGACGCTTGTGCGATAATATCCGGCCACATCACTGTTCACAATTCCGAAAGGCCTCTCCGTTCACAACTCCGAAATATATGTGGGCCAATTGTGGAGATTGTCGGCGAAGATACCTTGGTTTTCGTGCATTTTTCTGCAAAGGAGTTAGTTATCGCTACCATTGCCAAGATGTGACGCTCACAGCATTCAGGTACCTTCTGAGCCCTCATAGCGGCCCGTTCGTGGATCGCGGGATATCACAGCTCGAAATCGCGACTACCTGCACAAATTATTTTGCCTTCAGGTGTTTCGATGAAGATGTAGGCGACGAAGAAGCCACTGCCTTGATTCTGAACGGCGACCTACGACTTTACGACTATGCGCAAGGAAGCTGGGTGAAGCACATATTGGAAGCTTACCGCCGCTATCCCCAATGCGATACACTCTCCGATCCTCTTCGACGAGTTTTCGAGAAGCACTCCACTCAGAAGGCTAAACAGGTGCTTTCCAGTCAATCAATGGTTCCTCGGTCGGAAAACGCGGGACATCCAGGCCTTAGAATGATCGTTGAATATCGCAGACAGTTAGGGCGAAAGATAGGCGGCGGAACTGAAGGTACTACATCGATCTTATGGAAATAGAAAAAGATGACTGATTTGTGGGACCAGCGCTTGAAGCGTGGTGCAACCATAACAACCCGTTGGTCATAGAAAGAGCAAACAGGCGACTCCGGAAGATGTTGGAGGATATTCTCGAGGGGGACTCTAATGCGGCAAGCACAACTAATCCAGACGACGTGGAAACTCTACGAAGACTGTATGGACAGAAACTCTACAAGTGCAATCGACAATCATGTCCATTACCTACTATCGAAGGGTTTGAGACAGCTCTCCAGCGCAAGAAACATGAAGATAGACATGATTTGCCATTCAAGTGCCCCGATGAAAACTGCACATACCAGGACATTGGCCTACCTTCGAAAGTGGCGCTTCAGAGGCACATAAAAGATTATCACGCCGATTTAGCAAAGCACCGTCAGAATCCGCCTGAAAATACTGAGGTAGTATGGATAGGTTCTCTAAGCCTTCCCGGCTAACACGAGAGCCCTAGGTTCTAGACTTGATAAGCATATCGCGCAAACGATCAACTAGGAGCACGGCGCCTCTCACTCTTACCAGGCCAGCAGACATTGATACAAAGGCCAGACCAACATACGAGGACCCTCCTGACGGAAGTGTATTCGGAACTGAGAGGAATCTAGGGCATCCAAAGCACGAGTGTTGGTTTTTTGTGGTGGAGGAGGGTAGCCCCGTAGTAGGAGGACTTTCGAGGATACATTCGCTTCGGAAAGTAAGGAACCCCCGTAACTATGACTCACATAAGCAAATTGTGCCGCAACAGATAGAAGCAGCGTATCGTCTGTGGGAGAAGCCGATACCAGACGTCAAACACGCCGATGGGGCTATCGGTTTTCCTAAATGGGCACAGCATCTCGCTGGGATCAGGCTTCTTCTTTCCGATTATAGGGCTCTAAGACTGGTGTCATCCTTCTTACTTTTGGGCGGACGTACCGCAAGTGCCGTATCACTGCTTCATAGGGTAACGTAATCCGTTCCATTTGTAGGAATCCATCTAATGCCATATTTAGCAAAACGTTCTCAGGGAGTACTCCTCTAAGCCCCTCATCCCGTCGGGTACTGAGCTACGTAAACTGCTTCTCACATCTGCCGAGAAATTGAAAATCACTCGTTACATACGCTTCATCGTTCAGTTTGCCAACCAAATCGAGAAGGAAGTCGAAAGAATGTCGCCACGCGAAACGGTTGCATATACACAGGCTTTGAATGAAGTCCTATCTAACAGCCCTATCCAGATTTTCTTTGACGATCCTCAAACCGGAAGAGGAGTACTGCCATATTCAGAGCTGGAATGGAAATTCATGGAATACCACAGGCTGCAGCGGATGAAGGACTTGGATCATTTTGCGCAATTGCAATTGCTTACACTCAGGAATAATCATCGGATCTGCGGAGACTCCCCGCTTTTACTCACCTTCGCCTCGAAAGATCCCGCCCAGCTCGACGACTGCCTCATAGCGACCGATGGAAGGGATTGCGAAGACTACAGTTCGATATTCGAGGTCAAGACTTGGGGAGAAGCAAGGTCACGGGCATATCGGCTGAATCTCCCAGAGCTTTATATGTCCATTCTCGTGGCGCAATCCGGTAAGTTTTACCAGTGGCTAGGTTTAGTGCAATATGTACTAATATATTCGCAGAAAAAATTGCTGTGCGAATTGGCGATCGGATACCATCAGGTCTGCCTATGATGACCCGCCAGGAGCTCGAAGCTGTTTTCACACTCAGCAACAAGCCTTCTGAAATCGCTACGCTTGACAAACGATATCCACTGAAGGAACATATACCCATCATCGAAAAGCTCGATTTCCTCCGGCCGCCGGGTGATTGGAATCCGACATGGGGTGAACTCAAGCTACAAGTTCAAAGTTGTTCTCAGTGGCAACTCTATGAGTATTTCCGGCTATTACAGCTCCAACAGGAAGCTCAAATACGACTACAACTAAATCCCACCTTATTCCAATCCGATAAGGGGGAAGGAAAAAATACGTGCTGTCACTGTAACGAGACTAGCGACGAAATGTTGCTGGCGTGTGATGGTGAAAAGTGTCCACGCAAGTGGTTTCATTTAAGCTGTGTTGGGTTGTCATGGGCACCGCGCCACAACGAGAAGTGGTATTGTGATTCTTGCTTCAAGAAGAGGGGTATCGGCCGGAGTTATATAGATGTCACGGACGAGGGAGATGCAGACGAGGGAGATGAAGGCGAGGATCAAAGGAAGGCATGATACTGCCTTCATCCATTTCTTGGGGAACGCTTTGCTGACACGATCTCTGGATTAATAGGTGGCACCCGAGCACCCTATCTGCATAGTCCTTGATGGGGACGAGGAAGAACAGCATCGGATTGCGTCACCCGACCCCCTTGGGGATCCCAGCGGGAGCAGCTTCTGGAGTGATTTGCTGCCTCGTAGTCTTCCTCGAGGCGAACCCCAAAAAGGCATGCTACCGACTTTGCCCATCTCGTGAAACGTCTTTACTGACAGTCTCTGGATGAACACGTAGCAATTGATGATATCTTCGAGCCGGATCAGCATCAAAGTAGGTCGCTGGACCCCTCCCGCGATCCCAGCGCGAGCTCCAGCTGGAACCATTTTCCCGGGCCAATTATCCTTCCAGACCCATCAAAAATAGGCAAGTTATTGACTCGTCCCTTACTTGAGAAACTCTGTACTGATAGAGTCCCCGATGGAGAAGTATCAGATATTCGGGATAACGGCGAGCGAGAACAGCGACAGTCACATGTGATAAGCAACATCACACCTCCAGGTCAGTACCCGTCATTCAAATTTCGAAAGCTAAAGAACTAACAGCATCGGTGAGTAACGTAGCCCTTACCGGTACATTCAGTAGCAAAAACTGGGGCCCGATTGATGCCGAAGGTCTCCAGTAGTACTACCGCTCGGATTTATATCTAGCAGTCTCAGAGAATACAGATTTACTAGGGTCGATGTCTGATGATTTTGACTATTTCTTTTGCTTTCATCGTAGTGTTTTCGACCAGTTTCGGATTTCTTTAGATATAATGAGCATTTCATCTGATTCATTTATGTTTCTTTCATTTCATCGCAATATATTCAGTCGACTTTGGTCACGACATTACTTTGTAAAAAGCCCTGAATACATAGGTAGTTCCGCCTCCTCTCGCGAGTCGTGATGCCCCCACTCCCGGAAGTGGAGAGATTGATTTACCCCATGTAGGATAGATCTAAGCGATTGCCGAGCGATATCTAGTGCCATGTAAACCCAGATAATCATCTCCCACCGGCCAGCCGGCCATCTCCACAGCCCCCCCAGGCCCACGCAGGCAAAAGCGGCCACCCGCACTTTTGCGCGGCCTACATACTTACTTATGTAGCACTTTGCAATTCCCGCGCACAGTCGCCGCCAGTTCCCGAACACATCCATCCACTCGAGTCCCACCTCCCCTAATTAGTCATCGACAGGCTTCCCGTATGTAGAATATCACCGAGCAACTCTGCTCTGCAGGTTGCCGCGGGAAGATCCCCCCTTCCCCCACCCCGTTAGTGACAGGTCGAGGATGTCCCCGGCTAGCCAGACCTCAACCCGGGCTTGCGCTGGGGTGGTCGCGGAGTGAAGCACAGCTTGGCTGCTGATCGTGCGGCTCGAGTCGTATGTAGATTGCAGGAATGCCCTGGATGGATGGACAGATGGACTACTCTGTGGATTGGGCTGACTCGGGGCTCGTATATAGTTCCAGTATTAATCCCGGAGCGGGGAGCGTCCGGGCTTCATCTCAGCCGGCCGCGGCCTGGCACCATATGTACCAAATGCGACAGGGTAGAGTGGAAAGTTCATTAGTCGATAGTCGGCCAGACTCAAGAGGTGCCCCAAGTCTCGTTTCTTACGAATAAACCATACGTATGTCGTGTTGCCATCAATCTGGCCGAAAAGACACCACATACGGGCCGAAAGTAGCAGATAATTGGTCCTGATGGTAAATGGTATGAGGGTAACTTAAAAAAGGAAACATCATAGCGCGCAAACAAACAGCTTCCGTCTCAAAGTAGATATACAACTCGTGCTCTCCATCGTCTCATCCACCCACTCTCTTCCAACCCTCATGCAAGAACCATAGCCACAAAGAAAGGCGGGATGAAGTTAAAGCAAGCAAGTTATCGGGTGCCAAAACAACTAAGAACGGGAAGGAAAAGAAAAGAGAACCCACATCGCAGCCAAATAAGAAAAAAGCCAAGGAAAAGATGGAAAAGTCACGTGTAAAGAGAAAGCAAAAAAACCAAACACCCCTCCTTACACCCTCTAACGGCACGGAAAAAAAGCTCATCAATTGTTATTTACCTACTCCAACGGCGCCAGACCGAGAGCCTGGTTAAGAAGCTCCTCCTCCTCCCGGATGTGGCCAGACTTGATGCCGGTGGCAGTTGAGGCACTCGGCGCACGGCCAGCGTATCGGATGTGCTTGTCCGAATGTTTGGAAGACTGTCGGAGGATGGTCTCCATGCGGGGTTGCACGTACGCCCAAGAACCGGCGTTGAGGGGCTCTTCCTGAGTCCAAACAATCTCCTCCACATTCGGATACTTCTCCAGCTCGTCACGGAGCTGGGCGAAGGGGAATGGGTGCAATTGCTCCACCCGCGCAATTGCTACATCGTCTACACCTTTGGCCGCGCGGTGTTTGTGGAGCTGCGCGTACACCTGACCGGTGCACACGAGCAGACGCTTGCACTCCTCGGGTGCCTTGAGGGCGCCAGTGGCGTGGGCAGGATCGGGGATGAGCCACTGGAAGTGTGACTCGCCAGTGAGATCCGCAAGGTCGGAGCGCGCAATAGGGTGGCGAAGGAGCGCCTTGGAAAAGAAGATGATGAGCGGCTTGCGGAACTGGCGGTTCATCTGTCTTCGCAGGATGTGGAACAGATTGGCGGGGGTAGTCATGTAGGCAATCTGCATGTTGCAGTCCTGGTGCTGGCGGTCGAGCTTCTCAGCCGAGGGGAAGACACGGGAGTCTTCGTTACAGAGCTGAAGGTATCGCTCAATCCTGCCTGAAGAGTGCTCGGGTCCTTGTCCGTCGTAACCGTGAGGAAGCGACATTACCAGACCGGTACGCTGGAGCCACTTGGACTCTCCGGAGGCGATAAACTGATCAATGATGCACTGAGCGTTGTTGGCAAAGTCACCGAATTGCGCCTCCCACATGACGAGGGCATCAGGAGAAGTAAGCGAGTATCCGTACTCGAAACCGAGGCTACAATCATATATTAGCACTCACATAACGCCGATGGTAACACATTGTACTTACGCTCCGAACTCACTCAGGGAGGAGTTGCAGATGGCAAACGAGGCCTGATCCTCAGAGACGTGCTGAAGGGGAGTATAGGTTCCCTCATTTTCCTGGTCGTGGAGGACGGCGTGACGCTGGGAGAAAGTACCACGCTCGACATCTTGTCCGGACACACGGATGTGTTTTCCCTCTCTGAGCAAACTTCCAAAAGCGAGCGCTTCGGCGGTAGCCCAGTCAATCCCAGTACCCTCCTCGACAACCTTCTTCCTGTTGGCTAGAATACGCTTCAGGTTGCGGTGAACCGTGAACGACTCGGGAACTGAGGAGATGACATTGGCAATCTCCTTGATGTTTTCCTCGGAGACAGCGGTGGGCAAGTGAGGAAGGACTTCAGTAGCCAGCTCCTTGGGTGACTTGAAGCCGTTCCAGGCACTAGTGAGCCATTCCCGAGAGGTCGCCTGGTAATCCTTCGATTTTGAGAAGCTATCCTCAAGCATTCCCCAAACCCTATAATCGATGTTAGACGGACATTCCATCAGAAGCCACCAGATAAAACAACATACCAGTTCTTGTGCTCCTCGATATCCTCCTTGGTGAAAGTTCCCTCATCCATCAGCTGTTTGATGTACATGGAGAGAACAGGGTCCTTCTCGGCAATCTTCTTGTACATCAGCGGCTGGGTGAAGCTGGGCTGGTCGGTCTCGTTGTGCCCGTGCTTGCGGTAGCAGACGAGATCGATGACGACATCGCGCTTATACTCGGCACGCCAGTCGGCAGCCAGTTGACAAACGAAGGTGACGGCTTCGGTGTCGTCGGCGTTGACATGGAAGATGGGAGCGTCGATAGATTTTGCAATGTCCGAGCAGTACGGGGTGGAGCGCGCAAACCGCGGGTCGGTGGTGAAACCGATCTGGTTGTTGACAATGACGTGGATGGTACCGCCGGTAGAGAAAGCGGGCAGAGCGTGGAAGCCGAGAGTCTCGTATACGACTCCCTGCGCAGCGAAGGCAGCATCACCGTGCAGCAAAACGCTCATGGCGGTCTTGTGCTCGACCTCATCGTTGTTGAAGTGCTGGATGGCACGGGTCTTTCCAAGGACCACCGGGTCCTCAGCTTCCAAGTGCGAAGGGTTGGCAACCAAAGACAGCTGAACGCGCTTTCCGGAAGGAGTGGGCCGCTCGAAGTTCATACCCAAATGGTACTTGACGTCACCGGAACCCTCGTCACCAGGCTCGGCAGAACCGCTGAACTCGCTGAAGATCGACTCGTTGGGTTTCCGCACGACGTTGGACAAGATGTTGAGACGACCACGATGGGGCATACCGATGACGACATCCTTTACACCATAGTCCACAGAGCGATCGATCAAAGCCTTCATTCCTGGAACCAAGGCCTCACAGCCCTCGAGTCCGAATCGCTTGTCGTTGGGGTATTTCGTGGAAAGGAAGGTCTCGAATGAGGAAGACCAAATGAGACGGTCCAGGATTCTGCGCTTCTCGTCCTGGTTGTACTTGTACGGAGTGGGGATCTCGACACGCTCACGGATCCAGTCGCACTGGTCCCTGTCGGGAATGTGCACGTACTCTATTCCGATAGAACCACAGTAGATCTTCTCGCACGCGGCCACGATCTCTCTCAGAGTCATCGTTTCCCGACCTCCGGTAGCGAATCTGGGCAAGATACCGGGTCCAAGAGTGTACTCGTCGTCCAGGTCCCTCTCGTTGAACTGGTAGTGGTCCAGTTCCAACTCTCGCGGCCTGGCCTGTCGCAGATCTGCATCCGAGCGAATGCCAAGAGGATCGATCTTTGCTTTGTGGTGACCACGAACCTGGTAGGCGCGGACGAGGAGCTGTACCTTCAAGTGCTTGGTGACGTCAGTGTTACCGCCGAGGTTGGCGCCGGGGACGATCGATGGGATGCCGCCGGTAGCGGTGGGAACAATAGTGGGGGGAGCCTGGAACGCCTGCGAAGCGGGGCCGTTGCCTTCCATGTTGCGAAAGTAGACCTGCCATGAGATGTGGACGCTGGTGGGGTCTTTTTTCCACGCCATGTACATTTCATCGATGTAGTTCGCGGTGTTTCCTTGTAAGAAAGCATCGTTCGGATCCTAGTAGCAGACGGAGCACACACACCTGTCAGCAGGCTTTCATTTTCATGTTCGCTTCCCTCGAAAACCCGGGGGAGGAGAGTTTAAAGTACACCCCCGGAGAGTTCCGTTTGGCCGAGGACGGGAGATACATACCACGCCGGGGATGGCAGCGTAATGTCGTTTTTGTACCGCAACAGGTTTTGGGTATGTCGATAATGAGCCGCAGGCGGTGGGTCGTGTAGATAGCGATGACTGGTAAGCTGTGGCGGGTTGCCGAACGAGGCCGCACCGTGGGTTCAGAGAGCCGCCCATCCGGCGCGATGAACGAAGAGTCGACCGCAACATGATTGCGACGAGCTGATGAAAAGTGGATGATGTGAAGGAGATGGATGGGGGTAGTAGTGAAAGACCAGCTCCTCTGAGGGAATGGTTTCAGTGGGTGGTGGGTGGAGGGTGGAGGGTTGAGAGTTTTGGGGGAGGTGTGGGTGATGGGGAAGTGGAGGTGGATGTTGGAGGTTGCAGATTGGTTGGTTGGGGTATTGGCGGTGAGGCGGAACACCTCCCATGCTTTGCCGGGCACTAGCGACTAACACATTGCCGGAAGAATTTTGGAGCAAGCCTTGCTCCCGGCTGAGTAAGCCATGACCACCATTCAAAGTTTCGCAGTGACAGCTCCACTCCACGGTGGCAGAAGACTTGGTTCGGCACATTTCGCGGAGAATCGCTGCATCTCTCTTGCCGGGTCCGAAACGACCTTCTCGATACTCTCACTGCACTCCAGGTACAGGTATGTAGAATACTGCAGACTCCAGAGTGCTCCGCCCGCAACGGATGAGTGATTAACACGTCCCAACATCAGCCCCTCTGATTCTCGGCCGTCGTGAATCGAGGATCGTGAGAATGTGAAGTCGCATACATATTATAGTTACATACCTCCCAGCCTGCAGACACTTTTTCTCCTGCCTCTCCCACGGTCCTCTCTGCGTTCTGTTCCCCTCCAGCGAAGACCGCGGCTTCCTGCCGGCCGCAAGTGGCCGAGACAAATGACTCGACCCCAACGAGCATAGCGCGACGTACGTAATCCGTGCATGGCACACCCTGTTTCCCCACGCTTTTTGATTCGCGCGCTCGAGCCGATCTCATCCACGAGACATGTTCCTGAAACTCAGATGAAGCTCGACTCACGTGTAGCACTTACAAAGAGGGCCTCGTGGACACCTATTGGTCCAACATGCATCCTCGAGCTTGACAGGAGAAAATCGCGATAAATAACGCAAACGAACCGGGGTGATGGGCAAGGAGCGGAGGTGCAGACGATCGGGCCGAGAGTGAATGTCGTAAGGCATTTCCCGTGGTGTATGTACATACGAGGAAACGGAGAATCAAGTCCAGAGCTATGTAGGGATCACAGAGCTCGAGCTGCAGCGGATCCATAGTAAAGTGTCGGTGGCGTAAGATCCGGAGAGAAAAGTATGTTGCAGTTACAGCATAGGCAGCGGCACTCTCTTCCCCGAGACATTCCTATCGCTTCCGAGCTTCGAGTGCTACCTACGGTCTGTGTGACCTCGGCCTGCCGCTGTTTTACCACCAATCAGCGCCGCGACACCCAACCCCGACGGCCGACTCCGAGAAGATGAATAATTCTTCGTGTTCGACGTCCCTAAACTTTTCATGTTGCTTGCAAGCCGTACGCTTGCATCGCGGCATGTTTGATGCACAATTCGCCGAGTACTGCGGAAAGCACTGGTCCAAAGATTGAATTGCGTCTGTAAATACTTACATAGAAGCTTCACGCTTGAGCTTGGACGGTCGCCGGCGTCGGCGGCGAAGAAGGAGAGTTCATTAGCCACTTCCGAGACAGCAATCAACACATGTCCCTCTGCGCCACAACGCCACTCGACTTTTAGAAAGAATATGAAAGCAATACTATGTATGTACTTGGGATACAGTATTTCAGTATTCATATGGCTGCAGGTACGAGGAAGAACCCAGAAACCTTTCTATACATTATCGACTACCCCCAGAGTCAGTATGGCGACTTGGGTTGTGGCTGATATCCATATGATGTCACTCGGGATGTCATTGCGGTCACGTGATTGTGCGAAGCTCTGAGGAGGCTACTTTTGGAGTGCGTTTTGCTATGATCTAGGCAGGTCTCATACATTCAATGAGTAAATAAAACAAGTATTGAGGGGAACAAGGAGAGGGCTGGGCAGAGAGCAGCAGAGGGGACCCACATCGAGCTCGCGGCGGCAGCGGCTGGAGACAGTGGCGAGGAAAAGAATCTATAACTGCCATGTTCTATATAATAAGGTCGAGTGCAAAGATGGTTATATAGAAACAAGAAACTGAAGGGGCACCGTAACAGGACCTGAGTCGAAACAAGAAAGCCTTGGTGTCTTCAGCAAATCTGATCGAAAGTGTGCGATCGTTATTTTCACAGCAAGGAACATGACATAAGCCTACGGAAGGGACAGGCCGATGATTCCGGGAATCAAAAAGCCTTCTTTTGTATTTACGGCAAATTAAGGGTCCAATACGGATAGGTACATGAAGAAGACAACCCTAAGCAGTATCGACGTCAACCATCGAAGCTAGCGTCTTCACCTCCAGAGAGCAAGCCAAGTACCTACAAACCAGCAAACAACTGTGGCTCATTCCTATACTTCACCTTCTCACCTAGCCCGCACTTACTTACCTACTTCGTCCCTCGTTGTATCTTCCTCACCCTACATCCTAACCTACAACCAACAAAACACTCCCAAACACCATACTCCCAAATACATCACTCTCAAACACCGTACTCCCAAACACCGTACTCCCAAACACCGTACTCCCAAACACCGTACTTCCAAACAGCATATACTCCCAAACAGCATATACCGCGGAATGGATTCTCCCTTCTCTTTAATCCCGAACCTGGTTGTTCTGGATTCCAAAGGCGACGGGCTTGTCATTCTCCCAAAACCTCTCCCTTCGATCCAGGTTTCCGTCACTGCTGTGTCCCTTGCATCCAACGTCCTAGGCAATAAGTTTGACCTCGAGAATCGACTCGCTATCGCCCCTGACGACAGCCCGGTCGCGGCTAGCATCCTTCTTCGAGTATTTCATTTCCTCGATCCTGCTGTTTCTGCAGACAACATGACACCCGAGTTGCTGGCGGAGATTGCGGATCTGTGTTTGAAGTGGCAATGTGTTCCTGCGGTGGGCCCGTACACCCATTTTTGGGTGGTTACTGCGAGTGAGAAGTTGTGCGATAAACTCGAGCCGTGGCTGGGTTGGTTGAAGATTGGGAAGGCCTTTGCTAGGGAAGATGTCGCCGCCATGGTAATCCAAGAGCAGGCGTATCGCTGGTGGAAGGATCTGGGGTTCGCCAACCTGGACGACCTGAGGCGCGTCGTTCAGCCAAGTTTGATCAGTTAGTGGACTGTCCCTTTTCATCCCTTGTATCACGTTTCCTAATGTGGCGTCACACAGACGAGCTCAACGAAACCCGTATGGATGTCATCCAGTACATCGGCAAGGCAGTCAGCGAACAACTCATCTGGCTCTCCAGCCAAGAGGATCTCTGCTTGGTCACCGATGCAACTAAGGAGGAGTCCGAGATGTGTTCATCGGCTCTGTGTGGATCTTTTCTACGTATCTTGCACAACAACGTCTTGATGCCACTTCAAGACCAGCCGTTTGAGGCCCTTACCATCCAGAGACTCATCGGTAACGATGGACTCCTCAAGGATGTCGTCTTAGGCTTGAAGGAGCATCCGGTTTGCCGGGCGATGGCAGCCGAACTCCAGATGTCACTTGTTAGAAAGATCGAGCAATATGTCGCAGATTCGACCTTGAAATACCAGGTGTTTCTATCCGCCGCCGCGTCGGGCGAGACGAATCAAGGGACTGAGCCGGCGAACTCTACTGCGCTTCCTGTTCTCTCGACGCGAGAAGTAGTCAAGACTCATGTTCTATCGGATTCGAACGCCGAGGGCGAGATGAAGCTTAATGACAACTCCGAGCCCGAGCACACCGAAGCGGAGCCCGAGAGGCCAACCGCTGAATCGCCTATTACAATGCCCTTCGAAACGACCAAGAGGGAGACTTTAGAGCCCATCGTCGAAGAGCCTGTTACGGAGTTCTTGGAGCCAATCAGCGTTCAATCCGTCGGAGAACCTACCGTGCTAGTCCGTGAGGATTCCACCAAAGAGCTCGGGGAATCAATCATCGAGGAATCGGTAGAAGCACTTCCCACGTCGGTTGCCGAGAAATCCGTCGAAGACCTTCGCAACCTGGTCGCCGATGTTCTCACATTGGATCCCAGGGAGCCAATTGTCGAGAGATCAATTGGAGAGCCGGTGGGGACGGTTGCCGAAGAATCAACCGAGGAGTCCAAGGAGCCAGTTATCGTCGAGCAACACGCCGAAGGGCTCATAGAGCGAGCTTTTGAGGCTCTCACCGGAGTGCTAAAGAGGCTGAAAGTCGAACAATCGGACGTACAGGTCTCAAGACCAGTTGTCGTGGGACACATCGAAGGGCCCATGGAACTACTCGCCGACTTCCCAACTGGACAGACTGTGAATCTTACTGTCCAGGAAGCGGACCTTATTAAAGGCTATTTTGATTCTCTGGATGCTGAGGATTACGGCAAGCAGTGGACCGCAGAGCATGCGCAGCCAGTAATCGAGGAAGCAATTGGAGAGCTCGTCCATCCCACTGCCGAGGTATATTCCCTGACGTATGTGCAGCAGAAGCCCGCCGGAAAGCCTATTCCGGGGCCTATTGAAGTTCCAGTTGCAGAGCCCATCGAGCCAATCGCCAAGGAACCAGTCGTCGAGGAATACACCAAAGAGCTTGTTCCAGAGCCCGCCGATACCCCCACGGGAGGGCTCAGCCTTGAAGTTGCATCAGAAACTGCTGGAACATCAGTAGGAACTCTGCTTGAGAAGCTTGACTACCTTACATCGGGGGTCTTGAGCAGAACAGTGGAAAACCCATTTGAGGAGTTCAAGATCGACATTGAGGAGCCAGTCAAAGTCGAAACCCCGGCGAAGGTAGCACAGGAGAAGTCTGCGATTGGACCGATGGACGCTCCCCTCGAAGTTTCGAGTGACTTTGAGGCCGAAAATAACGCCGTCCTCATCAAGACTTCTTCGCCAGCTGCTGAACCGGACGCCACTGTTAGTTCCACTTTCACTGGCGACCATGACAAGAAAGCTGAGATGGTGCATGATAAGTCGGCGGATATCGAGCGTTGCCAGCCCTCAACGCTTGTCGATGTCGACGTCTCGAAAGATGATGGTACTCCTGTGGGTGTGCCAATCATCGAATCGCCGCCTGGCGAGATGGATGCACTGAAAACCGCCTTCGAGCGCCTCGACCACTCGCCCGCTCCGAAAGGGTTCATTCTCCAAGAGGAGACGCTAGATGACGATATCGTGGAGGAGGAGGAAAATACCGACCAGCAGGAGGAGGATACCGACCAGCAGGAGGAGGATACCGACCAGCAGGAGGAGGATACCGACCAGCAGGAGGAGGATACCGACCAGCAGGAGGTACATAAGGCGGAGGAGCGGGAGCCGATCTGCGATAAATCCAACGAAGCTGATCGCAGCAAGGCTCCTTCCTCGGATGTTCAAGAGACTGACCCCGATGTTAATGCGGTCGTCCCCGTTGGTCATAAGTCGACCACGATGCGGCGGGCAGCTTTGAAGCGTACTGCACCGGATTACGTCTCTTTTCAAGGAACCAGACCTGGCATCAGTCACTCGCCTCCGCTGAAGAGATCAAAGCTTGTCGATCCCGACTTCGAAGCACGTTCTAGATTCCCAGACACCAAGAAGCCTCAAACCGAGCAGCCCGAGACCAAGAAGGAAAACCCCCAGATCGAAAAGAACCCTTCCACTCTGGGTGTTGAAGCCATTCGCCATTCGCCCTTGCCTTCAGCAACGAATTCCACGGTCGCTGTCCGCCGCCTCGGCCGTCCCAACTGGACAAACGAGGAGCGCCGAGCCCTGGCTGCCAGTCTTGTCGATCCGGCCAGAAAGGGCGTCCTCAAGTATCTCCGTGCGAAATACAAAATGGTCAGTCCGGCCCATGTTCTAGATATCGTCAACAAGCACAACTGGGATCTCACGGAAGCCGAGAAGGCTGTCGAGGATCTGCACAATCAGATCTATACTGGACAGATTGTCTTGTAACCATCCGAGTGATTTTAGAAGCGGACATATCTCACGATATGGAAAGGGGCGAGATAGCTGTGATGGTACTTCTTTCTAAGTTTGACGTGTTTCTTTCCTTGGGATACGTTCCTGTACTTTGAATTCCATACCTGATCTGTTTGGCATTTGATTTCTTTTTATTTGTATTTCTTTCTAGCATGATGGTGACATGGTCCATGATGACCGGCAACGGACATAAGTGCGAGGGTCACATGTTATTTGTTTCGACGATAACTAAGCAGAACGCTTTGCCTTTGTTTTATTTTCTTTATAAATCTTAGTTAGTTTGAACAGGGGGGCAGGAGATTGACGATGCTGGCGTGGCGGTTTAGCTAGTGGCGGTGATCGGGGACTTTGACGACTTCGCTCGCGACAGCCGAGAGTCGCGGTTCTCCCTAGCATGTAGCAGTAGCACGTAACTACACCATATCCAAACTTCTCGAAAGGGGTTGTCTGTCTCCATCCTGAATTCACACAACCCATTTCTGACTTGTTTATCTGTGCGAACGACTGCTCTTTTGCTGTCTCCATTGCTTCACCTTGACTGTCCTACGTACACCTCTCCCCGGCAAACCTGAATTCCGAGCAGTGCGCACCACGCCACCGGTCCGTCGTCGCTAGATAGATAGCATCGCCCATTCCCACCGACGAGGACAACCATGGCGTACGTTCCTATACCGCGCAACAACTACTCGACCGCCACGCCCGGCGAAGACTTCGATGCATCCGGCTCGCGAAGCTCCTCACTAGGTCTCCCGCCACCCCCACCGCCACTTCACATCTCAGCGATCCCAGCTCGGCTATCGCTCGATCATCACCGCGACAGCGACGGCGGTGGCAGCAGAGGCATATACGATCTGTCGAGCATATCGGCAGTAGTGCAGCGACTGGATTCCCACGACGGGCGCGACGAAAGCGACAGCGGAAGATCGTATGAACTGGTATCGCGGCACGATGCGGATGGCGAGGGGCACTTTGGGAGCGGGCCTGATACGCGGAAGAGTTCGGGGGTGCTGGTGGACAGGTCTGTCGGCGTCGGAGGAGGCTCCACGCCAGCCTCGCCTTTGGTAGTCGTGAACCATGGAAGGGATGACGCCTCGCAATTGGATGGAAATCCTGATCGGGCATGGCAGTGTGTCTCAGTTGGTTCAGACACGGCACGGGAGCGCCAGGACGGTGCAGAGGGAGCTGCTGCGCGTGGGAATCACCATCAACGTTGGGACAACGAATCGCAATATATCCACCCCGCCCTGCGAGCACCGACACCGAACGAAGCGCAAGAACGTCCTTATTCCGCCGGCGATTTCTTCAAGGATTTTGACGGCGTGCATTACTCAGCTTCCGAAGCTCCGCTTCCACCTGCTTCCGCGCCCCCCGCTCCTCCGCATACCGACCACCGTTACGCCCACCCGCAGCAGCGTGCCTCCGTCTCACAGCCACGGCCTCAATCGCGTGCGACTCTAAACCACGATACCCATTCCGAATCCTCGCGGGACTCGGGCTTCGTGTTCTATCCCGCGCCTGTACCGGCGGTCCTTAACCTGCCCCCTTTAATGGCAAAGGACACCAAAGCACGGAACCGCTTCTCCAAAGTCCAGAAGCGAGCCAGTCAGCAAGTACTCTCGGACGCAATTTCGACCGGAGATCCAAGCGGCAATAACCGGCGATCGTTGACGTTCGACGCATTGGCCGCTCCTAACGCTGACGCCTCTACTACACCGCTGGCCGAGAATAGAAAGTCGACCGCACTCGACGACACTCGGCGACACTCTCATCTTCCTCCTGCTCTGAGAGCTTCCGCCTTCTTCGACAGCATGAATTCCGCACCCACAATCGCGCCGGAGCTTAAGGAGGCATCGGCGGTTGCAACCCTCGACTCGATTCTAGACGCGTCCGCAAATGCGCCCCCTGCTGCGTTTACGGATCACCCAATGACGGGCACGGAATCCAGCACACACCTTTCGGCGCCACACCGTAATGATTACCGCAATTCTGTCGCCATGACGGTGATGCTGCATCCGGGGGAGTCGCCACGATCGTCAATGGACGGTGGAGAGCGGGGCGATAGCACGCCGCTGCGCACCTCGCGTTCCTTTGAAGCCGCATCGAACAATGCGGATCCAGCACTTAACGCCCTGCCGACTACACTTCTTGCAGAGCTCGAGTCGAGAAAGATGCAGCTAAAATCACGGAATCGAACCGCCGCCTCAGCGTTTCCCACCGGTATCCGGAGTACACTGTTAGAACTCGACGCGGTGGCACAAGTGCAAGCGCAGTCTCGCCGGGCGAAACGGACAACGCTCGCATGGGAGGACCCGGAGGATGGAGATGGAAACGAGGATGAGGACGTGCCCCTGGGGCTACTGTACCAAGGACAGGCAGCGCAGAAGGCGCAAAGGGGTGGCGGCAGAGATGAAGATGTCCCGCTGGGTCTACTAATGCAGAAGGCGATGGAAGATTCCGAGCCGCTTTCGCGGCGTCGCGATCGGCTACGGCAGCAGAACGGCGGACCACCATCGTCGTCCGTGCCTGCGCCCAAGATTCCGCCTTTGGAGGAGACGGAAGAGGAAGAGGAGACGCTCGCCCAGCGTCTTAAGCGCCTACGTGAAAAGAAGGAGAAGCGCGCTAGCGCCTTTGGCGACGGAAGCTTGGAGTTAAGCTTTGATACGTCTGCGCCACCCCCGCCACTGCCGGAGGAGGAGACATTGGGGCAACGGCGGAAACGGCTGCAGGATGAGGAGGAGCGTCGACGGCTGGCGGAGGATGCGAAGGTCGTCCAGGCTGAGGTACGGAAGAGGAATAGTATGTCCACTATGCTCAGTCAGCAACACCTCGGTGCCGGAATGATGGGACGGAGCATGCCAATGCTGATGCAGCGACCCGGAAGCATGGGCGGGTTGGGTACGGGTGGTGGTGGTGGTGGTGCTGGCGGGCTGATCCACCAGGCGGGCGCAGGCGGTATTTTGAGGCCACAAATGAGCATGGGGAACATAGCTGGGGGCGGGATGGGCGGGATAGGAATGCAGGGGATGGGAATGCAGGGGATGGGTGGCATGAGCGGCATGGGCGGGTATGGAGCCGCCAACGGCGGCGCCATGGGAATAACCGGTATGGGAGGCATGGGCATGATGGGCGGAGGAGCTGCGGGCGGAGCGATCCCGATGACCCCGCAGGAAATCGCCATGAATAACAAACAGCGCGAGATGGTTGAGCGTTGGCGGGCAAGTGTCATGTAGTACCGACCCGCTTAGCCGCGCATGGAGGGGACGTCTATACTATCTTTTATTGCTTTTCCTTGCGTGTTAGTGTCTGGTCTCGTCTGGTCTGTCTGGGAGTAAATGTGGGATTGGATTGGAATTGGGCTCCGAGTTTTGCTTTTGCTTTTGCTTTTGCTTTTAACTTCTGCTTTTGCTTTTATTATTACATCAGAAAGTTGTTTTCGTTGCTTTTATACCCCATCATACTATGCGTACATACAATATCGAATCTTTCACTTGCTATCACTCGCGCGTGCGATTGGATGCTGACCGTTTTAACGCTTGCTATCTCTTATTAACTCGAAGAACGAAAAGGCCGACGAATGGGTAAAACTGGCAGCTGACAACCTGACCGCTCGCGGAGTGGAGATCACCCGCTACACGTACAGGTACGGCACCAGACAACTATATACCCCCTCCGTCACTCGCATATCCGAGACGTGGCATCACGGAAAGCAAGTGGGAAGAAGCCAAAGAATGGACCGACGCACGAGTCACCAACAAGAAGTACCGTTTCAGCAGAAAATCTGGCCAGAGACCAGACCCGACCCCGGCCAAGGCCCCCAAGCGCCTGGTCTCGAGGTTTCACCAGCCGAAGATCGATTCAAGATTCGGGACCTCTTCGCAGACGGGCGGTGCAGCCTGGCCATTCTAGACTTCCTCTCCTCCACTGACCAACTCAGTAGGTATATGCTTACTTATTTACCTGCACGCTCGTGTAGCCTCCTGCCACACGTGAGACACTCCGCCAACACGCGGGAAGGTCGACCACATGTTTGGTCGCTTATCTGCCCACCTGCCCACAGGGCACACACACAAACACACACACGGAAACGGAACTAACTAGCTGCGATGGGATGGGTCATTCCTAGACTCCGAGTCCATGGATATTGGGGTCCCACCGCACAAAACGGAATAAGCCACGTAGGCTACCGCGCGATCACCAGAGACCCGCTTGTCTACCGCTTGACCAGGAATAGACCCCCCAATTGCCGAATCAACTCGAGAGGATTGGATCTTAGGACAACAGCGGTCCGGAAACTTAGGAACGATGTTTTCTGGGCCTCTATTCGGCGTGACACTGGACTGTAAATTCATGAACGTAGTATGGTCGGTTTACCCTTCGCAGGTAAGCACTTTCCGAGGTACTGATGCCCTTGTCGATAAAAGTTGCAATGCCTATTATAATTATACCACATGTAAGCGTTGCCTTTAGGGTGACTGTCGATGGCAATGACCTATCACTCGACTGCAGCCTTGTGCATGGTAAGAGAAAAGAAAAACACTAGTGCCGATAGCAAAAAATGGTAGGAATTATTCACGGCAAATCGAGAAGCACATCAGCGGGTTCTAGCGAATCTATTGAGTTCTTTGATTAATTCATGCTTAGGGTGAGCCTTCGTTGCGTGAGGAAAATTGTCGGCTGAGGATTTTAGTGTGATATTGTGGCTGGAGATGTTGGTGATGTCTGCAGAATTGCTAGATTATAGGCTAGTACTTTGCTGCCTTCTACTTGATCTTTCTATGTACGTTCCATCATTCTGAGGCCAAGCGATCGCCTTCCTTTCTGGTGGGCCATTTCTCTTCAGGTGATAGTTTATTCACTGCATTTGGTCTGTCTGCTTCTGCCTGCATCGAACTATCGTTTCGCATATTTCCCGGGTCTGGGAGTACACAACCCTATATAGAACATCGGCATCATCAGGGTCATCAGCACCAGCGTCATAATCATCATCATCATCTTCTTCTTCTTTTTCTTTTTCGTCTTCATCTTCTTCTTCATCACCCTCAAGCTGTCGTCCAAAATGATTCGACTGAAAAGGTCCATGCAGCAATCACTGCATACCCAGAGCTTAGCGTCACTGTGAGATCCAGCGCAGCGCAACGGGTGCGCCATCGTGCTCCAACGTGTTATGACAACTGATTTTTAGTGACGACTAAATTCTAATTCACACAAAATGCTCCACCAGGCAAAACGTATATGCACTGCAGCACTCCCGACTGGCTGCAGCGGAGTTCTGGCTGCAATCTAAACGCCGAGGTACTCTACCAATGATTCATGGAGTGGAGTGCAGCCCAATCCCCTCCTCCTAAGTGAGTTGGCGAGATGTTTATTAGCCCACGAGTCCGTTTTTATGCGACGTGGGGAAACGCACCGAGCAGAGAAAGCAGTTGACTGACTAGATGCCGAGGGCTGAGTGAAAGAGAGAGGAATTACCAAGGCTCACATTGTACAGGGCTCGTGGTGTGCACTCATTCTCACTCCGTGCGCTCGCTGGCCCGTTCTTTTCAGGTTGCTGGCGGCTTATTTTTTGACATACGTTTATGTTCTGGACCAAGTGGCACATCAGTCAAGCAGCAACCCAATCAGAACGGCCGTTATACACCTACAGGCTACGTTATTCAGTCGACAAACAGCAGAGCTGCAGAAATTCGCCCCGACTTCTCCCACTTCCACTTCCGAAGAAAAACGCTTCTCCAGGAACATTACCGGATCCAACCAGCCCGCTCAACATGCCCCTCTCGTAGTAGCAGGTTTACTTCATCTTCATGTTCACGCTCAAATATTGACACGCCTCGTCCCACGTGTCTCCGGCTTCAATCTAGGAGCTGGTATTGGTTTATAATGTCCTCGCAGTGAAAGCGTATCTGAATATTGTCCTGTGCGCAAATCGACACGCTGTCTCCAGAGACAGTATCTCCGGGAAACCCTAAAGCTGGTCTTCGTGTTTTAGGCTTAATCGAACTCTGCAATCATTAAGTCCGCTGTAACGAGGCAACAGGTGGCTCCGGGGAGAGAGTGACGGTTCGGTGGAAGTCACGTGGAATAGTATCCCCCTGCAGGTAGAGCTCGGTTCCATGCAAGTATCGTTCAAGATCTACTTGGCTGGCAGCAAGACGTAGGGATGAACATTAGAAAATAGCGAAAGGTGCAAAGATTGACATAATACTGCCCGACAGCTAGTATGTACGAGTCTGATCGTCGCTTATGCCAGAGCTCCTTCTGCTGACGACAAGTGCGAAGTCTGTCCTAGGAGGAATGTTGTGCTTACTGGTATGGAGACAAACAACCGATCGTTTGTGTTGTCGAAGTCTTCGATTCTGATTCCTCGGTCGTTGGTTGTATTCGTGATGGTGAACCCATGAACTGTACTTGGTTCCAATACCCCTCTTCGGTTGGATTCCAAGAGTGCGCACACTGCTGGCCAACATATAAATCAGCCCGAAACCACCTCTTCATCGTATCTGAAGAAAAAGTAGAGCATCCGAGATGGCCTTTAACTCCAATTTTATCCCGACAACACCCAGTAGTGATGACGACAAAGAGCACCAGGAGTGGCCTACGCACACTGCACACATTTCCCACACTGAGCACCACCCCCTACGACCACGGCCAATCCACATACTTGACCAACAGCGTCCGTCACACGGCACCGGCCATGCATACGCTGACCACAACCTGGTCGGCCCAATTGTCAACGGCGCTAGATCCGTCGCGGATGGGTGGAACCTTAATCACCACAAATCACGGAATTTCCCGGCTGAGAAATCGTCCAGTCCGCCGGCCTTCGACGACGCAGAGAGAATCGTCAATACCCAGAATCTCCAGTGCGCTCCAGCTGCTCGGCGGCTTGCCTGTCCCTTCTATCTCCACGCACCCCAACTGCACCTCAACTGCGCCAACAAGAGGTTTGCCTTCCTCAGCAGAGTCAGGTCTGTCTTCCACTTCTTCTTCATCATCTTCTTTTGCCATCGCCTCCTGCGCTAGGAGTTAACTTCCATGTGCCATCGCCGCCTGTAGGGAACACATCTCTACGCACACGTATCCGTTCCAATGTGACCGCTGCCACGGTTATTTTTCGCGGCAGTTCACCCTGAAGCGCCACAATAATACGTGTGGTGGCCAAAAGTCGAAGGGTCGTCAAGCGGGAATGCCTTTCCTGCATGGCGCCCTGGTAGAGATGTGCAGAGTCGAGGACATGGTGAAGGTCCTCGAGAGTGAAGTGTGCGATGCATGATGTTGTATGTTGTGTGTTCCGGAGTTGATGGCGTGAAGTCTGGCGGGAACAGGGGTGCGCCACTCTCGTTTATTTTCGGTTGGCTTCTGAATTGGCGCATAACTAGTAGATAGCGGAAGTCTGGATATGGTACTTATCTACATCTTACTTAATGATTAAGCGCGAAATGAATCATGATTCTTCTACATACACGGTCCGGCCAATTTTGGCTTTCCAGAGCAAGAGGCTGCGAGAAGGGTGACCATACTCTACTCGCTGCTCGGCTGTGCTTCTCAGTGGGCCAAGTGGCAGACGGGAAGCGGAGCGGAAAATATACGTATTCATTTTGCTATTGATAGAATTATTGGATCTCCCCCACATGCCACTGCCCTCCAGGTTTTCAGCCGTCGTGATTGCATCCAGGCATGTTTCTTTTCCCTCATGGTGGCTGTCCCGTCGCCGAAGCGCAGTCCATAAATCATCCTAAACAGTTTATTGGCAACATCCACCGGGCTAGCTTGGGTTTGGCAGAGTAAGAAGTCAACCGGCTCCAGCTGTTTGTGGGAATAAGGTTTCGGGTTGTGGAAACCATATAATCATAGTTCCAGTTCCCAAAAGACCAATTCTAACAGTCCGTCCTCTGGCACAATTCAAGGCGAAAGGACAGATAGCTGCCGCCTGAACCAGCTGTAGGCCTGGTCGGAAGACAGCCGACAGACAACTACAGCCTGATCTCTCACAGACAGTATTCTACATAATCCGGTCCGGACTGCAGTCCAGTGGTTTTGGCAGACTGCATGAAAATAGTCCATCCAGTCTGAGATTTTCAAAGACTGCAGTCGACTGGATAAAAATAATATTCATAAAGAGCCTCCAAATTACTAGGTGTTGACTGCCACCCAGCGCCAAGCCGCTACATTCTCTAGCCACAGCCACCACAGCCACCACAGCCATGGTTGGCACGTTCGTGTTGGGAAGTCGCGGCTTGCTGGGTGGGGGGATGATGCACGCAGGCAGGTTTTTCTGGCCGGGATGCGTACTGTACGCTGGTCTTCCTTCACTGCTGCCTCCTCTAGGTTCTGGCCATGGAGAGTTTTGGGGGTGAGGGGGGATGTGAGAGAGCTAAGTATTCTGTAGCTGCGCCACACTTAGCAGTCCGTCCAATCTCCTGCAGTCCGTCCAGTCTCAACACTTCCCATACTGACCCAGTCTAGTCCAAGCCTCCGGACGGACTCCCAAAAGTATTTACCTAGTCCAGTCCCGTCCGAGGCCCAGGACGGACGGACTGGACTATGGAGAACACTGCTCGCAGACCATCGCCCGCAGACCGTCCCGAACCCGGAGCAAAACAAAGAAGGATCTTCAACTAAACAATTTGTGTCATGCACTAGAATGCAGCTGTAGCCATCGCACCTAATATTCGGCGAGCTATAAATTCATCATACCCTCCGGATCCCCCCGCCGACATTAACCCCCCTAAAACGACCGAACGCCCTGAACCCGCACCATGCACAAACAGTATCATAAAGCACAACATATCCTACCCCCCCTAGGTATATAAACGACAGGTCTATAGAGAGCGACAGTCTACACAATATAGTTACATGTTTCCTCCTCCAATAAAGGATTAACCTAACCAAAAACGCGCAAATTAAAAGAACTACCAGGGAGCCTCTATACTGGCAGGGTCCTCAAAACTCCCCTTCGTCGGGAGCATCGCCTTCGCACCAGCGTGGTGCAGACCTGGAGGGGGAGGAGTAGTTCCGAATCCCAATCCCGGCGGTGGAGAGAGACCCGGTGGTGGCGGCGGCGATGATCGTAGAGGAGGCGACATCATGCCCAAGTATTGGTGGATCAATTGCTGCTCTGCCGATGAAGGTTCTGCCAATGCCGTAGCAACTGGAATTGAGTGTGGGTACAGAGGTGGCGAAAAGATTCCTGCCTGCTGTTGCTGCTGCAGCAGATACTCAGCGGCAGCTTGGTCCCCCATGTTCATCTGCGAAACCGACGGCATTCCCATGCTGACAGCGGCCAATGCGTTGCTCCCTGCGCCCCAACCTAACGGACTCCCGACAGGACTAGTGACGGGACTACCACTGCCGGCGCCGCCTCCATTGCCCCCACTACCGGCGCTTCTCATGCTCCCGTTGCTACCTCCCCATGCGTTTCTCCTCAGCTGCAATAACTGCCCCAGCGTCAATTCCTCACCTTGATCAGTGCCCCAGCTTCCCGGCGACAGTGGTCCTGGCGATCCCCATCCCCCGCCCTGTGATCCCGGCACTGGGAACACCAAGCTATTCCGGTAGCTGCTCTCCGATCTTTCCGAGATAGGGGTGAGAGACGGCCTGCGAATCGGCGGTCGCAACAATTCCCCATTCACGCCGGCATTGCCGAAGAAGCCTCCTGCGTAAGAAAGCCCGCCGTTGGTGTTGCTAGAGTAAAATCCGAATTCCGAGCCGTAAAAGCCTTCGCTGTCGTTGGCCAACGCTTCCGCATTAGCAGCCGCAACCATAGGGTCATCATCATCATTGTAGTCATAATCATAACTAAAGTCGAAATCCGAGTCGTTGCCGAAATTTGGACGCTCATTGATGTCGGAGTCGTAGCCCTCCGAAGGGCTCTGTGGTGCACCAGCGAGACCGAGCTGTTGTTGCTGCATCTGATACTGTTGGAGCGTAGATGTGAGTGAACTTAAGGCGTAGCCGTTAAGAAGGGTACCGTTGACCTCCGGGGCATAGAACTGATGCTGTTGGGGTGTGAACCCCAGGCCACCTCCAATCGGATTGATGAATGGTGGGAATTTGGGCATCGGATCCTCCGGTTCAGTGGCCATCGAGCCGTCTTGCGGTATTAAACCGGAGGAGATGCCAGTGTCCTGAGTGACCATAGAAAACCGGTTGGCGGCATCGAATTCAGGATTAACCTGGCCAAAGTACCCTTCCACGGGAGGCGAAGCAGGTGTTGTGTCGTCGGATGGCGGTTGTATGGTCAATTTTTGAGGCTGCGGTAAGAGAGAGGGCTGCGGTTGCTCATCCTGCGTCTCTGAATCGGCTGCATAGTCGGTTATGAGCCCGTCGTCAAAGTACATGTCATCGTCATCATCCTCATAACCTGCCAACTCTTGCTCGTCGTCCATAAAGTCCAAGTCATCGCTTGTTAATTCCAGATTCCGAGGATTTGCCATACGCTGTCTGGAACTGAGAGTGATATCCTTGGCCGACTGCTCTGCCGCTAACGGTTGTGGGTCCATAAACGGCAAGTTATCGTCCGTAGGGAACCCGCCAAACTCCATCTCACCGCCGGATTGATTCGGCATATCCTCCGATAACGCCATTCCAATACCTTGCTCCTGTTGCGCCATGGTGATTTTCATCACATCCATGGCTGCCTGGAGAGCATTATACTGGTCGGCGAGTTCATCGGATATGGGGTCGTTTCCGAATAGTCCCTCGTTGGCCCGCTCAAACCCATCGTCTTCATAGCCCTCGTCGTCCAGGTTAAACTGGAAGCTGCCATCCGCAAACGAGGATCGATCGTCATCCTCTTCCGAGTCAAGACCTTTCTGGGATGGCGCCGCGCTCGGAGACTTACTGCTGCCCTCGAAGCTAAAGCGCGAAGAGTTGACAGCTTTGTAGTGTGGCATCGCGAGCGGATGGTCTATCAAGGTAACGCCACGCCGTCGTCGTTCCTCTGTCGGTGTATCCGAGATGCCGGAGAGCCCGGAAAGCGCCGATGTGGGCCTAAATACTGCAGTTGACGGGGAGGTCGGCATCTCAGGGACAATTGGCATCTCGGGGGTCATTGCGACCGGCAGCAGAGATTCTGTTTCTTCTGCTAGCGGAGGAGGAGGCGGTGGCGGAATCTGTGAGGGTGGTGGCGGTAGGTCCTTGTCGATCTGTGGTATCGGCATCGGCGGCCTGGTCGGCAGCCTTGTCTCCTGCGGAGAGACTGAAAGACTAATCCTCGCATCAATGCCCTGCGCCTCCTCAATCTCCGTCCGCGAAGGTTTCTTCCCGTCACTTTTAATGGGCACACCCGGGCTCCCGGGCCCAACTGGAACAGGACTCAAACTCCGCCTCGGATCCTGCGATCCCCGCTTCGGATGACTGCTCCAATCCGGGTGTCTGGTTGCGTAAATGATTTTAGGATCGAAATTATCTGGCAAGTCCCTCGAGCTCCTCCCTTTGTCCTTTCCCAGCGCAAGATCCCTCTGACTCGACCGTCGCCGTAGTAGACTCATCGGGTTGAGTCGTCCCAATTTCATTCCCTTTCCGCCGGCTTCCTTGACTTTCTCCGGTTTGACGTTCTCATTCGCGCGCGAATGCAAGCCGACCGACGGGGGTGTCATCGCCGATGTCTTGTTCCGTGGCGCCGGAGTGTCGGAGGTTAACGCGGTATACGGTGTAGATGTTCGGGAGAAAGCTCCGATGGAGGAGGGGGGAGGGGTAGCTGTCGCGGTGGAAGGAGTTGGAGGCTGTGATGGTGGTGGTAGTGGTGGGCGGGGCGGTGGTGGGTATTGTGGTGCCTGTGGTGCGACCGCAGTAGTGGTAGTGGTAGCGGTAGTGGCGACACCATCGTAAGCGGTTCCGTCCAACCATTGTCCCGGCGAGCCTAGGCCCGGCGAGCCAATATCAAGTGGTGGAAGCGCGGAAAGGATGCTCCTGTAGGAAAAGGTGGATGGAGGAGGCGGTGATGACGATGTTGGCGTCGCGACGGCAGAGGCAGGAGATGATGGTGTCGCGCTTGACTGCGAGCTATGGGCTCGGCGATGAGGTCGCAGGAGGTTCAGTCGCGGCATCGTTCGGCGAGGGACAGAAGAAGTGGCGATATGAAACAAGCGCTGAAGTTAGGGAATGATGGGGCGAGATCACGGCGGCGATCGATATGGCGGTGCATAAGAGTGTCCAAGTTGTTTGCGGGGGGAGATGTCTTTCGGTTGGGAGAGTCGCTGCGGTTACTCTAGAGTAGCCTGATCCAAAATAACGAGGCGGCCACCAAGCTTCGCTTCCATAGCATAAACCGGGGTAAAGCAGACAGCCAGCCACTCACAGCCGGCCATTTTGCATGCAAGATCGACACTTGTACAGCGTACTTCTTCCGTGAGACATCGACCATCTCGATGCATAGCCGCTTTGACTTCAAGTCCGTGCAAAGCATACGGACAAACTTTCAGTAGATACGCAACTCTACTTCAATCGCAATAAGACTCTGAACAGCGAAGTCCACATGGGCCTATAAGAAATTACCGGTATACGGTATTGCAAAGTCCTTTCGTACGACGAGTAGACGAGGGGCAAAAAAGGTTTGATCCGGTGAACCACGGTATTGGGTACTTTATGTTACCTTACTTCATCTCGGAGCGAGCTTCATTCACTCGAAAGTCGAGACTATTGGAACATAGAAGAATGGCGTAGATGCGACTACATTCGGAAGCCCCAATGGTTGTCCGACTGTCGGGAAAGACGATGTTGTTGGACAAACTCTTGAGCATCGATTTAGGTACCTATTCTGCCGAGGAAAGGATCGTAGGCCAATTCATTTAATTCGCCACGTGGTACCATTTCCCATAGGTCCCCAATTCATCTCGGCCGAGATGGCCTCAATGAAAGCTGCAAATGATGTTCCGTCATGTGGTTCCCGAGAACTTCGGTCGTGGAACCAGTCTTCCCTTTCAGTTAAGCCTGTCGCCTTCAGAAAAGATCATTCGACGGCGTTAATTGATGCCTCTAAATCGCCCTGTCCTTACCGTTCCTGTCGGATGGACTCCTGAAGATTATGGACCTCGCATGAAGGTTTCAGCCGTGCGGCCAGTCGCAGCGTCGGAACGCAGGAGCACTTTAACCTCGCGACTTGGTTGCAAAAAAAAGTACACACACGCAAGCAAGTCATTTATTTCCCGAAGGGCGTCTCGATCAACCAACCAAGAGTGGTTGCTTATTCTAGCTACGTTAAATCCCACTATATCACTCAATGGCCGATTGGCATTGCCTCGAACCATCCAATTCTAGATACTTTGACACTTGATCGCCACACCGTAGTCTGTTAAAGGCCGTGTGCGACAATGGACCGATTTTCTCTCTATGTACTTGGACATTCTGGTTAAGTGCTTACTTGAAGTCCCTATTTGAATTGCACCTACAAGCTACAACACATCCGCCACATCCGGATATCTCACCTCGCCCCCTTCCTCAACCCACTTAACCCACTCCCTAAGGAAGCCGCCCGCATGCTTCACCGTCTCCGCGTCTCCGATAACACACAAGTGTCGTCTCGCGCGCGTCATGGCGACATTCAATCGTCTCCCCTCTCGTAGAAACCCAGCCTCGCGCTTATCATTACTTCGGACAAGACTGAATACAATGGCCTCCTTCTCTCTTCCCTGGAAGCCATCAACACTCCCCAATTCCAGCCCGGGAAAATCCGGACGGAGCGCAGAAGAGAGGAGCGACAGTTGGCCATTGTATGGAGTGATCACTGCAATATCGGTGTCTTTCACGCCTGCGGCGATGAGCGAGCGGACATATTTTATCGTTAGGGCGGCTTCGAGAGGGTTGGAGTGGGAGGAGGATATGCTGGGTTTCTTGGACTCGTCTGTGGCCACGGACTCCGGGAAGTCGCCGCCTTGGGTGTCGATAAATAGGACGGGAAGACTGGTGTCTTCGTTTTCTTCGACGTCGGGAAGGTCTTTGAGAAGTCGCTTTGCGACTGAGGTATCGGCAACTAGCTTTGAGTCGTACAGATATTTGGATGGAAAGTGCATGATGTCCTCGTGCATCCGGTACTGTACATTCAGCAGCCGCTTGATTTCATTACCGTGAAGATTCAGAAGTCGAAAAAAGAGTGTGTCTTCCAATGAAGTGGGGATGCGGAACCGCTTCTCTTTCGGCTGGGATATCTTCGGTGGCTCCTTCGCGGTGGATTTTACAGTGGGGGGAAGCTGCAGGTGATCTCCAGCCAGGATTAACTTGGAGACTCCGGTTGAAAGGAACAGCGGGATCCAGCATTGTGCTTCCAGAGCTTGCGATCCTTCATCGATGATAACGACATCAAACTTCTCCCCACGGAGCTGGTACCCGCCCGCACCATGGAGCGTCGACAACACCACCTAATGACCGCATCATTAGCAATATCCACGATGGCTGCCAGGGACAGTAAACCTTGCTGGAAGCGACCAGGTCGCGAGTAGCCTTTCCTTCTCGGAACCGAAATTCCCCACGTAGATGCCGCACTTGATCCCACCCTTCCTTGCGCTCCTTCCCTCGGATCCGGTTCTTCCCGCCTATTGCGAGCTTCGCTATCATTGAATCGAGTTCTTGGCGAACGTCTTTGACGATTTCGCCGGCTCCGCTGGTCTGTGTGAGAACATCTAGTGATCTTGCCAACACACGGGGTAGCAAACGCGCTGGGTGTCCGAGTCGGACTATTGATAGGTCCGGTGGTAGTCGGAGGGCGATGTTGTCAACGGAGATATTTGACGGCCCACACACGAGCACCCGCTTCGGAGGTGTCTGCAAAACCAGCTGTCGAATGATCTCTAGAAGCGTCTGCGTCTTTCCCGTCCCCGGTGGGCCGTGTATCAACGCTGTATCACTGTCAATAATCATCCGCCCACACAATCCCACGCATCACCACCCACCAATATCCCTACTTCCCAGCGCAAACTTCACCGCCTCCTTCTGGCTCTGATTCAACCCCTCGCCCAACCACTTCACCTCTGGCACATCCTCCAAGGGAGCTGGATCCGAAAGCCCAAAAAGCACTCTAACCAGTCCCTCGGCAGTCCCTCGCTCCCCCCGCTCCCGCAGCATGTCCATAGTCTTTACCATCCTGCGATGCGTCATCTCATTGGCCAACTTGACCGCCCAGAGCCTCTTTCCACCCGTCACCAGCGCCTCCACCCCCGCATCATCATCCTGTTCCTTTTTCCCACCAACAGCAACCACAAATCGCGTCTCCGAAACTCGGTGGACAACACCCTCCACGCCTTTTGCGCGTAGCTCCGCCTTCTCCCTCTTCTTCGCCGTGCCGCCCGGCTGCTCCTCGACACGCACCAGATCCCCGCTTCGAAGGCCATGCGTGGGGAATTTCCCGTCGCTCGTCAACGCCGCATCGGGCTCGAGCTCTAACACCGTCCTGCCGCCTAATCCTGTGCTCTGCGTCGATATCGACAAGTTGAGAAGTGCGAGACCATGCCGCTGTAGCGAGGCCGGTGGAAGCGAGGTTATTAATGTGGTTTGCTCGAGGACTTCGGCTGCGTGCTCCGCCTGGAGGAGGTTGAGCTGTGTGGTAGCAAACAGCTGGATGTCCATTGTTGTTATCGGGAGTGGGGTGGGGGATACCTAGTGGGGTACTCTACACATGCAAAGTGGGATGACGCTGTGGGTGCTCGGAAGTTGCCGGGACATGAAGATCACTCACATACAAAAATAATCGACAGTTACTCATGAGGCCCTTCGAGTCGCATCCAGAGACAACAGCATAAGAAGACTGATCTTCAACTCTCACGTATGTGCCCAGAATATACCCCCCGATAGATATGGCACATCGTTTAGACGTCCAAAGTAAAGGACAATATGTGCGCTTGATGAGTATGACTAATGTAGAATCCGTTATGGTGTAGTGGCTAGCATCGGCCGCTCTCAAGCAGAGCATTAAACCGGCCAGACCGGGGTTCAATTCCCCGTAACGGAATCATCTCTCATGCCTTTTGCTTGCAAGCTAACTCAGCTATGTGAGTGAATCCGAGCTGAGATACAAATCGCCACTAGCAATTAATATTTTTTTGATGGTCCCAAAAATGTTGAAGGACCGGACCGTGGACGAGCTGAAACCGTCTGTCCAGTCCGGCCCGAGTCTGCACCCGACAACGCCCTACATCCACCGCGTGCCTTCTGCTCGCACCCTCTCTTCTTGCCACAGTCCAAGCAGGTTTAAAGACACCATTGACTGCGACCTGGCCCAATCACACCGCCAAGTCCTCATTAAAACCGGGTTATTTCAATTCCCTATCCCCAAAATAACAACAAATCCGACCCCTTGAGCAAAGCACCAGAAGCAATCCGAAATCGACGCATAGAAAGAAAACCCCCCGAAAGAAAATTCTGTGGTCAGATCTACGCCCACAGTCTATCTCTCTGCTTGACAGCCGCCTTCTTGCCCCTAGCAGGTGCGGTAAGAACCCAGCTCCACACTTCCTCTCCGTCCACAAAAAGTCGGTACTTGAGTACTGCTTGTTCCTGATTCGTGGTGTCAATGGTGATAGCGCCGAACTTTGAGTTTCCATCCGGAATGTACCTAGCAAACGTTAGCTCTGGTGAGACAGCGGAAAAAGCGGTGATGTCACTCACTTAATGGCGATGTCCTCCTCGTCGGTTTGCTTGTAGGTCCTGAGGGGCAGGTAGAATTGGCTCAACGGACTGCACGAGAACTCGTGCACAGCAACCTCGCGTCCCTTCTCCCTGGCCCAGCGGCTTCCCTCCGGCGGCGGGAATTTAGTAGCCGCAAACTCATGTCTATCACCGCTCAAGATAACCACACCGCTACGGCCACCGATACTCCAGGCTGCCTCAAGGATCTGCTGGCGCTCCCAGAGGTATCCAGCCCAAGTATCATTTTCGCCAAAGTGCCAATTCTTGGTGAAGGGGACTGAGGAGATGATGAATTTCCACTGAACTTCCTCGCCGTGGCCGTGATCAGCGCCGCCGTCGTCTTTTGTAAGCCAGTTTATGAGGTCCTGCCGTTGTGTGGCGCCCAGCATGGACTTCTCGGGGCCATCAGGAAGATGGTTTGGATCTCTATAGGTACGAGTGTCAATCATGAAGAAGCTGGCTGAAGAACCCCAAGTGAACGAGTAGTAAGTCTCGCCACCTTGGCGAACAGCCGGAGGGTTAACGGCGTGTTGGTAGTGGAGGAAGGGGTCCATGGCGGCGTTGAAGACCCCAGCTGTTCCCTGGTCCCAGTCGTTTGCAATCTCGTGGTCATCGATCACGTGGATCCATGGGAGATGGTCGCCTACGGTACCCCAATCTGGGGAGCCGTAAACTTGGCGGTAGTGTTGACGGTAGGACTCAACATCAGTTCCCGGTCTTCTAGGGACCTGTAGAAGGTTAGATGGTGGCAGAACAGCGTAGTGGGGAACCTACATCAATGTAGATAAAGTCACCAAGGAAAAGCATAAAGCTAGCTTGCAGCTCGTCCACCAATTTGCCGAGGACTTTGAAGCCATTGATGGACAGTGGATGATGGAATGGCGAATAGGGAAAGCGCGGCTTGATGCAAGATGAGCTCAAGAAAGTGAACTTTCCATTCTTAGGAGGCTCTCCGAGCTTCGGCGCAGTGGTGAAAGTGCCAGTTTGGTTCGAAGACGTGAAATAGCGATATTTCGTCTCAGGCTGCAGCTTGCGGATAGCAACAGCCTTGGTGAAGTCCGTCTCGTTGGAAAACGACGGGATCACATCAACCAGATGCGTGCGCTTAACTGCCGGCTCTTCTGGCGCATACCAAACCGTCAACGGCCAATTCTCAAAGCGAGGCTCGCGGACGAGCAACTTGGCCGAGTTGGGGCCAACGTAGCCGATGCGCGAGAACGAAAGATCCTGTTGAGGGTGAAAGAGGTGCGAGCGGAACGTCAAATCCCACGACGCGAGTGCGAGGAGCGCGTTGATGCCGAAAGTTACCAGCGATAGCTTTCCGTTGGACGGGGAGGGAAGCCCGAAGAGGAGCGTGCGTACGGGGTGGGGATCTTTGCGTTTGTAGATTATCGTCTCGGTAGCTTCAATAGAAGGCGGTGGCTTGATGAGGAGGGCGGTGGTTTCACCGTCGTCGGTCACTTCAACATCATCTGGTTGCGTGACGGTTACCGTCTTCGCAGTGGCAGTGACCTTGTACGCGGACTTGGATAGGTAGAGAATAGCGAACACAGACACGTAGATACCGAAGGCTGTGAAGATTGCAGGAGGAAAGCCCTATCAATGCAGTGTAAGTTTGCTTTCGTCTATTGTTCAAGCCCTTCCCGAGAACTTACATGGCCCGGTATCTGTAGAACACCACAATGTCAGATTTGATACGTGAAAGTTTCCGTCGGAACCTCAAACCTACCCAACGCAGAAATATGTAGGCAGCTACCCGCAGCACGGTGGAGCTCAGAGAGCAGATAGTGTGAAGGGCAGTCGATTGGAGGTCCATGGCCTCAGGAAGAAAGGTGAAAGTAATGGGTATCTCGTGTGCTCGTCACTCAGGGCTCTTCGTGAGTGTTATTCTTCGTGGATGATTATTCGGGGTGTTGCTGCCTGGGTGAGTTGTCTCGCTGCGAGGTTGGGTTAAGCTCAGCCGAATTTCTATGTGCGATGACGTAGAACTGACGGTGCTGCACAATCAATCAGGAACGAGCCACACCCATAGAAACCAGGAATGAGAAACCAAGCTCGCTATCAAGATCAGAGAATTTAGGTGATAGTAACACCGCAGACTGATGACTGTCGGTTTTTCGATTGGCTGGATTTGAGGGCTGAAAGTTGTTTTTACACGCTGTCCATCATGATACCTTTAACCCGGTTTGTGTTCGGAACGAATGGGCTGTGTCGGACACGGTTGTTAGACAACGTGGGTCAGCATGAGCCAGTACCCTTCCATTGACTTCCCAAGTTGGAGGGACTAATTTCAAGTTCTAGATACATGGTGACACAAAAGCGTGAAGTGAGAGGTAAAGGTTTCACCTTTGTGTGCGATGCTTCTGGTTCCTGCGGCGCTTCATAGGATATCACCCGGCACTGCGAAGTCAGCCAACTTCATCCACCCCGGTAAGAACCTTGTTCTGCTGTCTATTCTGACCGTTCAGCACAGAATTATCCAGGCTGAATTGTGCAACTCTTTCCCGAGCCTAGGGACGCAATCCGCAGATGCCCGCACCGTTTAGTGTCAAAAAAAAACCGGCATGGAGCATAGCCTAAGACAAGCCAACGTCGGTCGTACAGATGTTTCACCTTACAAAGAATACGGACTTCATTGTTGGCGAATTGATGTCCGGATAGTCATCTGGTCAAATTTGACGACTCACGGGGCCGATCTTGAGTGTCTGTCACTGCAGCAATGGATGAGTACGATTCAACATCGGCAGGCACAGAAATTAAAAGATATAATACTACACAAGAACATCCTCGCTCAAACAGTATCTACAAAACTCGCCATGGGGTCATCGTGTAACCGCTTTTGTTTGCGGTACGCCTCCATATCGTCCTCGGTAACACCACCTAACATATGCTCCAGCTTTCGCTTGCCTTCTTTCTCCTCGCCTTCGACCGTCTTCCCTCCGCCGCCTCGTGCTGCCAGCCCACTTCCACTCGGCTCAGCATCGTCCTCGCGTGGTTTCCGGTCTTCAATTTGCTTGATCATCTTCGGCTCCTCCTCCTCCACAGGCGCCCTTGTCGCTGCCGGTATCAAGCCTAATCGCATCTTGTTGGCCATATCCGCAGCAACGATTCCATCCTGTCCAGAACAATAACTCTTCTTGATGGTCGAGTGACAGCACGCGTATCCCCACTTGAAGTTGTCCCACCAACTTCCCCAGACACTCGTATGATTCCCGTTGTACTTGTCTTCGACGTATTTTGACTTGGCCTTAACCTTCTTCACGCCCTTGACGTCGCCGGATTCAGTATACTCGACGTACCGTTCCTCCTCCTCCATCTCCGGCTTCTTTTTCAGGTGCTCGGCTCCACCGTACTTGGCCAGCAACTCCTTCCTCTTCTTTTCCGCCGCCTCAGCCTTCTCCCTCTCCAGCTTCTTCCGCAGCGCCTCTGCTTCCGTGGGATTGGCCTGTAAATGCAGCTTGTTCTTGTCGCCGCGCTCCTGCGTCTCCCATGCCGTACGTTGCAACCGCTCAAACTCTGCCGCGTCGCCCGAAGATCTGATAAAGTCTTCCTCGGCCACCATGGCAGCGGCACGATCTGAAGTGGCACCTTTATCAACCATAGTCCTAGTCTTAGGGTCGTATCGTGCTGAGTCGAGGTCGAGATTGAGCAAGTATTTCGCCGTATCTTCTCGGATTCGCAGGTTTCGTGTCGAGATCCTGCTCGCAGCATCGTACGCTTGTCCTGGCATCTCCGATTCTTCCGCGTACTTGTCCATATCTGCTTCATCGACCTCTTCCGGTTCACCGGCGGCCTCCTTCCTCAAAATCTCCAGCCTCGCATGCTCCTCGACCACGCGCCGGTGCTCCTTCGGATCATACCCATTCCACCGATCTCGCTTCCCGTCCCACGACAAATCCACATCCTCAACGACCTCATCTGCCTCGATATCCTGCCCCGTCCACTTCGCGCCGAGTTTCCTTGGGCGCGAAAGACACTCCGCGCGCTTGTGGGTCATGGCTCCGCAGTTCTCGCACGCACCCTTGCGGTATTTCGTCGCTGCTGGGCCGGTTTTCCGTCCGCGGTCGTACCATTTTGCGGTGGAGAGGTCCGCTTCTTGGGCTTTCTGAAGACGTTGATGCTCGAGGTAATCGCCTTCTTGGTCATCGTCAATGTAGAAGGGTTTTTTGGCGATGAAGTGAGGGATGTATTCGTTGCGCGATTGCTTTTCGGGGAGCTTGCTAGATCTCGAGGACGACATGGTGTTAATTGTGGTAGGGATGATTGGGGTGGTGGCGTGCGGTTGCTGAGGAAAGTCCTGAGCTCAGCCAGAAGAAGAGGCGAGAAGCAGGAGGAGAAGACGTGTAACTTGTGGCTAACAGAGGCCAGTGCGCCTCGATAAATGTGGCTGGTGATGGATTACCCGGCTGCTCGAAGAGGGACAGGAACTCTCAAAATCAGAGAAGAGCCCTGAAGACGAAGAGAAGAAACAAAGGAATTCCTTTCTTCTCCTATCGCCCCGTCACGAGAACAGAAATATGCAAATCCTAAGTACGCAGACAAAGAAGGGACACCTCAAATTATCTTTTTATATTTCTCTCTTGTTGCCACCAGCCAGTTCAGTCTTGGCAAGCACCCATGTTGTTTTGTTGTTTTTGTCGCTTCGTTCGCTCGCGGGTTGCGACCAAAAGCATCGCCAAAAGATCACGCTCCCCACCTTCTCTACTTACAACACAACGCCTACTCCGAACTACCAACGAACCCTTACCACAAAAGAAACCACCCCAGACAAAGTACCTAACACAGCATGGCCGACGAAGAGCCAGACTTCTCTTCCCTCCCACTCGTCGACAGAGCAGTGCACAAGCAATGGAAGGTCCGCAAGGAAGCGTATGAGGCGGCTGTAAAGTACGTTCACGTCAACCCCCTTGCTTCGGCAGCGTGCTGTCAGCGATAGGAAACAGTACTGACGGTGATGCACTGGTAGAGAGTTCGAGAGCTCGCCAGATGAGTCGGCGGCGTGCTTCACACCATGGATGATGGACCCGGGTCTATGGACAAAGGCGGCTACCGATTCAAACGTTGCCGCGCAGCAGGAGGGTATCGCAGCTTTGTGTGCTTTCCTGAAATATGGAGGAGCAAGTGCTTGTTCACGGTATGTTACTCATCTATTTCCCGTCGACGGCAACAGAAAAGAAGGTGCTGACATCCAGCAGGACGCGGAGTCATGTCATCAGTGGACTGGTGGAGAAAGGTCTTCCCTCGACTCGTGCTGCCACAAAAGCAAGTGCGACCGAGGCGCTGTTACTTCTCGTTGAGCTGGATACCCCCGCGCCTGTGATAGAGCAGTTGCTTCCGTTTCTAGCCCACAAACTGCCAAAGCTCATCGCCGCCACGCTAGTCGCTCTCACGTCAATCTACTCGGCTTTCGGTGCACGGACAGTAGACCCCAAGCCGGTGTTGAAACAGCTTCCCAAATTGTTCGGCCATTCCGACAAGAACGTTAGAGCGGAATCCACTAAGCTTACTATCGAACTTTACAAATGGCTCAAGGATGCCATGAAGCCCATGTTCTTTAATGACCTGAAGCCCGCGCAACAGAAAGAGTTGGAAGAAGCTTTCGAGAAAGTGAAGGGCGAATCGCCAAAGGCAGAGCGCCTCCTGCGGTCACAACAGGCTGTGGTGGCTGCGGCAGAGGCGGCCGGGGAGACAATTGAACCCGAGGTTGAGGAAGAACCCGAAGAGGTTGATGCGTTCGACCTGGCTGAGCCGGTGGATATCAATGCGAAGCTTCCCGAAAACTTCTTGGAGCAGGTTGCCTCGACCAAGTGGAAGGATCGGAAAGATGCCCTGGATGGCCTCTATGCGGAAGCGAACGTTCCAAGGATCAAGGAAGGACACTACGATGATATAATCAGAGCGCTGGGGAAGTGCATGAAAGATGCAAACGTCGCTGTGGCTACCGTTGCTGCGAACTGTATTGAGGCTATGGCGAACGGTCTGCGTAAGGGCTTTATGAAGCACAAGTCAACTGTGCTTGGTCCCGCGCTGGACAGACTAAAGGAGAAGAAGCAGGGTGTTATCGATGCACTAGGGAAGGCCTTGGACGCCATTTTCAACTCGGTATGCCTTCCGACCCAATTCGGGGATTGAATTTACTGATTGTTGGTGTTTAGACATCTCTCACCGACTGTCTCGAAGATATCATTGAAAACACCAAACACAAGAACCCTAACGTCAAGCTCGAGACCATGCGCTTCCTCATTCGCTGTCTGCGAACGACAAGGGACGTTCCTTCGAAGCCGGAACAGAAGCTGATTGCCGACAATTCTGCACGTCTACTCACTGATACATCCGCTCCTATGCGTGACTGTGCCGCCGAAGCAATGGGAACACTGATGAAGATTATCGGCGAGCGGGCGATGAACCCACATATGGAAGGCCTGGATGAGATCAGAAAGACTAAAATCAAGGAGTTCTTCGAGACTGCCCAAGTCAAGGCAAAGGAGAAGCCGAAGCCCGTTGCACCTCCGCCAGCGCCAAAGGCACCTCCGAGAAAGCTAGGTTCCAAGCCCGGTTTGAAAAAGAAGGCACCTGCTGCTGCTCCGCCAGCTGAAGAGTACGCCCCGCCCAAGCCAGCAGGGCGAGGGCTTGCTGCTCCTGGAAGCAAAATGGCACCTAAGGGAGGGCTTGGTGGATCCAGGTTAAAGAAAGGACCCCCTTCACCGAAGCGAGCTCTGCCACGCGAGTACGAGGAGGAAGAGCCCGCACCAGCTGCTCCGCCGAACAGGTTGGGCGTTGGAAAAGGCTTGGCCGGTCGTCCGTTGTCAAAGGAGCCTTCTGTTGCTGCCGCTCCGGTGAGGGTTGACCCGCAGATCGCTATTGACAAGGCAGAACTGGAGGAATTGAGGGCAGAGCGTGAGAGATGGGAGAAAGAGAAGAGAGAGGGCCACCTTGAGAGGGCCAAGTTAATGCAAGAGATCAACGATCTTCAACTCCAGGTATGCTCACCACTTACTCCAAAATCAACACCATGCTAACAAGTAACCGTACATCAGAATGCTCAGTTGATCGAAGACCACACTCGTGACAACCTCGCCATCCGCTCCAAAGAGGCACAATTGGTCCGTGCCCGCGCCGATGCCGACTCTGCACAGGAGGAGGTTTCCAAGCAGAAGCGCGAGATCGAGCGATTGAAGCGAGAACTTCAGCGTGCCGTCAGACCAAGTTCCCCTGCACCCACCGACATCAGCGACCACATCATGCACATGAATGGCTTCAATCACCGCGAGTCATCTATGTCACGGAATAGTAATAGGATGAGTTTTGCGTCCACCAACCAAGGCGACGAGAAGGAGAACGGAAGGGCCGGTGCGCTGAGTCCCGGACTGAGGAGCGAGAGCGGAAGGGCCAGTTCGGCGAGTGGCGACCATGAGAGCTGGAAGAGGGCCGCTGAGGTTACGAGCCAGTTGAAGTTGAGGATCGAGGTAGGCATTGTGCTGGTGTTTTTTTGTGATTGTATGGACTTGGTTGCTAATGGGTTACGATGGGGACAGCAAATGAAGGCGAAACAAGGATTGTCGGGCAGGGGAACACCGCAATACTAAATGGGTGAACAATGGGCAGAGAGGAAAGACTGGGCTGAAGGAGGAGGCGTATGATGGGACTTCTTTTACAGCGGGTATGCATTCGGGTTCGTGTATCTTCGTTTCGTGTTTTTAATTGCATGCATGGCTGCTGCGCCCTGGGTTTGTTACGGCGCTCATTGCTGTGCTGTCTGTGCTGTTCAGTACTTGTATTCGATTAATTTGGTTTTCTAAAGTTCTTGGATGAGATGCTGTGCACGAGGAATACGTGAAGAACTCCAGAAGTCGTTTTCCTTTTCCATTGCTGCCAGGTCAGAAGTGTTATGGGCCTCATTTTCAAATAAAACAATATCACTGTACTAAATCTACATGGAGTACAAAGGCGTATTATATACATCACGACAGAAGCAAGAACATAAACAGCACGGTATCGCAACCCTATCACCTACCCCGAAACTGACCCAACACCCTCCAAACGATCGGACCGGCGCCTTCCTCCTCCGGCAATTCCCCTCGCAACCGCCTTCTCAATCCCTCAAACTCCCTGCCCTCGTCCTGCCCCCCCAACATCCTAACTGCCCACCGTCCGACCCTCCACCTTGTCTTCGGCAGCAAATCCAACCTCCACGCATAACCCACAACCCACCCCACCGCCGCAGCCGCCGCACTCCCGGGCAATTGACACGCAGCCAACTGTAGTGCTAGGATGTATGCATACACCTTATCGCTCCCATTTAGCTCTCCCGCGCCTCCGGGTAGTACCACACCAAACTTGTATGTCCCCGGTACCGCGGCGTGATACTGCGCCAGCAGCGCAAACAGGAGTGGCGTGGGCCCAGGCGGTACGTAGTTCCACCTTCCACGGGTCACGCCCCAGCCGAGGAATAATACCGCCGGTACGGCGAGACTTGTGGCCGCATAGGTGTAGATGAGAAGGCTGAGGTACTTCCGTGAGCCGAAGAGGCGCTCGAGGAGCCGGAGGTGGTATAGCAGCAGCGAGGCGAAGAGGAGCTCCCCCGAGTTCGCGTAGAGAAGCTGGAAGAGCGGTATCCGACTGAATTGGTGCTGCCCCAGGATGTGTGGGTGGATTTGGAGGTGGAAGTACGGTTTCGTCGAGGTGAGGGTGCTGAGCAGGCTGGTTGAGATGAGAGTGAAGAGGAGGGTGCGCGTTATCGGCGTGTGGTGGAAGCCAGGCTGTTGCATTTTGGCGATTGGTGGTTGCCCACGATGTGGCGGTCGGTGTCGTGTTTCGAGATGAGGTGTCGAAGTGGTGCGGCTCGGCTGTCTAGCTGTCCTTTAGAGCATGGGGTGAGGTGAGCTTGGCGGAGAGAGACAAGGAGATGCCATCACCACCGTTGAAAAGAGCCTCCATATATAGGCGGAGCCGAGAGCGATTGATACTGTTATGGCCCGAGTCTAAACAGACTCTCAAAGCTATTCACATTAGGGTTCAGAGTCAACCGGTTGCCATGATCGATACATCTTTCTCGCTATCAACCCTATTCAACCTCATTCTGGTGGGTCTTACAGTAAGTCCGCTGACGCCAAGACGTCTTCCTTCGCGCTTTGTCGCTGACTGCCTGTTCGCTGGCTTCAAACTCAAGCTAGCCTACAACATCATCATCACCACCCTTCCACTACCGCTATAACCACCTCTCTTCTTCTTCCTCCCGGACAACACGCGAACGGAAGAAAGAAGGAACACTCACTTCTCACTCGGCAACGAAGGTCTTTCACGAACAAGACACACTCCCCCTTCTTTTCCTTCTATCTTTGTTCATTCAAACTTTCCCTGCCTTTTCCACCACAACACGCAACCAACCTCCCTCATCGCGTCTTCCCCCGACAACAAACAACAACACGCACGCTCTTCGTCGCATATCACCTTCTACTCTCCACCACCACCACAACCCCCCATTACTTTACTCGTCTCACTCCTACACGTACGCGATATCCAGAACACCATTGAGTGATTGAACTCCAACACACCACCAGTTCGTACCCCCAAGATGGCGTCCGCCGACGTTCAAACCGCCGGCGGCATAGACCACCACCGGATAGCGACATTTCTCTCGATCCCCGACTCCGACATAGCCTCTCTGGTCTCCACAATCACCGAGGAGTATGTTGTATCGATTCTACGATCGATTGCCGCCAAGGCGAACGACTTCGATGAACTGCGCGCCGACAAACTACGTATCGAGGTGGAGCTAGAGCAGTCTGTGCGGACTGCGGATTCTAGAGTGAAGAGCATGAAGGGGCAGCTCGATGAAGCGCTAAAAGAGACGCAGGAGCTCAGGAAGCGGGCCGGAGATAGTGGTGAGTTTTCTCTCTGATCGACTGATAGTGGGGGTATTTGATGGGCTGACGAGGTGTGAAATAGAAACCGCGAGGGCGAAGTTGGAGGATGAGTTGGCGAGATTCAAGACCTCACAAACCAGTGTGGACGATGCGACGCGGACGTTAAAGGTTCGCGTGCAGACACTCGAGTCGGATAAACGCGATACCCTCGAGGCCCTCGATCGAAAGTGTAACGACTACGACAAACTGCAGGAGGAGTACACGGCGTCGCAACACAAGAGTATAGCCATCCGACGAGAACTTGGTGCGATGGAGACGAAACTGCAGCAGGCTGAGTCGGCTCAGTCGAACGCCAAGTTCCGCGCGCAGAGTCTAGAGCAGGAACTCGAAATGGTCAAGAAGAACAACGAATGGCTGGACGCTGAGCTCAAGACGAAGACCGGAGAACACCAGAAATTCCGGAAAGAAAAGGTTGCGCAAATTTCGAGGATCAATTCGGAGCTAGAAGAGGCCTTGAGCAATGTTGATATGCTCAAGAGGTCATTGGATAGTCTGAAGGAACGTTACGAGGAAGTCAGCAGGAAGGCTGAGGACCGACTGGCCAAGATCAAGAATTTGCAGAGCAGTGCCGCGGCTCAGGAGGAAGCCTTCAAGCAAGAGTTCAACGCCCAAAAGCGACTGGCTGAGCTTTATGAGAAGGCCATGAACACCGCCAGAGGCAGGGTTACTGAAGTCGAGAGGATTATGGAGCAGGAGATGGAGCGCTTCAACATCGAAATCGGACAAGCAAACTCAGTCGTCGAGACGGAACGTGCCGACAGGGAAGCTGCCGAAGGTAAGGTGGCTGAATTGGAGGCTGAAGTCGACCGACTCGAGTCGGAACTGCAAGCTGCCACCTCTATGGGCGCTTTCGGTGGTGCCATGTCTCCTCAGGGAAGCATCAACGGCGCATCTACTCCTCTTCGTCGGCCTGGATCCGCAATGGGTAGCAAAACGCCTGGAAGCCCGATGTTCTCTCCGGCAGCCAGTCGACTATCCAAGCAGGGCATGTCGGTCACTCAACTCTACGCAGACTACAATAGCATGAAAGCTAAGTATGAGACCGAGAAGAGGCGAAACGCCAGGCTGGAGGCTGGGGTGGCGGAGCTCATGCGTGACATGGAGGAGAGAGGCCCCGAGGTCCAGGAATTGAGGGACGAACATGCACGGATGGAGAAGGATCTCTTGGAGATGAGCAAACTCCTCGAGGTTTCCTCCAAGGAGCGGGATCAAGCAAAGAAAGAGGCACGGAAGCAAGGTGGCAGGATTGCCGATTACGAGCGGGAGGCCAACATTCTACGACAGCAACTCCGCGATCTCAGCCTTCAAATTCAAATCCTTACAGTGGAGATCGAGCGACGCGACGCTGGTGTTGATCAACTTTCGGCCCAGCAGAACAGAATCTACGAGGAGGTCGTTAGTGGCAATGTCCGAATCGAAGGTCAAAACGACACTGATGCTCTCATATCCCAACGACTAGTCGTGTTCCGCAACGTTCAAGAAATGCAGGAACAGAACGCCAATCTTATGAAGGCGATCCGCGAATTGGGAGCCAAAATGGAGAGGGACGAACAGGACCGACTCCAGGACAAGCAAACTTCCGACAACCAGGAAATTATCCGTCTGCAGGGTGATCTCCAGCGTCTCCAGGATGAGTTGAAGAGCATGATCTTGAAGTCCCAGACCTTTGTTCGCGAGCGCGATATGTTCAGGCGGATGCTTCAGAACAAGGGAGAGTTGACACAAGACGGCCAACCGATGTCTCCTGCGCCTGCGTTTTCGCAATCCAATGCCGGTCCTATGTTCGCCGAAATGCAACAGAATCTAGCCGAGGCTCTCAGAAATCTACAGAGTCAGTACGATCAGTTTAAGACCGAGTCTATGGAGAACCAGAACACCATATCCGAACAGAACAGACGGTTGGCGGCGGAGAAGAGTGAATTGGAAATTCAAGCGGCGAGAATCAACTCTCAGCTCGAGATGGCCTCTGGTAAGTTAACGATCCTTGCATGTCTTGATCGTTTAGAGCTAACTTGGTACAGAACGGTATGAGATGCTCAATGGCAACTTCAGCATGATGAAGACCGAAAACCAGGAGCTTCAGAAGCGCCTGACTCAAATGCACGAGGCCCAGGCCAAGCAAGACCTTAAGACTCAGCAGACCCTGGAAGAGATCGTCGAGAAGAACTCCTTCCTGGAAGGCCTTCGCAACGAGAACAGTAACCTCAAGGCGGAGAAGGGTCTTTGGAAGACCATCGAACAACGGTTGCAGCAGGAGAACGAATCCCTCACCCAGGAACGTGCCCGGCTCAATGGGCTTATCGCAAACCTGCAGTCAATTCAGAGCGAACACGAGAGGAACGACTCTGAGGCGAGAAGGAGATTGGTTTCGCAGACCGAGAGACTTGAGACCGAACTTACGGCGACCAAACGACGACTTAGCGAGGAGATCGAGCAGACCAGGAAGAATCTCATCCGCAAGGAGAAGGAGCAGAGTGAGGCCCAGAGACGGTATGACGAACTTAACGCCAATTATGCCACTGCGAAGGAAGAACTTGTCGCCGCGAAGACCAGTCGGGACCACCTCCAGGCTCGTGTCAACGAGCTTACCCTCGACCTCAAGATTACCGAAGAGAAGCTTGCAGTCTATCAAGAGAAGCCTTCGGCACCTGAAACCACCGAAGATGACGATGATTCTATTGTGGAGGAGTTGAGACTTGAGGCTGCAAATCTTCACAGGCAGCTTGAGCTCAAGGGCCGTGAACTGGAGGACATGACCGAACAGGCTGAGCGGTTCAAATCCATATCGCTGGCAAACGAGGAGCAGCTTGAGGAGCTCCAGAATTCTTACGACCAGTTCAAGGAGAGCATGGATCTGGAGATTGACAATCGTGAGGCAACTATCAAGGACTTGGAGCAACGCGTTGATGACATGTCCACCGAACTTTCTTCCGTTAACCAAGAGCTTTCTGAGATTCGCAAGTCCGAGCATGATAAGCTTCAGCAGTTTGAGAACGAGAAATCAATCCTGCAATCCCAGCTTCACAACCTCCAGGAGGATCTCGAGAAGACTACATCAGCTGCTCAATATCACCAGGATGACCTCCGTCGTCAAGCCAGCATCGCTCAAGAGGCTCAGCAGAACTACGAGCGCGAGCTTGTCAAGCATGCTGATGCTGCCCGAACTGTCCAGCAACTCCGCACCGAGTACGCCGAGCTCAAGGATGAAGTCAATGTCTTCAGGACCGAGGCTGAATCCGCCAAGGCGGCGCTCACGGTTAATGAGAGCTCATGGTCGTCACAGCGTGAGAACTATGAGAAGGAACTTAGCGAAGTCCGGGCCCGATGCGACGACCTGGTCAAGCAGAACAGGATTCTCCACGGCCAATTCGAGACTGTCAACGAGCAAATGTTGGAGTTGAAGAAAGAACGCGCATACACCGACGAAGCTTTGGAGGTCTCCCCCGAGGGTCAGCCTCTGGACAAGAGTATGGAAGATCTTCGCGAGGTCGTCAGGTACCTGAGACAAGAGAAAGAAATCGTCGACGTTCAGTACGAGCTAGCTCTCCAGGAAACCAAACGCCTCAAGCAGCAGCTCGATTACACGCGCAGCCAGCTTGACGATACAAGAGTCCAACTTTCTTCCGAGCAACAAAAGCAGTCCGACCAACTCCGTGGCATGAACGAACACAAGGAGATTATGGAGAAGATTTCGGAGCTCAACCTACTCAGGGAGAGTAACAGTGCTCTCCGGTTTGAGGGTGAGAAGAAGGGCAAGAAGGTCGTCGAACTCTCCCACAAAATCGAAGAGCTCGAGGCAAAGATTCAACCGCTCGAACAGGCTGTCCGTGAACTAGAGGCCGAGAAGGAGGTTAAGGATGCGCAGATGGCATTGCTGAACGAGGACAACGAGAGGTGGAAGGCGAGAACCCAACAAATCCTTCAGAAATACGACCGTGTCGACCCCGCCGAACTCGAGGAGCTTAAACAGAAGGCCGCTTCGCTTGAGGCGGAACGCGATGAGCTGCAGCAGAAGTTCCAGACCACCGAATCCGAGAAGGAGTCGCAGCTTCAGGATCAGGCTACACAGTGGCGCGGGAAGATGGCGAAGCTTAAGGACGATGCGAACGGAAGGATCACCACTATGCGCACCAGACAGC